TCCTGAAGAATCCACTTTTTACCCACCAAAAAGACGCAAATTTACCATTTTGTCAGTAAATTTTTATTTATTGAAGCGATGCACATCAAAAGTGACAACAATAATTCCCCTCCCAAAAGCTAAAATCATGAATGACAAACCAGAATGACTCTCATAGAAAACTAAGAACAAATCAACTAGCTCAACTATAATGTTTAGAAACGCAGTGGAAATCAAATTTACAAAATGTCCAAAGAAATTCACAATAAATAAAGTGATTAAATCTTTAATAATAATCAACTATAAGTTCTTTGCATGCAAAATCTAACGGTACACTGTAAATATTCAGTATGCACAAAAACAACACCATAGTAATAAACCCATAAAATGTGTCGCTTACTCGTTCGCACAACCAGAATAGAAAGGACAAGGCAATGTCCAAGTATGAGCCTCTCCCTAGAAACCACAGCACGCCGCCCCACAAGAGCACCTCTAGAATCTAGAACATAGTGCTCAGAGTGAGGCCCACCCAGGCCAGCCGGTTCTTCTCGATTGAGTTCCTAAAATCAAACCCGCCACAATTATGTTCAAAACTATATTGAGAAATGACAACACTGTGAAATTGCCCACACTAAAAAAAAGGTGATCACTGTGGCATTCAAGGAAAATAGTTCTTTAATTAAAAAAAAAGAATATATTTCTAACACATGCTATAATAAGTTGTCTTCTAATGACAAACCCAGCAATACTTAAACATGTGAAGCAATCTGTAGATTAAAAATCCTCTTGATTGGAAAATTCCATAGTGAAACAATGAACAACTCATAACAAGAGAGATCAGTGTCAGCAGATGTAGTAAACTTTCTTTTTACATGCAAAATCCTATTGTAAATACTATACTTGAATTACGCACAATATGAAAGAAACTTTGTTCAATGTTCCAAACCTTTATAAGAGATATTAACCTATGCCTTAGCCCATTATTGATAAGATTTTCCAAGTATTTCTGAATGTCAGACACAAGATCAGCCTCAAGTCCCTGGTCAAGCACAATGGCCTGCAATTGTATGAAAATCCATTAAAAATTAAAGGGCCAAAGTAATAATTGAAAGGTTTTAGGATGATGACTAGGGGTAGGAGAGTGAATACCCTTAATAGTGTATAGAGGGCTGTTAATAGATCTCTTCTCTCTGTGTACCAGAGACCTGCTGCAAGGCGCAAAACTTCTACTGGCTCTCTTCCCATTAAGCCCCACTAGAAATGAAACATAAAATTAAAACAGAAAATCATGTAATATTGCCAACTTGTAAATTATAGGCCAATGGGATATTATTAGAAACAAAAGATATCATAAATCTACCTCTTGATTAGCAGCGATAAGCAAACGGACACAATCTATCTCATTGAGGTGGAGGTCGTCACTCAACTTCAAAGCCTATAATCCAACATAACATCAAACCACCAAAAAACATATGGAGATAACATACAGAATATAGCTCAAATGCTATATACTATCCAGCAAATTTAAATGAAATTGCAAATTACTGAAAGAAGAAGTCCAGACTTCAATTAATTGAAAAGGTATTAAGAGAAAATGCAATATCATATGTCTTACTGAGGCAGAAAACCGAAAAATGCTGCACCAGCTTGACATTTTGTCTGAAGACAAATGGTTTCTCTGAATCATGTGTTATAACATGAAGATTGAACTAGGAATAAAATCCGTCAAATAGTAAGGATATGACCCAAACATGAAAATTTGGTTGTATGCATGATTAAATCATGTATGAAGCATGGCATAATTCCCTTACAAAAATTATATGGCCAGGCATATATACTTTATGCATTTGGGAAAGAGAAAATTTGGTTCATATATCGCACAAAATAATAACAAGTAGTAACTAAATTCTTGAAAAAAAGACAGTTAAAAAATTACCATTATAATTAAATTTGAACACTTTTTGAAATTCAACTTTATGGGATCTAGTGGTTATTCTACTACGCCCTTAGCAGAAGGCACAAGAATGAACACTTCCAAACAACAAGGAACGAGCGGTATACATACAAGCTGGACGTCCTGGTCATCAAGCGAAATTGGCGGCCCATCCGGAAGCCTAACTTCTCTCGACTGAACTTGCGCCCGATCTGAGGCTTTCGGAGGCTACAAAACGTAATGAACAAAATTCAGCAATAAGAGTAAAATCACTAAAACCATTAAGATAACGGTACCGAGAAACGAAGTAAACTCCACGCATAATTTCCAATTAAAAACTCTCCTATTACGAAATTTTAAAATTTCTCTACGCTTCCATGTTCTTTTCTTGTCCTCCATTGTGCTCGGAGACCAGACGATATAGAATTAATGGGACCATACCGGATAGGAAAGGAGGGACTGGAAGGAGGAGAGAGAGTTGCGAATGGCGTGCATGAGCTCCACTCTTTGAGACGGGCTCGGAGGCGACGGGCCCAGTAGGGCCGATTCGACAGTAGAGAGCAGCTGCTTCGGTAACACCATTGTGGATTGTGGATTGTAGATTGGTACTGCGACTGGTGCAAATGTTGAAACCCTAGGATAGAGAAATTAAAAGGCGGGAAATGGAATGCGAGGGTCTGCAATTCTGCTATGGGGGCAGAGAAAGAAAAGAAGAGGGTTTTGGGGTTTTGGTAAACCGTATAAGCCCTAATGGCGGTGACACAGCGACTGGCTATTTGAATATGTATCCTTTTGTCCTAGTTTTGAAGTTTTTTTTATTGCTACAAATTTGAACCTTATTAGGACAATGGATTTATGAAAAAATAATTTATTACTTATTCCCTGTAGCCGAGCGGCTATACTGTTTCTTCTAAACCCAGTCCCGCCGCACGGCTATACTATTTCTGTTTTTAAAAATTGGAACACCCGAGTATGGCCGGCCGGCTATACTATTTCTTTTTTAAAAATATTTAAAAACGGAGTATAGCCGGCCGGCACTATTGCAACGTAAAGAACTAAAAAAACCAGTACAGCCGGGCGGCTATACTATTCTGCCTTGAAAAAAACGAGTACACGGCTATACTATTTCTTTTTAAAAAATTGAGAAAACAGAATATAGCCTATACTATTTTTTAAAACAATGAAAAACCACGTAAAGCCGAGCGGCTATACTATTTCTATAAAAAATTGGAAACTTAAAAACAAAAACCCGGGTACCGCCGTTCGGCTATACTATTTCTTTCAAAACAATTGAAAACCGAGTAAAGGTACACAGTATAGCCGACCGGCTATACTATTTCTTTTTAAAAAAAATTCTAAAAACCGTCTACATTTTCCTCTCCGTCTCCTTCATCCAAATACTCAAAGCCCTGTTGCTCGTTGCGGTTTATTCAATTGGCGTTGTGTTCAAGAAGGACCCTTTCAAAAGTGACACTATGCTCAACATGGTTTCGATCTCTGTTGGTGTCGCCATCGCTGCTTATGGAGAAGCCAAATTCAATAGTTGGGGAGTGGCGTGGCTTTTGAGGCCACGAGGTTGGTTCTTATTCAGATTCTGCTTAATGCTAAGGGTATTAGTTTGACCATGTTGCGCCATGTTGCTTTGTGTTCTTGTGCGTACCCTGGGTCATTGTTGAGTTGCCAGTGTTGAGGCAGACCTCCAGTTTTCATTTCGATTTCGTCATTTTCGGGACGAATTCGGTGTGTGTGTTTAAAAAATAGGAAAACCCGAGTATTTTTTAAAAAAGGGGAAAACCTGAGTATTTTAGGTATCGCCGCGCGGCTATACTATTTGTTTTGTAAAAAATTGGAATACCCGGGTATCGCCGCCCGGCTCTACTATTTCTTTGTAAAAAAAGTGAAAGCCCTATTATTCCAGGTATAGCCGCGCGGCGATACTATTTTTTAAAATAAATTGGAAATCCCAAGGCTAGCCGCGCGGCTATACCATTTCTTTTTTAAAAAATTGGAAAACATGAGTATTGCTAGCCGGCTATACGATTTATTTTTAAAAAAATGGGAAAACCCAAGTATAGCCGACTGGCAATACTATTTCTTTTAAAAAAAAACACTACAAACACAGTACAGCCGGGCGGCTATACGATGCTTCTTTTTTTAAAAAATAAAACCCGCGTATAGCCGGCCGGCTATACTATTTCTTTTTTAAAAAAACAAAAAAAAACAGAGTATTGCCGCACAGCTATACTTTTTCTTTTTTAAAAAAATTGGAAAAAACCAAGGATAGCCACCCGCTGTACAATCTCTTTAAAAAAAATTGGAAAAAACACAGTATAGCCGATCAGCTATACTATTTCCTTTTTAAACGAGTTAATTTGAACCAACGACATCCGTTAGATGGTTGGTTTCAGGTTTGTAAAAAAAAAAAAAAAAAAAAAAAAAAAAAAAAAAAAAAAGGGGGGGGCAAAAACCGAAGCTCGACCAAGCTTCTTTGGGTTTTAATCGGCTGGCCAAGTCTCTCTCTCTTTCAAGATTTTAACTTGTACATTGGTTTGGCCTGTTTTCATCAAAGAATCAACCATTCTTGTGGATTTTTATGAGCATGTTATTCCATCTTTTAATTTTTAAATGCAGACACGCTAGACTAATTTTGGTGAGCCACTAGCTCCGCATGGACCAGTACGTATGTGCATAGGATAAATAATCAACCAATGGTTTTTCTTTAATAATTTTCTTTTCTAATTCATTTTCTGCATTGAAAATGCTACCAGGTACAGGAAAAAAATTACTCGTCGTTCTGTTCAATGCTCTGTCTTTGTGACATCCAATTCTTTATTGAAGCTCGTCGTTCTGTTCAATGCTCTGTCTTTGTGACATCCAATTCTTTATTGAAGCTCTGTTTTTTTAATTTTGGGCTGAGAAGGTCAAATGGTGATTATATCAGCATGAACAACAAACTGTCCGGCTTTTTAATTTTTCTAATGAGCCTGTTAGAAACATCCAGTGAGATTATCCTTCCTACTGCAATCTCTGTAGTGTATATATACATGTTATCCACTGAGCTTTTCACAAAGTGGCAAGGCAAGTGAAGATGGAGGTAGCCAATAGGTACATAACAATAAAGACCCATATAGACGGTGAACCCAAGGAGTCAGACTTTGAGCTCAGGACTTTAGCCCTTGATATATCAGTTGACCCCGGTTCCAATGATATTATTGTGAAGAATCTGTATGTGTCAATTGACCCCTACCAGCTAAACCGCATGAAAAGTTTCAGCTCCTCACAGAAAGCTATAGGCTTTGCAGCTGCCATCACTCCAGGAGAAGTAAGCTGTCATACAATTCATTGAAGCATATGTTTCTGAGTTGAGAGTGTTGTTTGTTACAGAATCTGAAATGGCAGTTATTTTAATAAATATCTTTTCATTTGTTTTATGATGACAGACTATTGATGCTTATGGTGTGGCAAAAGTTGTGGCTTCTGGGAATCCTGAATTTGAGAAGGATGACTTGGTTGTGGGGCTTATCACTTGGGGAGAGTATAGTGTACTAAAAGAAGGAAGCATGTTTAGGAAATTGGATCCTTTGGGATTTCCACTGTCTTACCAAGTTGGAATTCTAGGTAATTAATTACCAATTTACCACTTAACATCTGCATCTTCATCTTCAATTTTGCATTGTTGTTTTGCAATTCTTGTATAATGGATATGGTTTTGAATCTTGAGCCAAACAACTTCAACAGCAAATGCGCAGAACGGTAGGGATGATATGTACATTAATTTGGCCATTAGTAAATTGTTAGATGAGAAATTAGAACAGTTACAGTCATCTTTGTGTCTGATCAGTGGCAGCTGAGAAACCTTAAGTTTCTGCCAATCTCTCAACTATGGCAGTGGAGTGCTATGCAGAGGATTTGTTTTTCATAACAATGCATTTATTTGCTTATTTGCTCTTGCAGGTTTCAGTGGACTTACAGCATATGGTGGATTTTTCGAAGTATGCAAGCCTAAGAAGGGGGAGAAAGTTTTCGTGTCTGCAGCTTCTGGATCAGTTGGGAATTTGGTCGGACAGTATGCAAAACTGTTTGGTTGCTACGTTGTTGGCTGTGCAGGAACCAATGAAAAGGTGACCTTACAAAACTTTTCAGTCAGTATACTATTGTGTGAATGAAAATTGGTCTGGATGTTGTATCATTATAAAGGTTGAGTTCTTAAGTTCAACTTGCTATAGGTAGCACTGCTCAAGGAAAAGCTCGGATTTGATGACGCATTCAACTACAAGGAAGAGTCTGATTTAAAGTCAACCCTCAAAAAGTAAATCCTCCCTTGTATACTCAAGGCTGGTGGCTTTGAAGCTAAATAATACATGCCTAAAATAAATTGATTCAGCTGTGTGTTCTAATGTTTTGATCTACAGGTACTTCCCTAATGGGATTGACATATACTTTGACAATGTTGGGGCTGAGATGCTAGAAGCAGCAGTTTCTAACATGAACACTTTTGGTAGAGTTGCCGTTTGTGGCGTAATCTCTGAGTATACAGATGCTGGAAAGAGAGCTGCACCAGATATGCTAGATGTTATATACAAGAGAATCAAGATCCAGGGGTTTTTAGCAGCTGATCAAATGAAAGTCTATTCGGATTTTCTTTCCACCACCACAGATCATCTTCGTACTGGAAAATTGCATGCCATTGAAGACATCTCACATGGTCTGGAGAGTGTTCCATCTGCTTTCATTGGACTTTTCTGTGGCCATAACACGGGAAAGAAAATTGTTGAGATTGCAGATGAGTGAACGAAAGAAATCTCATTTTGCTTTGATTCATAAATTGGAAAATGAGCATTTGCTCTAATCATAATCGTTTGCTTCTACCAGCACTAATTTTATCTGCAGTAGTTTCACAAGTCCACCAAAGGTCCATATTTTTGAGTCACATTTGGCTTCAATTTGATGTTATATAAAAAAACCATAACCAACTTAGCAAACCAGGCTAGGTCCAGGAAAGGTCCGTTTGGGTTGACTTGGCTGCAACTGATAAGTGCTTTGACTTTATAAAGTCGTTAAATCAGACGGCTTTAAAAAATTTGATCAAGCTATCTCATTCCTCCTCTTGGGGAAACCCCGCCCATTAAGATGATTCAGAAAACCGTTAAAAGCAACGACCTTGTTTCCCTCTCACAAAAATGCAAAACCCTAAACCAACTCAAGCAAATCTACGCCCACCTCCTCACATGTCGTCTGCCAGAAAACCCCTACGCAATTGCACCGCTCCTCTGGGCCTCCGCAACCTCGAAAGATGCTTCCTTGTTTTGCTACGCTTGCTCAATCTTCAAGCATCATCATCACCGCAACACCTTCATGTACAACACCATGATCAGAGGATATGTTCTTCAATCGCATAAGCCAATTCCCGCCATTTTGTGTTATTTAGACATGCTGAATTATGGGTTTGTTCCTAATAACTATACTTTTCCGCCATTGATCAAAGCGTGTACAATTCTCATCCAGAATTCTAAGCTAAGTGGTCGCTTAGTTCATGCCCATGTTGTTAAATTCGGGTACCGGGACGACCCTTTTGTTCTTAGCTCGCTGATCGAGTTTTACTCTGTTATCCACGACATGGAAACTGCAAAGTTGGTGTTCGATAAAAGTCCAAAGAGGGATGTGGTGGTGTGGACGGCAATGATTGACGGGTATGGAAAGGCGGGGGACGTTGAAAATGCGAGAGCTTTGTTTGATGAAATGCCTGAGAGGAATGCTATATCGTGGAGTGCAATGATGGCTGCGTATTCTCGGGTGAACCACTTCAGAGAGGTGCTTTCTTTATTTAGGCAAATGCAAGAAGTAGGCACAAAGCCTAATGAGTCAGTTCTTGTTAGTGTTCTCACTGCCTCTGCTCATCTTGGTGCGGTCACGCAAGGCTTGTGGGTCCACTCATATGCTAAAAGGTACAATCTTGAATCAAATACGATATTGGCCACTGCACTGGTTGATATGTACTCAAAATGCGGATATGTGGAAGCAGCTTTGTGGGTTTTTGAGGGCATTTCTAATAAGGATGCTAGAGCGTGGAATGCTATGATTGCTGGGGTTGCAATGAATGGTGATGCAAGGAAATCACTTGAACTCTTTAATAAAATGGTTGAATATGGTGGCGTTCAACCCACAGAGACCACATTTGTTGCTGTTCTCACGGCTTGTACGCATGCAAAAATGGTTGACGAGGGCCTTGAGTTGTTTGATCAAATGGGTAACCTTTACGGGGTTAAACCTGGGCTTGAGCACTACGGATGTGTTGTTGACCTTTTGGCAAGGGCAGGCTTGGTGGAGGAAGCTGAGAAGTTTACAGAGGTCAAGATGGGAGGACTACGAAGAGGGGATGTCAATGTGTGGGGAGCATTACTAGCTGCATGCAGAGTTCATGGGAATGTTGAAGTTGGGGACAGAATTTGGAAAAAGCTCGCTGAGATGGGAGTAGCTGACTGTGGCATTCATGTTCTTTCATATAATATGTACAAGGCTGCTGGCATGGAATTGGAGGCCAACAGAGTCAGAAATATGATATCGGAAGCGGGAATGAAGAAGAAACCTGGTTCCAGTGTGATAGAGTTAAATGGAGTGGCTGAAGAATTCCTTATTGGTGATATTTGTCATCCACAAGCAGAAGAAATAGTTAATATGCTCGACTCTCTTTGTAAAATGGTGAATTTGGGGGGTTGACTAACAACCTCTCAATGTACTTTTTGTTTTTTCATAGTTTAATGCCAACATGCCATTTTTTTACCCCAAAATACTGTTTAAGTCGTCGAATAATGCAACAGAAAGATGAATGATTCTTTCAATTTATTTACAGCAAGTCTATAACAAATTAGTCTTGTATATTTACCGGTTAATTTGTAGTAAGTACACAACAGACAACCTGTAAGGCTGTAATTGTTGGAATATTTTTCTCTTAAAGAGCCAAAAAAAGCATTTCTTTATAATTATATCAGTAAACTATGGCAATGAGCAGGGCTAGCTAGTCATCTTCTCCCCTGGCTTGAATGCTAACTGCAGCTGCGTATGTGCTGTTGAAAGACTATATAAACTGTTTGAATCTACATTTTTAATTTTTATGTTTATATTATTTTCTCTTTATGATAACCTGCAGAAACTCGGCATATAAGCATGATTCAACATCACTTATCATTATGTAAATTAAATAATACATTAAATTACACCTTCAGCTTTTGAACTAGAAGAATATGGTATTGAATATTACCAGATATGGTAATGCACATATATATGATGGTAGCTAGTAACTTCTCTTCCCCACTAAGTTCCTATAGCCTACTATATGCCTTATTGGCCATTATTAATATAAACTAAGATCAATAAACGGCATTGCTTACTTGGTATAACTTCTAAATTAGCATAGTAGTTTATCTGGACTCTCAGGAGTCAGGTGCATTGCTTTGCGTGAAAATCCTCTGCAGATATCAAACCAGTGATGAGACGTTTTAGCCTTTCAGCACCTGGACCCGGCCTAAGAGTGGTGATGTTTCTTAAATTGGAATCTGGAACAGTTACATTTGCATTTCCTTGAGTACTGAACCATCCACCTGGTACAAATCCATCGGCATTGCAGCCTAAAAGCTCAGAGTCGATCTTGTTAAGAACTGACTCATTCCTGCCAAACTTCCTGGCAAAGGGAGCATTGCTGTCTACCATCCGCTGGAAGTCATCACTGATGAGGAAATGTGGATGTTGTTTTGGCGGGGTGTCCCATGATATGAAGTGGAGATCATGGTTCACAGTAGTGTTCCGAAACTCCTCAGCATTGCAGATGACAGTGTGGAAATACCCTTCTGGTGAAGAAAGAAAGTTGGCATAATACATAAGCACTATCCTTGGGAGATTGTCCCAACCCCATAAAATATACTCTATAAAAGGGCGGGAGAGCATCATCCAAGCAGAACCTGAGGAAATTATTGAGCAGAATCCAGAATCAGGTAATAGTTAAATGCACAGAGGGACTTTTAAAGTTGAATAAATCAATTCAAATTCTTCCTATAGTAATGAGTCAATGACAGATGACAAGAAAATTAAGGTATTGTGTGCATAGCACAAAGGCAAAAGGAAAAAGAAACTACGCCCTCATGTAACTTATGTTACAGAACAGTATAAGCAGTGCACTTTCTAATTTGAAAGCCATTTATGAGATATAACACGCCAACCAGATGTGTGCTACAAATAATTTAAACTTCTCTTATATGCAGATAATTGTTTCAATAATAGCAATATCATAAAACTTTCTTGGGCATTGGCCTTAAACCATCGTTTGTTAAAACATTAGGTTTATCTAGTTATTCACAAATTTGAAAGAGAATTTGGCATTCTATCCTGTGAAAGATCAATAATCATAAATTAGGTGAAGGAAGCAACAGGTAGACAGATCAAATCAAAATGAGAGCACTGGAAGCAGACATTTTCACCTGTAAACAACTTATATGCAGTTGGCACACTCCTTTTCTCTGAAACCCAGAAAACATCTGATTTTTGCAGGCTATACAGCCCTGGATCAATTATAACGGGTTTTGCCCTCTGATTCCTGTGGGGTTCATGGAATTCAAACCCTTAAGGAGCAGTTATATATAACTTTGCAGATTTAGTGTGTCCTACTTGTGAACTTAATCAAAAAAAAATTACTACAAAAGGAGGAAAGATGAGCCACATACTCCTTCCAGCCAATGTCACTGGTATGCTCAATAAAATTAAGATTTCTTGGAATGGATGACAAGACATGAAGCATATCTGTGGTACAGGAAAGACAGACATATAAACTAAGGCGTTAGGATATGACAGGGCCAGAAATGGGCAATCAAATGAAATCAGCATAGAAACTAACAAATTGCACCAATGCCAGAGATCACAGATAAAACTGCAAGAGTAAAGCCCCACTTCCCTTATCTTCTTTGTATTATAAAACAAGAGCAATATCTGAATGCCAGTACAGCTAGCAATGAGCAAAAGTAGTTATATTGTACTTACCAAATAAGCTTGGGAAACCAAGAAATCCAATGCATAAATGCAGAACAAAATCACAAAATCCGATGCATAAATGTGAGACAACTTGGTCAAAACAGTCAATGCAAACCCATAATAAGCAAAATCCAGTTCCTACCCACATTAAAGAAAAAGAATAAAAGAAAACAAAAAATTCATAAATTACCCATTCTACACGTTAGACAGGTCCTTCAAAGAACCAATTCCAAGCTAATTAAAAAAAATTTCCCAAAGCAGAGACTCAGTCAATGAATCAGAAAGGCCAAAATCACATTTTGCTATTAAAAGGCCGTTAAATTTACCATCTTGGGTCACTAAAGGATAATCGGAAGCACTCAAATTGATAAACCAATCCCAATCTCCACCTTCCTTCAACAAAATTGCCGCAGCGTGAAGTGTATTGGTAACCATAGTAGGGCCTCTGTAAGTTACCAAATTGGCCCTCACAACCGCTCTAACATTACCCAATTTGGTAAACAGCGGCTCATTCTTGACAAACTTGGCCAAGTCCATCCTCTCCTCAGCCGAAGCCTCGAGGTCCAAATGCACTGCATATTGATTCCTGGGATGGTACAGAGCCTTCAAGGTCCTCTTCAAGCTCTCGCCGTCGCCCATTGAGCCAGAGATCAAGTAAGCCAGTCTTGGTACTGGGTCTTTGGAGGTAGCTGAAACCTTTAACTTGGACTCCACAAAATGCGGGAGCTCATTCTTCACACGGGTCTTGTACAATCTTGAAGAAGATGATCTAGAAGAAGTGAAAACAGTGATAAATATGAGCAGAGTAGATAACAACAAAGAAAGCACCAATGGTAAAAACCACTTCTTTTTCTTCTGTGGCTTGTTGGTCTCCATGCCGACAAAAACAGAAGAACAAGAACCAAAGCTAGGCTAGCTAGCAAGGAAAAAAAAAAAGAAAAAAAAAAGCTTTTCTTCTGTTTCTAAACAAAACGATAAATTTATCAAGTTCGGGTTTTTTTTTCTGGGTTGGGCGGCGCAGGATATGGGGAAGTGCTCCTGGGGGATCTGTGCTGAGATATGGTGTTGGTTGCACAATCTGGTTGGTGGGGTTCACGGAATGAATGAACCTATTTGGTATACATTCTCTTCTTTTTTTACTTTTCTTTTTCTGTGGTTTAGTGGGTAAACGAGATTATGATTTATACGAGAAGGTGATTTATTTAGTTGCTAAACAGTAAAGCATGAGATTCTTCTGGGAATGCGATTGCGTACCGTTGAGAGAGAGAAGTTATTGTTGAGAGGGACTGTGTGCACAGTGTGTGTGCTTTTTTTTTTTGGGTGGTTGGAGAGTGACTTTTTAGCAGTGAGGTTTGTGGCGTGACTCATATTTCTATTGAAGAAGAATCAAACACGCGGTTGTCAATCAATGGCCATTGGCCAGAGAGATAGAGCTAATTAGCTGGAAAAAATAATTCTCTGGGCCCTATGCGTTAAAGGTTAAAGACGCTCACTGCACTCCTTGTGCTCAGAAAAAGTATTGAAATTGAACAGTCATGACACTTTGTTTCACTCCACATGATTCGCAATTAGCCTTTTTAGAATTCCCCCTTCTGCTTTTAAACAAATTTGGTTGTATTAACCTACCGTATAAATGTGTCTTGTGTAATTTTTCAACATTTTGTTTTGCATTTGCAATCATATCCCATTTTGGTTTTTGTTTGTTTTGATGTGAAATGCCACAGGCGTTGTAATTGGATTGGAGAGTGGTTGCCACAAAAAAACCAATAGGTTATTTGGGGGAAGAAAAACTTCTATATTAGGAGATATTCCGACCAATCATGTTATGTTATTTACAATGATGACAGAACGTAGTTGGTTGGAATAGCAAAACAGTAATATTCTCATAATATACAAGTTCTTCACTATGGGAGGAGCCTTGCAATCTTTGGCAATTAAGAAATATTGGGCTAATTTTCTTTCTTAAGAATCAAGAATCTGGATAAACTTTTGAGCCAGCTGCAGTTTGGCACACCTCAACTCACAAAACCCCAAGGCCCATTGGATGTCAATTGAATCAGACCAAACAAACAAATGGCAACGAATCCAAAAGTTGACGTGGGGGACGAACCGTTGAAGGAGGGTGAATGGATGTTAACTTTTCTGCTGATGAAGTCAATGGCAGAATGCACCTTCAAGTCAGGTGACAACAGCGTGAGAAAAGAACCCTTCAACGCAAGCAAGAGAAGTGTCACCGACTCACCTTCCTGGGTCTTCGCCCTTGATTGCGAGGCAAGAGCCCTTGATTGCGAGGCAATTCAGTCTTTTCTTTGTTCAATATCTAAGTTTCAAGTTTCAACCCAAAAAAGTCTCAGTCAACAATCTAACACAAACACAACTAGTATAAAACAACCCTGCTTGGTTCATATCTTTGATATTAATAAAGATCTTTAATTTGGTTACTCAATGAAACATATACGTAAAGTTCTAACTTGACTAATTAGCCAATAAAACATATACGTAAAGTTCTAACTTGACTGATTAGCTTCTCAACATGTGCCTCGTTTTTTCTTTTTCTTTTTTCATCTTTCCATCATAAACTTGTAATTCAAGTAATTAAAATTAATTTTTTATAAATGTATCCGAAGTCTTGTGTTTAATTATCCTCTTTTTTTTATTAAAAAGAAATTCTCTTTCTCAATATCTTTTATATAAATTTTTTATTTTAAATTTTAAATTTAATATTTACAATTGGGGATATTGAAGAACAACACATTTTCTAAAGTCTATAGACACATTGCTTACTTCAAAACTACTAACCCAAGTCGACACATAGTAAAATATATATTAAAATAATATAATTAATACCGATATTTTGGAATTATATCCTTAATACAGACAAGACGATATTTAAATAATATTTGGGGTTTATTTTGGTAGGTGTTGAAATACATTACTTATTTTTGTTTGATAATGTTGAAATACGTTACATTATATTTAGATTTGATTACTACCTGAAAATAGAAATAAAGGTCTTTAATTTGGTCTCCCAATTACTCAATGAAACATATACGTAAAGTTCTAACTTGACTAATTAGCCTCTTAACATGTGCGTCGTTTTTTATTTTCATTTTTCATCTTTCCATCATAAACTTGTAATTCAAGTAATTAAAATTAATTATTTATAAATGTATCCAAAGTATTGTGTTTAATTCTCCTCTTTTTCTTATTTTTATTATTTAAAAAACCCTCTTTCTCAATATCTTTTATATAAATTTTTAAAATTTTATTAAAAATTTAATATTTACAATTGGGGATATTGAAGAAACACATTTTCTAAAGTCTATAGATACATTGATTACTTCAAAACTACTAACCCAAGTCGACACATAGTAAAATATAGATTAAAATAATATCGTTAATACCGATATTTTGGAATTATATCCTTAATACCGACAAGACGATATTTAAATAATATTTGGGGCTTATTTTGGTAGGTGTTGATTATATTTAGATTTGATTACTACCTGAAAATAGAAATAAATATAAAGACGAATAAGAAGTGGAAGCAAAAAAAAATACGAGTATTTGGACCAACCAAAAAAAACATAAATTTGGAAGTTGAAATCACATAATCAAAACTCCAGTTAAAAAAAAATGAAAATGGAAGTGAAGTTAGAATCAAACTCTAGTCACAAAGCCCATATCCTATCAAAGCCCAAATTCTAACTCCTCCTCTCTTTTCCGTTCCACAGTGGAGATTAGATTATTGGGATTTGAGAAAGTCTCCTCCTCCTTCCAAACCAAAACCCCTTATTTAAATCCCAGGGTCAGTGGGAGTCTTAGGGTTAGGATTTCAGATCCAATCAAGTCCCAAATTTCTCTGTGAAAAATGGGACTTTCAGAAGGGGTGGTGAAGAAGGTGCTCCTCTCCTACACCTACGTCGCCATATGGATCTTCCTCAGCTTCACCGTGATTGTTTACAACAAGTACATCCTCGATCACAAGATGTACAATTGGCCCTTCCCAATTTCGCTCACCATGATCCATATGGGCTTCTGCTCATCCCTGGCTTACCTCCTCGTCCGCGTCTTCAAGCTCGTCGAGCCTGTCTCCATGTCACGTGACCTCTACCTCAAGTCTGTCGTGCCCATCGGAGCCCTGTACGCCCTCTCGCTCTGGTTCTCAAACTCCGCCTACATATTCCTCTCCGTCTCCTTCATCCAAATGCTCAAAGCCCTGATGCCCGTTGCGGTTTATTCAATTGGGGTTGTGTTCAAGAAGGATCCTTTCAAAAGTGACACTATGCTCAACATGGTTTCGATCTCTGTTGGTGTCGCCATCGCCGCTTATGGAGAAGCCAAATTCAATAGTTGGGGAGTGGCGTTGCAGCTTTTAGCTGTGGCTTTTGAGGCCACGAGGTTGGTTCTTATTCAGATTCTGCTTAATGCTAAGGGTATTAGTTTGAACCCCATTACTTCACTTTACTATGTTGCGCCATGTTGCTTTGTGTTCTTGTGCGTACCCTGGATTATTGTTGAGTTGCCAGTGTTGAGGGAGACCTCCAGTTTTCATTTCGATTTCGTCATTTTCGGGACGAATTCGGTGTGTGCGTTTGCTCTGAATCTTGCCGTGTTTCTGTTGGTGGGAAAGACCTCTGCTTTGACTATGAATGTTGCTGGGGTTGTCAAAGATTGGCTTTTGATTGCGTTTTCGTGGTCCGTGATTAAGGATACGGTGACACCCGTGAATTTGATCGGGTATCTGATCGCTTTCCTCGGGGTTGCCTATTACAATCATGCCAAATTGCAGGCACTTAAGGCCCTAGAGGCGCAGAGGAAATCTCAGCAGGATAATTTGGAGGCCGGGAGGTTATTGGAGGAGAGAGATGGAGAAGGGACTGGAAAGAAGAATGAAACCCAGGATTGATTTGCTAATGGGTAACTTCAACATTGTATCTGATAAAAAGGAAATATCCGATAAAGAAGGAAATAGAGAATTACATTGAAGAAAATCGAGAAAGAGCAACAGGAAGCCCTATGTATCAATTGGGTTGTTGATTGTTTAGACTTGAGCATGTATTGTTCTGGTTATGTGGTGTTAGATGATTATGTGTTACTCACTCTTTGTTCTTAGTCATTTTTGGTTTTATATCTAATAGTTCAATTTAGCAGTGGTCATCCTTACCATGCATTGTGGCAATTTATCTTTGAGAGCAGGAAATTATTAATGTTTTGAGACTCATAATTAGTTTACAAAGAGAGCTTGAAGTCATTGAGCATATTTATTCATATGCTTTTTCTTACTGTATTATGTACCCTTTATCTATATCGACTCGGTTCCTTCTTGTACTTTGCTTCTAATATTTACATGTCGTCGTTGTTCTTTTTCTATACATAATGTCACTATATGATTATTTTTAATATGTTTGGAGCTGGAAAGAAGTCTAGTAAATTTGGGTTGAGTTAACACCAATTTTATAGCTGTTGTTCCAGCATTTCTTGCATCTTCCATTTGGTTGATCCTATATAAATTCAGGCACTTGATAACAGATGGTTTACTAAATTCATCAAAATGGATTTAGGGTTTCTTCTCATGTTGTTGCTATCAGGTGGTGGTTTTCTTCCAGGACATTAAATGCTACATACTGCTTGTTTGATCCAAAAAAAAATGTAAAAAAGTGATCAGGAACTTTTGTGTAAAGTCTAAACTAATCATTTTCTTTAAGCGAGAGCTGTCTGATCTGGCAAACAGTTTTGATGCTTTGGGACGGTTTAGATGAAGAATTTAACTGATGCATTACTGTCAGTTACACGCTGTACTTTGGATTGAGAACTGATGCATGAGGCCATTTACTTTGAATTTTTGTATTGGGAGTCTTTTAGTCAGGACTCAGTCTTTTGGCAAGTTTGGTCTTTTTGAGAAACACCCTCCTTTTCCTAAGTTACTGCTAAAAAAATTGACAGTTTGTGTCCTTTTGATGCCACGCTGCATTTTGAGCTTTGAAAGAAAGATGACTGTTAAATGTTGGCGAGGGATTTGCTTCTCCTTCCCCAAATCACGGAGGAATTAGATGAGAATGATGGCGCTCATGTTTTTTGACTGAATGAAAAGCGCATAAGCTTTCTGGTAATAAAAATGTCAAAGGGAAATTATACTGTGACAGGAGCAAATTACAGATTGGACAGAAATATAAAACAGAACATCAATTCCTTTGTGATCAATGACAAAGAAAGGGATGAAATCGCTTTCTCAATGGCCATTCAAACTTGACGACAGGCAAACCAGAGGAAGCTCTTTGCACGGCCAATTTTCAAACCTGTCTTGTGAAGAATCAGCTCCAGCATTAGGAAATAGGCATGTATGATGAAATACAGCTTTCTTTGAAGTATCTTTTGCTATAAAAAAAATGTGGTGCATTGTGGGAACAAAAAAAAGCCACATGCACTGATGTCTGCTCAACTATAATTAGCAACTAGCACTTGTCTTCAGCAGGGTAAGCATTAGCAGCAGAAGTAGGTGTCAAGCCTCTCGTTGTTTATACTGCTCGCAAGCCATCCATCTTTGCCTCCTGTCACCTTATTCACAATCGATACCAAGAGACTGCTAAAGAAGAAACCAAAGGACAATGCGCTAACGAAGAGGCCTGTGCTCATAGTTTTCATTCCTTTAGGCGATTCGGTTATGAAGAAATCAAGCTGGCCAGTGTATACAAAAGCATTAGCAGACCCCACCAGAATGAACTGTGGGAGGAAGAAGAAAACACTAATATGCAGAGGATTTGATCCACCATTGGCTTTAGCAACTGCTAACCTCTTCCTCTCACATAGTGCTGCTGCTCCCATCCCAATAGTTGATAGCACAAGCCTAATTGCCATTCTCTATAGATGGGTGAAACCTATTGCATGCAGATAGAGATGGATAAATGCATACTGAGTCTTTTACACACTTAACTTTGCCCAAAATTAGTAATCAGTTTGTTGTGGAGTATTCATATATGTACCTGGTTGGCCTTTCCATTTCTTCCAGAGAGGTATGATGACACGGTCATTGAAAGCCAGAGTGATCACAGATTCATAATGGCTAACACAAAGAAGACGGTGCGAGAGGCAGCGGATTTGAAAGCTTCCGATGGTGGATGCTTGTTGTACTGAGTGAGAAGGTCATCATCTGTGCATAACAAGTCCAAAATATGATGGTTGTGGCCCATATGGGAAGTAGTCTTATCATCATTTTCACCTCCTCCACCTTTGTAACTGGTCTCTTAGCTTCCGAGACAGCCTTGATGGCATTTCTGTCCTCAAAGTCTCCATCAGGTTCATTGCTATTCCCATAGTTTAAGCCTTTCACATAATTCAACTTCTGCAAAATAATAATAATAATTAGTTGAATGCAATAATTAAGAACTGGCTTGACTTAAAGTAAGAAACTTTATAGGTGGTGACAGAACAATTGTTCCATGCATTTGTGCTGAATGTGCTAATTATGGAATATTTTTGGCCAGCATGTTTCCCTCATTCATGCAGTAAGCATCTGTTAAACCTGGCCCCCACGAGTGCACCTTAATTTGTATGAACCTTCTACTTGTTCATAGACGAAAATAAGAACACTAAACACACACCCATTATAAGCGCGGCGGTAAGCCAACCACCAGTTTTGGACTTGTCAGCACGGTGCCCTTTGTAGTCAACAGCATCTGCAAGACTGCAACAATGGAACTCATTTTCCCTTCCTGAAGAAAACTTGGCCCCCACGAGTTTGAGAGTGGTTGCTGCTTGCTATGATAAAGATGGAGATTAGGCAGCTTCTTGGATTTGATGAGGCTATGAAATGAAATGCTTTCTATTTGATGATTGTCAAGATTACAAACCGTGTATTTATATAAATTGAACAAAGGCTTTAAACAACAAACAGCTTAGTAACAACACGTAGTCTTTAACTGCTTTAACTACTTGTACAGAACAGGCCAAAACATAAGAAAACTACTTGTACAGATTAAAAACAACAGTTGCAATTGCTTGATTGATTCCATCTCATGTACAACTCCATCCTACTTTTGGAAAGAGAGTGAGAAAGAGGAAGACAAATGTGAAGGACGAACCCAATCCAAGCCAAACACTTAGCTTATCTGATGCAATTATCTCATGTTTATTCCTTGTAAATCTCTCCTCTTATCTTGATAGAGTTATATATCTATCTAGTTTTTTGTACTGGTTACAAGTGTTGATCAGTACAAAGAGACTAGATAGAGATATAAGAGGAAGAGATTTACAAGGAATAAACGTGGACAATATATGTTGGAATATTATTTCAAAATAACTTATTAAAATTATCTTTGGTTTTTCCATAGTATTCTATAATCCCTGCCGTAGTAGGCAACCAAAATAGTATGGGAATGAGCCAAATATGCAGAATTAACTGTTAATGGTATATTTGTCCAAATTCGTTCATATCTGAACTGTGTAATATATATTCATCCATGAACAGTTATATTTTTATTTTCACCGGTACTTTTATCATGTTCCTAATATAGGCAGTTAATATGAGATTATTATGCTAATTCAAGTTGAAACTTTCATCATTGCATTATTAAAATTGCCACATGTTATTTTATGTGGGCTTGTAGCAGTGGCTTTCATGTCATTTTGATGCATGTATATATACATTTACACTTGTAGTATACGACACACTTGAACTAATCACACCCTCATTTCTATTAAGATTCTCAAAGCAAACATAAATTAATGCACAGATTAGCTAGCACCTATCCTCAGCAGAGGAACCATTAGCTTTAGCAGTAGTAGAAGTCATCTGCAAAGCAGGTGGATGCTGTTCGTGTGTCTTGTACCACCTTGCACAAACAAGATAAACTACAAAATTGATTACGCTTAGAACGGTCAAAAGTCCATAGAAACAATCAAGCCTCCCATAATTTATATTGTCTGTAAGCCATCCTTGCTCATCTTTGCTTCCTGTCACCGCCTTCACAATCGAAACCAAGAAGCTACTAACAAAGAAACCAAGGGATAAAGTGCTGAGGAAGAGGCCTGTGCTCATAGTTTTCATTCCTTTGGGGGACTTGGTTATGAAGAAATCGAGCTGGCCGGTGTATATGAAAGCTTCACCAGAACCCACCAGGAAGAATTGTGGGATCAATAAGAACACACTGATAGGCAGAGTTTTAGTGGTGCCTCCCACTGCTCTAGCCACTGACAACCTCTTCCTCTCGGATAATGCTGCCACTGCCATTCCAATTGTTGATAGGACAAGGCCAACTGCCATCCTCTGTAGATTGGTGAAACCTATCGCAAAGAGAAAATGTTTTCAGGAACTGCAGTGTAATTTATTCTTGTATGCACTTGCATGCAAGATTGCTATGTAAAGTAACAATCAAGGGTAAGAAAATCATCATATTATCATAAAACTAAGATTGCTTTAGTTTTTTTTTTTTTTTTTTTTTTTTTCTTAGTATAAAATAATAATACCTGGTTGGCCATTCCATTTCTTCCAAAGAGGCATGATGAGACGGTCATAGAAAGCCAGAGTGATCATTATGGCTAGCACAAAAAAGACTGTAAGAGAGCCGGCTGGGATTTGAAATTTTCCGATTGACCTCTGCATGGTGGATGCTTGTTCTACAGAGAAGGTGATCATCTGTGCATAGGCAGTCCAAAACATGATGGTTGTGGCCCATATTGGAACTAGCCTTACCATCATTTTCACCTCCTCCACCCTTGTAACTGACCGTAGCTTCCAAGGGTTTGGGGAAAGGGAACCTGCAGCATTTCTCTCCTCAAAATCTCCTTGTGCCAGAATAGCAGCCTTGTCCAAGAAACTATCCAAAAATTGAACCACATGACATGAAATGCAAGATATCAGGCAATCGAAGATTTGCAAAAAGAAAAGAACAAAGAAAAAAGAATAGTCCATGTTATCTTGCAGAGCAAGCCTGCTCAGTAACCAATAACCCCACTTCATCATTTCCCATAAAATAAATACTGAACTTACCAGAACTGATCGGTGTGATCAATTCTTGAAGCCTCAGGAGAATTCTCATACAATGAGTTTGTATCAACTGGAGTGGTCATCTTTCTCTTCCTTATAGCAGCCACAATAACCTGCAAAATTTGAACTATGGGACTTCCCGAGCTTTTCTTGTATCTGTATCTTCTAGTCCCAGCCAAAAATAGTAAGATGGCCATAAACATTGAAATGGAACATATTCCATAGGCCAAGCTACGATCCACCTCATCTTGTATGTAGACAAGTATTGTGACTGCCACCAAAGTTCCTGTGCTAATGAAGAGGAAAAACCTATTGAAGAAATAGGCCATCTGGGCTTTCTCTTTGTCATCTTTCTCGTCAAATTGGTCAGTTCCAAATCCTGAAACACTTGATTTCAACCCACCAATCCCTAGTCCAATTGTGTATAAAGCCAGGTAAAAAATTCCCATTTGGAACCCGTTGGCTTGCTTGCAGTTGTTGCTGGCGGCAGTAGCGTGACAAAGAGGTGGCCGTAGCTGTGGCAGTTTTACTGATATTGCTAATGCAACCATGCCCTGCATCAGAATTATTTGATTAAGATTAGATCACAGTTAATTATTATGGAACACAAGAAGAAGTCAATGGTTAGAGCATATCACCAAGAAACTTAAGACAAACATATATAGTATACCATGATCATGGTGGATTAAAAAACCTTTTCATTCAAAAAGAAAAGAAAAAGAAAAGATGCATGTGCATACACCAATAATAAAATGGACATAGTCTAAAAAACAAACCAGTGTTTGTATTGAAGCAAAGATTGCAATAGTGTTGTATCTGCCAAGAAAGGAATCGGCCAGGAAGCCTCCAAGCAAACAGAGGAGAAAGGATGTTCCCAAAAAATCTGTGACAATATTGGCTGAAGTTGAACTTGGCAAATGCATTGTTCCAACTAGGTATGTCACCAGATTAACTCCGATTCCCATGGTTGAAAGCCTTTCGCATATTTCAATTCCTACACAAAAATAATGAAAATTTTGAATTAGGTGCCATATAGTTGAAATAAGCAAAAGGGTTATTTGAGTAATTGGCAAGAGAATTGTTTTCATGCATTTGTGCTGCCGAATGTGCTGATTATGGAATATTATTTTGTCCAGAAATAGAATGTTTCCCTCATTGATTAAACATGTTACGCACAACCCCTAAAACCCATCTCTCACCCCCAGCCATCACCTTTGCATGAACCTCCTACTCGAACTCGATCACAATTAAGCTGTACTAATTAACTGATCAAACAACCAACATCACTTCTGATCAAATATGATCACTGACTGATTCATAGGGAATTAACTTTGAAGTTAACAAGCTATAATGATGATGAAGAAATTCTTCAATCACGAAAGCAAGAGCGTATACCTAATATAAGCGCGGCGGCCACCCAACCGCCAGTTCTGGACTTGTCAGCAGGGAACCCTTTGTAGTCCACAGCATCGGCAACAGTCCAACTCATTTTCCCGTCCTGAGGAAAACAGACATTAATGTGTTCAATTTGCATGTGTTTATATAAGAGAGGAAGAAGAAATATTTCAACTTGCATTAACAACCAGGATATCGAGTATGCATCTCAGAAACGAAACTGAATACCAACCATTTTCTAAAGTTTCAACAGGGAAATGACCACGAAAATACTAATGCTGATAAAGAAATCTGGGAAACTGAACTGAAGGTGTTCTACTCACAACTTGGATTTGTCCAAGTCTTGGGAGCCACCCCTTTTATAGGCAGGCAGAAAGCCTGAGCTAAACCAATGTTACACACAAGGGTAGAACTAGAAATTTTTCAACGGGTGGGCTAGCTAAAGTTATTAGCTTAAAATTTAATTATTACTTTTTGAGATATTTAGTAATATACCCATTCTTAGCACTAATATTATAGATAAACCCTACACTATTGAATTTCTATAAACAAACCCAAAAAATGATAGTTGGCCTTATTGAATTTAATGTTGATTATTAAATTATTTTGGTGCCCTATTGAGCGTTTTGGGTATTTTTATGAGATTTTGGGGTTGGACTTGTTTTAAGAAATTGATGGTAGTTTTGTAATTTATAAGAAGTTAAAAGCCTTTTTGTTATGTTGTAAATGAGCTTTGGGTGTGTTTCTAAAGTTCATTTCATATAGTGTATTTTTATAATTTGGGCCCCTATATTGGGTATAATAGTGAATCTCCCTTATTTTTTTTGGTACTTCCAATTTCTATAGTCTTTCTAGAAATAAAAATAAACATTAAATCATATAAACCAAGCTAGTTCATAGCTCCATAGACTAATTTTCAATAAGTTTTAACATAAACCAAATAGGGTTTAACACCATAATGGATTGAACATCTAAGGCTTTTTATCTAGATTGACCTTAGGTTCTTTCATGCATTCATATCATACATGAAAAGTTGTTTTATGTAAAAATATTAACTAAGTATGAAAAATGGGTTTTCGGAATAATCATTTTCTCAAGATAATTTTTGGTGGCTTTTTATTCTTCACACATCAAATAAGAAAACTTGATTTTATGGGATTTTAGTATGAAGTATATATTGACTTAATGAGCCATCATTTTTAGCCTAAATCGTATTTTACACTAAAACCGATTTTTCATATTTTAATTTTGTGGGAATTTGATTTTCTAGTATTTTTATTTGAATCCAAATAGGGGGTACTTCCTTATTTACATTGTAAATTTAAGTAAATGGAGTAATATAAAAATGTCTTTGTCATTTTACTTTTATTTATTTTTATATTACTCCATTTACTTAAATGTTGAAAATGAAAATAAGATAATCTATACAACGCCACTAACTGAGCTAATATTGAAAATAAGTTAAATATATAAATTATATATATATATTTCTTAAAAAACCACACTAGGCTACAACCCACTGTAGCCCTTAGTGTGGTTCCGCCCACGGTTACACACAAATTAAAGTGACCTCCCCACTACAAGTTTGAGATTGATGCATGTTATGATAAAGGTAGAGAAGAGATTAAGCTTATCCCATTTGATGAGTGGAAGATTCTAGGGCCCATTAAAATTGTGTTTTATTTAGATATATAAACTGGAAATTATTGTAAAAATAAATATAAAGGTGTGATGGTGATTGAGAACGTATATTAGAGAAAATTTTGGAATCTGGAACTTTGGCACACCCGTGGCGTTTTGCGTCTCATGATCTCTGATAAGTGACAGATATATATGTTTTGTTGTGAAGAAGATTGTGAACCACAGCAAAATATGCACCTACCGAGGCCTTTGTAATTCTAAGTGCTTTTGCCGCCCCACAACCAAATCCTCCCCGCAACCAAATCGTCCCCTCCATCTATATATTGTTTATTGTATTGTCTCTGTTAGGCATTTGATTGATTACAATATATGATGATTGTGGGAGCAAATTACCGTCCCATTAGAATATTCGCCAAAGATTCCTTCGTCTTCTCCACTTCTCTTTCTCCTTGCAAAACAAATCGGAGTAAAATGACCACACCCAGGGGGTGTTAGCCAAATGCCCTCCGATGCCTAAGTTAGATTGGGTGTTTCAAGGAAAACCGGGTGGCCGGAGCCTTGTGTGAGAGAGAGAAGGAATATGGTGGCTAGGGTTTTGGAGAAATGATTTCTGCAGAGTTTCAATAGGAATTTAGACGTACCTTAACCCTTGTGTGTGACTATCTTTTTATAGTCACTCGGAGGCTAGGGTTTCAGAGGAATAATTCCGTAAATAGAAATGAATTATTCCTCCCCGATTTGGAATTGATTTGATTAATTAGGGATTTGATTTATTAGGGTAAATCAAATCCCTAATTGTGGTAGGTATCAAATTAATTCTCAATTTAATTAGGTAATTCTCAATTTAATTGGGTAACTTCTAATTAAATTGAGTAACTCCCAATTAAGTTAAGTAATTCTCAATTAGGTCAAATAATCCCCAAATGGAAGGAATTATTTGACCTAAGGTCTGATTTAATTCGGTTCCCACAATGATGATGATTTTTTCTTCTTCTTTTCTGATATGAAAATTAAAAGGTTATCAAATTGTGTATGAAGAGTTTTTAGAAGATGTCTCAGTTTGACAAAAGTTATATACAATGCATGTTCACACACAGCAGCACCACCAGGCACCATCAACAGACAGCACGAGTTTGTGAATTTGATCAAATATACCCACCGGCCATTAGGGTAGCATCACATGAGGTATTTCAGATATGAGAAACCCATAAACAGGCAAACCCTCTTGTGGTTCACAGGCCCAGTCCCCACACCTCACCCACCACCCTTCCACAACTCCTCTGTTAAAATATCAACCCCAACTCAGCCCATTTTGAGGAACATTCTCTACAATGTTCTAGAAGCATCATAAGTGTAAAGAACAAGGTGATAATGTCTGTTACCACTAGAAATATCTAGAATATTTATATATATATGTATATGTAGATCAATCCAGGAGAAAACGAAAACTGGAGTATAAAAGCACAAGTCGGTGGAGTAAGCAAGTTGGCAAACAAGTTGGCTAGGAATTATGGAAGGCTAAGCAAGTTGGCACATTGAAGCTTGGAGAATAGTCTAGAAGAATTGTGTAGCTAATATTATATAGCCAAGGCGGTCAGCTATGTCGGCTAGAACAACTATAAATAGGCATGAAGCCATACATTGTAGTATCAATCAAGAAGTGAAGAGTGTAAATAAGTAGAGTGAGCAATAAGCTATAGAGTTAAGTAGTCCTTGTGAGAAGTGTGAGTGAAGTGAGAAAGAGTTTGTAAAAGTTGGCATTTCCTTTGAGAGTTGTTTGTTGTAATATTTTGTGAGTCTAATACAAGTAAATTGTTTACTTGTTTTGTCTCCAACAAGTCTACATTAGAGTTGTGTACTCTAAATTTTCCTCGACATCCTCCACTCCACTAATTAACTAACTAGATTTTGACCCTTGTAATAGATCCCCTTTTTTTCCAAGTATTACTCTTCCTAATAGTACCTTGATAGAGATTCTTATTTTGACAATTTTTAATATTATCAGTTTGCTGCAACGCAATGCCATAAAAAAGATCATTCAACATAACTGTGGTGCCCAGATACGTTGTCAAATCTGATTTGCATTAATTAAATGCATGCCATCCAAAATAATGTCACTTTTAGGCGATTAAATTAGAGGGTTTGAGTGTATTGTGGGCTGCATTATAGAAAAGGGTGATATGGTGATGACTCAAATATCTTGTTTAATGGTGATTAGAAGTCATGTAATGTGACTGGTAACTGGTAAGATGAACATGACAGCAAAAAACAATGCCCTGTTTTCTGAATATTAATTGATGTCTCTTGTTTGTTAATAGTCATGATCATATAGCAAGGTTCATATGATGCCTCATTTCTGTTTAACTCCGTCTCTGTGGCATGGCATGCAAAACAAACGCTTTCCTAAGGCTAGCTAGTCAATGTCATCACGCGTTTATGTTTGATAGCATTGATGCAGTTTTTTGGTTTATTTTTTCTGCAATTTGTTTGAAGCAGCATGCATAAATGAGTGAAGAAGGGGAAGCAAAAAAGAGCAAAATGCAAGTCACAATCTCTCCTCTTCCAAATTCTAAAAGAAACATAAAAAAAACGTGGTCGGCAGGATTCGAACCTGCGCGGGCAAAGCCCACATGATTTCTAGTCATGCCCGATAACCACTCCGGCACGACCACTTGATGCTAGTTGTTCTACAACTTTTCGTATATATATTTTCTCTATTAAGTTTTAATGCCCAAAGGCAAAGTGAGTGTCCTCACAATTTGGACCCATCAAAGTTATTGAATTATCATTGTCCATCAATCAATGTAGCTATCAATGTAGCTGTGAAATTAGAGACGCAATTTCATCAATCAATGTAGATTTTTAATTTCTCATATTATTGGATGTTACCAATACCAAGTTTGTACTCTTTTGTTTTAATAAAAATAAAAATAAAGATAAAGAGAGAGAATATACTGAAGCTCACATGCAACTTGCAAGTGTGAAGAAGGCCTGAGCCAAATTGAATATAGAATTAGAAATATAATTCAATTGCTGCAAATGGAAAGGCAACCAACTACCCTTTGGTCTTTTACAGAGCTAAGAGAGGTCCCAAATTGCGTTAAAACCCAACCAGTATTAGGATTTATTGGGAATAACAATCAATCAAACAATTTGGTTCAAAAATTTAAAACACAAGTACCAAAAACATAGAGAAACAGGGAGGAATACAAATTAAGACACACGAATGTTTGTGCGTAGGTAAATATCCCACAAACCCTAGCTGGGATATTATATATTGGATGCTTAATTACGAGAAAATCCCTATGAAAAGCAAACCCATCATCCCAAACACCAATCCCATGAAACCCGCATTGCTCTTAATCGAACCAGCATCAGAATTATCAGGTGACGACGCAGCCTTTGTTGCCGTTTCGTTTGAGCTTCCTGATGATGAGGGGGTCTTAGCTGGAGGAGGAGCCGATGCAGGTGCCTTGGCGCCAAACAAGTCATTAGGCAACAGTACTTTGTCCACTTGGTAAACGGCCAATGGAAACTGTTGTCTAAGTGCATTGTTGATCTGAGTCTCCACCACCCCACTAGACACATTAACTTGGTTTCCCGACCCTGTGAAGTTCAGCCCGTACGCGCCGCCGTCTTGGCCCGTGGCCTGAGTTCTAACGGGGTTTGACACCGTTAAAAGACTGGTCAGAGTGTAATATTTGGGCAGCACATGGTAGAGCACAACGGCTACTTGTTGTTGGGTTGTGAGACTGTTGAGTGTGCCGGCTTTGAGGCTGGTGAAAGCATTGTCTGTCGGGGCAAAGACGGTTAGGCCCTCGGTGGAGCTGTTGAGTTGGTTTGTAATTTGGGATGCTACTTGGGTTTGGATTAGGAGGCGGATGAAGGTGGTGAATTGGCCGTTCTTGTCGAGGATGCCGGTGAAGTTGAGTGGGCCCGCGGGGCCCGGGGCGGGTGCGGTTTGGGCTTGGGTGTGGGGGGTGAAGAGGAGGAGGAAGGAGAAGGCTGCAGTGAGAGTTGGGAGAATGAGAGCTGCCATGGTGTTTTTGGATGGAGTGGTGTAGTGTAGTGTAGTGGGATGATGGGGGATTTTATGGGATAAGGCGTAAAGGCATGGGGTCGGTGAGAGAGAGAGAGCCTATGTTGGAATGAGCTGGCTTGGCTCTAATTGTGGACTAAAATAAATCATGACAACACATAAAAGAAGAAATTCTATTTGGGCACAAACGTGACAACGCTTCTACATATAATTTTTTACCCCTTTTTGGTTGAAAATATATAGACCAAATAAATTAGCATATATCCATTGAATAAACAGCTCAACTCACAAATATTTGCTAGTCTGATTTGGATGTCTAGCCATCCATGAGTAGTAGTAGTATGTTTGACCTATCTACATATTAAAATCCTATATTTTCGTTCACCTGGTGTAAGTTGAGGTGCATTTGCAAATGATAATATATATATATATATACCTTCTATTTATTTGAGGGAAAGGTACCCTACAATTTTTTTTTTCCAACGATCTAAACCATTAATTTTTTTAGTCTACATTAATAGATCATCTTTACAAAAAATTAGACAAATCATAAACCATTTCAATATCCAATTGTATATTACAAAATCAATGAATACGGTATTTCAAGAAAATACTAAAATTTCAATAACACAATTGAGTGATCAAACGATATTGGATTCAAGTAATTTTTTTTAAAGATAATATTTGAATGATTATCTAAAACATAGATAGTTTGGATTAGTGAAATACAATGTGAAGTGGGCTCTACAAGGGTGTTCCTCAAATAAACTAATTTGAGAAATCCCTCAATCGAAGCTATATATATGTGTGTGTGTGATGAAATTAATTATCTCACATTTGTGATATTCTTTATTCAAACAACAGATCCTGAAAGAAGAAAAAAAAGTTAAACCCTCTAGAATTATTAGTCCAAGTTAGACCAAGACAAAATTAAACTCGACTCAACCCATCAAGTAGTGGTATTACGTTCGTCTGCATATTCTTTTATTGATTAATCAAAAAGCAGAGACAGACAGAAGGTATAAGCATATATCCAGATCAGTGATCAGTTTGGGCAGCTTGGCTGGCATATAACATGGCATGTGGGATTCCCGTTTAACAGCTCTATATAGTTTGGTTTCACCACCATACAACTACAGTCCAGCCTACCAACGGAGAAGAACTTGCATGTCATCACGGGGTCCTCAATTAATCGTATTTTGTCATGTAAAATAGCAGAATGTGATCAATAAAAAATAGCAAAACAGTGATATTCTCATGATATACAAGTTTTCTTTCTGCCAAAGAAGTATTGTTCCCCTATGAGCAATGATGATGAAGAAGAGAAAATTTAATATAAAAAATATAGTGCCACATTATTGTGTGTTATAGGAACCAAATGCGTGTTGCAGGGCCCATTATCAACAATATACCAGTCTGTTTGTCCCTACACTAGCATATCTATTTGTATACAAATCTCAGCCCGTCCTCATTCATTCATTTTGAAGTATATATATTGCCAATGCCAGGTGGGATTAATGTTTGCAGCTTAATGAATTTGTACCAACTCTGCCTTGCCTTCAGTTTCATGCCAACAACCACAAAATATTTATTTATAAGTAGCTGCTCTGCTCGCTTTTCATATTTAGTATACATCTCACAGGTAGGCGATAATCTTCAATCTTTTTTCTCATACACACAACTGATGTTATGGAAGTTTGAACCTAAGACCTCTACTATGTAAGTCAAGACTCTTAATATTTGCCAATGCCAAGCGGGACCATTGGCTCAATCTTAATAACCTTAACAACCATGCATTCCAATCCTAATTTTGATGTATATTTTGAGGTTTATTTAAGCCCAATCATTGGGTATGGTGTGAGGATGGGCAAGGTAGATCCTAATGGACTACCAAATCGTTGTTTTTTTTTGGGTGACTACCAAATCATTTATAAGCCCATTTTATGCTTACATCTTACTACAAACAAAAAGCCCATGCTTTATTTCTTAAAAGAAAACCCAAAGAAACAAAAGCCAGTGTTTCGGCTTTCAGAGGGTTTAAGGCGCGCTCTCCTCTCTGCCTAATGCTATTTTCTGATTACAATCGGCGTTTTGTTCGTTTCTCATGATTATCCGCCAACTGAATTTCAAAACCCTCCAACGAATACCCAAGCAACGGTATGCTAGCAGCTCTTACTTCCATTCATTCAGACATGAGCACCAACCGTTCGACCAAAATCCCCAACCAAATGCAGCCTCAACTAACCGCTCTATGCTCAACTACTTGCACAGAAACCTTCCACTTAGAGCCCTTGACATGTTCTGTAAGCAATTTCAACTACATTTGTCTCATAACATCGATGAAGTTACCGTTACCCTTGCTGTCAAGGCCTGTCAAGGGGACCCTAAACCTGGATGCCAAATTCACGGGTTTGCAGTTTCTTCTGGATTTGCTTCGTATACTACGGTTTCAAATTCTTTGATGAGTATGTACACTAAAGCTGGCCAGCTTGATGGTGCCTTACTTATCTTTGAGACTATGTGTTATACTGATATAGTTTCTTGGAATACTATTCTTTCGGGATTTCGAACAAGTGAGGGTGCATTGAATTTTGCTCTTAGGATGAATTTTAATGGAGTTGTTTTTGATCCAGTGACTTATACTACGGTTCTTGCTTTTTGTGCGGATCATGAAGATTTTCTATTTGGATTACAACTGCATTCTCTTATATTTAGGTCTGGTTTAGATGGTGAAGTTTTTGTTGGAAATGCACTTATAAGTATGTATTCGAGGTGGAGATGGTTAATAGAAGCTAGGAGTGTGTTTGATGAAATGGCGAATAAGGATCTGGTTTCATGGAATGCAATACTATCAGGTTACTCTCAAGAGGGAAATCATGGGCTTGAAGCGATTTTTGTCTTTATTGAGATGGTGAGAGAAGGGGTGGGGTTAGATCACGTCTCATTTACTAGTGCAGTATCAGCTTGCGGTCATGAAATGAATTTAGAACTTGGGAAACAGATACATGGCTTGACAATTAAATCAGGATATGGAACTCATGTTTCAGTTTGTAATGTATTGATCTCGACATATTCAAAGTGTGAGGTTACTGAAGATGCAAAATTAGTCTTTCATTGCATGAATGATCGCAACGTAGTGTCTTGGACGACTATGATTTCTATAGACGAAGAAGATGGCATCTCTCTATTTAATGAGATGAGATTGGATGGAGTATATCCAAATGATGTTACATTTGTTGGACTAATCCATGCTATATCAATTAGGAAGTTGGTGGAGGAAGGCGAAATGATTCATGGGTTTTGCATAAAGACTGGCTTTTTATCAAAGCATAATGTTTGCAACAGCTTTATTACCATGTATGCTAAGTTCGAGTCCATGCATGACTCCATCAAAGTTTTTGAGGAGTTAAACAGCAGAGAAATCATATCGTGGAATGCTTTGATTTCAGGGTTTGCTCAGAACAGGTTGTGTCAAGATGCACTAAAATCATTCTTGGTAGCAACTATGGAGTCGAAGCCAAACAATTACACATTTGGTAGTGTCTTGAGTGCAATTGGTGATGCTCAGGATATTTCTCTGAAATTTGGCCAACGATGCCACTCTTCCTTGATCAAACTTGGATTAGTGACTGACCCAATTATTGCAGGTGCTCTTCTTGATATGTATGCAAAGCGAGGAAGCATTTGTGAGTCCAAAAGAGTTTTCAGTGAGACGCCTCATAAAAGTCAGTTTGCTTGGACTGCATTAATATCTGCGTATGCTGGCCATGGAGACTATGACTCAGTGATAGAATTGTTCAAGGAGATGGAGAAAGAAGGGGTAAGACCTGATTCAGTCACATTTCTTTCTATACTAACAGCATGCAGCAGAAAGGGAATGGTGGAGATGGGCCGTCACATCTTTCACTCAATGGTGAAAGACTATCATATTGAACCATCTCCTCAACATTATTCAAGTATGGTGGACATGTTGGGACGGGCAGGGAAATTGGAGGAAGCAGAGGAATTGATGACTCAGATCCCAGGACAGCCAGGGTTTTCGTTGTTGCAAAGCCTGCTTGGGGCTTGCAGGATCCATGGGAATGTGGAGATGGCGGAGAGAGTAGCCGATACATTGATGAGATTGGAACCAATGGAATCAGGTTCTTTTGTGTTGATGTCCAACTTGTATGCTGAGAAAGGGGACTGGGAAATGGTAGCAACAGTTAGGAAAGGGATGAGAGATAAAGGAGTGAGAAAGGAAGTGGGATATAGTTGGGTGGATACTGGTGATGCTGATGGTTCCTTGTATCTGCATGGGTTTTCATCTGGTGATACATCCCACCCACAGTCTGGGCAGATATGTAGAATGGCAAAATGTCTAGGATTAGATATGAAAATTTTGAGAGAGAACATGTGGGAGACAAAATCACTGAAAATGGACTCCTTCTCAAGGCCCTCACTTTGAAGGCTTGAATCTGTACATGTAAAGCTTCAAAAGTAACTCATGATTGTTAAGAAGTTCTGTAGCCAAATTTCTAAAACTAAAAATAAAAAAAGGAAATTTATCTTGAGGTAACATACAAATGAAGTTTTGATGTGAATGATAACAAAAGGTCATGTATGGGTTCTCTTTGCCCATCACGACCTATAATCTTCTTGTTTAACATTTATAACAAAAAGAAAAAAGACAGGTTGCACATACAAAAGGTCATATAAATGAGTGAAAATTAACCATCAAGATCTGGTGAGTCATGGAAACAACCAGAAGACAAAGCAATAATAATAGAGGAAAATGCAAGTTAAATATAGCCGCGCGGCTATACTTTGTGAATGTATTCGAATATTTTAAAGGTATAGACGAGCGGCTATACTATTTAAATGAATTAGTTTGAAGGTATAGCCGTGCGGCTATACACTGTGAATGTATTCGAATATTTTAAGGTATAGCCGACCAACTATACGCAGCACTCGCAGCCGCCCCCATTTTGCTTCTCCATAAGCGCTTCCAAGCTTCAAAGACTCGGTCTTGAGCCTCTCTCTCTCCCTCTCAACTCAAGCTTCGATTTTTTTTCTTTCATTTCGGCTGCTCCGTTGATTGGATTGGATTGGACTCTCTCTACGAAAGCCATCAAATGTCATTCAGCTATTGAAATCTCCACTAAGATAACAACTCTGATGCTATAAGGGAGTTAGGCGGCCTGGGCGGATCAAGGCGGCTCCTAGGCGGCCTGGGCGGATCTAGGCGGCTCCTAGGCGGCCTGGGCGGATCTAGGCGGCTCCTAGGCGGCCTGGGTGGGTCTAGGCGGCGCCTAGGCGGCCTGGGCTGTTCTAGGCGGCTCTGGTGGGTCTAGGAGGCGCCTAGGTTTCCTGGGCGGGTCTGGCCGCCTCCATTTTGTTCCAAATGAAGATGGACGAAGTTTGAACTCGCAGAGGAATGTGGTGCGCGAGTGAAATGAAGAGACAGAGAAACGAACACGATGAAGTTACCGTTACCCTTAGAGCCCGTGACATGTTCTGTAAGCAACTTCAACTACATTTGTCTCATAACATTGATGAAAATACCGTTACCCTTGCTATCAAGGCCTGTCAAGGTTACCCCAAACCCGGATGCCAAATTCACGGGTTTGCAGTTTCTTCGTATACTACAGTTTCAAATTCTTTGATGAGTGTGTACACCAAAGCTGGCCAGTTTGATGGTCCCTTACTTATCTTTGAGACTGTGCTATACTGATATAGTTTCTTAGAATACTATTCTTTCGGGGTTTCAAACAAGTGAGGGTGCATTGAATTTTGCTCTTAGGATGAATTTTAATGGAGTTGTTTTTGATCCAGAGACTTGTACTACGATTCTTGCTTTTTGTGCGGATCATGAAGATTTTCTACTTGGATTACAACTGCATTCTCTTATATAGTGGGACGGTTTGTGTTATATTTGACCCAAACCAGACTCGTTAGGTATTTACCCTAGTTGGTAGGATTGTGGTCTATGGCTGGACGTAGATGCACCTAATCGCCTATTTAAAGGTTAGACAGTGTGCATCCCATTTAGTGCAAGCATTTTAGTAAGCAGGGCTTATTGGTTGCAGACATGAAAGACCATGCCCAAGATAGTATTATTTGTTTATTTCTTCATGATTTTTTAGTTTATTATGTTGAAGCTTCAAAATCCTTACTTTGATGATTCTCCTAGCGATTTTAATCAATATAAAGCACGTTACAAGTGTTTTATTTGAATTTGGCAGAATGTTCCCTACGTTTTTGTCCCTTCGAAGCAAGCACTTGGCCGAGCCTGTGGTGTCACAAGACCTGTCATTGCGTGTTCTGTGACTTCCAATGAGGGAAGTCAATTGAAGTCGCAAATACAACAGCTCAAGGTACTCTTAGTTCTGGTTTTAATCTGCAATTTATGTTTCAGGTTTCCTTAGTGCTTGGATTTGGTCCTACGTTCTGAACATTTTATGTATGAACTGCAGGATGCCATTGAGAAACTCCTTATCTAAGCTATCTTCGAATGCATATTCAGTGGGACGGGCCTCTTCGGACTGTAATAGTGGGAGCCTTCAGAGGCGTTGACTAGGAAATGCATATTCAGTGTGATGGAGTTGTTGTGTTACTAGGAAATCTTTTGATGTTTGATTTGTATTAAATTTTATGTTTTTATGAACTTCGAGGCAAGTACTACTACTAAGAAGTCAGAATTGTATCTACTAAGAAGAATACCTGCACAACCATTTGCAGAGGATGCATGCAAGTAATTGAGCTTAAAATCCACCCACTTTTAGCACATATATCTGTCATGGCCTGGATGATTCGTGTACTTTAATCGAATACTGACTTCAAGTCTGACATAATTACTGATTGGTAATTCTAACTGCGAGAAATGTGGCTGAATGCAGAATTCATGCATGGTAGTAAGAGAATAAAACGATGAGAGAACTAAAAAACAAAACAAGACAACGTTCTCTGACCTGAAATAGCAGATTGGTATTGGAAAATCAACAAATCTCTTTGTTTTCCCATCATAATATTATGTTCCCTGCAACTGCAAGAGAATCAACACTCACGTAAATTTGTCCTGAAGAACAGCTGCTGCAATACATTCATGCTAGAAACCTTTTGTGAATATAGGAACCAAATGAAAAAGATACCGCACCAATTTTGCCTTACCTTAATAATGACCAGATGATGACCTAGAAGGTTTACACCCCATGCCAATGTGCTGGTACAAACCAATACCTATAATTTAATACATATGCCTGATCAGTATATAGATTACGAAAATGATCTTTTTGTATGCTGAGAAAGGGGACTGGGAAATGGTAGCCAAAGTTAGGAAAGGGACGAGAGATAAAGGAGTGAGAAAGGAAGTGGGATATAGTTGGGTGGATACTGGTGATGCTGATGGTTCCTTGTATCTGCATGGGTTTTCATCTGGTGATACATCCCACCCACAGTCTGGGGAGATATGTAGAAGGGCAAAATGTCTAGGATTAGAGATGAAAATTTTGAGAGAGAACATGTGGGAGGCAAAATCACTGAAAATGGACTCCTTCTCAAGGCCCTCACTTTGAAGGCTTGAATCTGTACATGTAAAACTTCAAAAGTAACTCATGATTGTTAAGAAGTACTGTAGCCAAATTTCTAAAAATAAAAATAGAAAAAGGGAATTCATCTTGAGGTAACATACAAATGAAGTTTTGATGTGAACGATAACAAAATTGGTCATGTATGGGTTCCCTTTGCCCATCACCACCACTTATAATCTTCATGTTTAACGTTTATAATAAAAAGAGAAAAAAGAAAGGTTGCATATACAAAAGGGTCATATAAATGAGTGAAAATTAACCATCAAGATCTGGTGAGTCATGGAAACAACCAGAAGACAAAGCAATAATAATAGAGGAAAATGCAAGTTAAATATAGCCGCGCGGCTATACTTTGTGAATGTATTCGAATATTTTAAAGGTATAGACGCGCGGCTATACTATTTAAATGAATTATTTTGAAGGTATAGCCGTGCGGCTATACACTGTGAATGTATTCGAATATTTTAAGGTATAGCCGACCAACTATACGCAGCACTCGCAGCCGCCCCCATTTTGCTTCTCCATAAGCGCTTCCAAGCTTCAAAGACTCGGTCTTGAGCCTCTCTCTCTCCCTCTCAACTCAAGCTTCGATTTTTTTTCTTTCATTTCGGCTGCTCCGTTGATTGGATTGGATTGGACTCTCTCTACGAAAGCCATCAAATGTCATTCAGCTATTGAAATCTCCACTAAGATAACAACTCTGATGCTATAAGGGAGTTAGGCGGCCTGGGCGGATCAAGGCGGCTCCTAGGCGGCCTGGGCGGATCTAGGCGGCTCCTAGGCGGCCTGGGCGGATCTAGGCGGCTCCTAGGCGGCCTGGGTGGGTCTAGGCGGCGCCTAGGCGGCCTGGGCTGTTCTAGGCGGCTCTGGTGGGTCTAGGAGGCGCCTAGGTTTCCTGGGCGGGTCTGGCCGCCTCCATTTTGTTCCAAATGAAGATGGACGAAGTTTGAACTCGCAGAGGAATGTGGTGCGCGAGTGAAATGAAGAGACAGAGAAACGAACACGATGAAGTTACCGTTACCCTTAGAGCCCGTGACATGTTCTGTAAGCAACTTCAACTACATTTGTCTCATAACATTGATGAAAATACCGTTACCCTTGCTATCAAGGCCTGTCAAGGTTACCCCAAACCCGGATGCCAAATTCACGGGTTTGCAGTTTCTTCTGGGTTTTCTTCGTATACTACAGTTTCAAATTCTTTGATGAGTGTGTACACCAAAGCTGGCCAGTTTGATGGTCCCTTACTTATCTTTGAGACTGTGCTATATTGATATAGTTTCTTAGAATACTATTCTTTCGGGGTTTCGAACAAGTGAGGGTGCATTGAATTTTGCTCTTAGGATGAATTTTAATGGAGTTGTTTTTGATCCAGAGACTTATACTACGATTCTTGCTTTTTGTGCGGATCATGAAGATTTTCTACTTGGATTACAACTGCATTCTCTTATATAGTGGGACGGTTTGTGTTATATTTGACCCAAACCAGACTCGTTAGGTATTTACCCTAGTTGGTAGGATTGTGGTCTATGGCTGGACGTAGATGCACCTAATCGCCTATTTAAAGGTTAGACAGTGTGCATCCCATTTAGTGCAAGCATTTTAGTAAGCAGGGCTTATTGGTTGCAGACATGAAAGGCCATGCCCAAGATAGTATTATTTGTTTATTTCTTCATGATTTTTTAGTTTATTATGTTGAAGCTTCAAAATCCTTACTTTGATGATTCTCCTAGCGATTTTAATCAATATAAAGCACGATACAAGTGTTTTATTTGAATTTGGCAGAATGTTCCCTACGTTTTTGTCCCTTCGAAGCAAGCACTTGGCCGAGCCTGTGGTGTCACAAGACCTGTCATTGCGTGTTCTGTGACTTCCACTGAGGGAAGTCAATTGAAGTCGCAAATACAACAGCTCAAGGTACTCTTCGTTCTAGTTTTAATCTGCAATTTATGTTTCAGGTTTCCTTAGTGCTTGGATTTGGTCCTACATTCTGAACATTTTATGTATGAACTGCAGGATGCCATTGAGAAACTCCTTATCTAAGCTATCTTCAGAGGTTTTGACTAGGAAATGCATATTCAGTGTGATGGAGTTGTTGTGTTACTAGGAAATATTTTGATGTTTGATTTGTATTAAATTTTATGTTTTTATGAACTTCGAGGCAAGTACTACTACTAAGAAGTCAGAATTGTATCTACTAAGAAGAATACCTGCACAACCATTTGCAGAGGATGCATGCAAGTAATTGAGCTTAAAATCCACCCACTTTTAGCACATATATCTGTCATGGCCTGGATGATTCGTGTACTTTGATTGAATACTGACTTCAAGTCTGTGACATAATTACTGATTGGTAATTCTAACTGCGAGAAATGTGGCTGAATGCAGAATTCATGCATGGTAGTAAGAGAATAAATCGATGAGAGAACTAAAAAGCAAAACAAGACAACGTTCTCTGACCTGAAATAGCAGATTGGCTTTGACATGCGGTGTTGGTTTTTGGTATATTGAAAAACGTTTATGCAGAAGAGAGAAGAAAAACTGATGTTTTCCTGAAACACAACCTTCACACACATCCTTCATTTCGGGTAACACAGGTAGTCCAGCCACCATTTCCATCTGCTGCATTTTTTTCATGCTAACAAAATTCAAATGTCCAAGTCTTCTATGCCAGATCCAAGAATCTTCAGTCACTGATGCTTTTCTAGCTGCAGGTGTCATAGATTCTAGTGAGAGAGGGAAGCATCTATTTCCTCCCATGACCACTTTAGCTACAACATTGTTGAGGCTGCCATCATAAAAAATAACTGCCATGTTACCCCCAAATAGGACATAGTAACCATGCTCCATCATTTGGCCTACACTCAATAGATTCTCATCCAAGCCCGGAACAAGCAACACTTCATGTATATACCTTCTCCCATGTTGAGTTTCAACTACTAGAGTGCCTTTTCCAGTTGCTTGTACAAGATCTCCAGTGCCCATTTTAACTTTGCAAGTCACAGTCCTGTCAATGTTTATTAACACAGACTCTTGAGAAGTCATGTGGTTGCTGCAGGCGCTGTCCACAAACCATACACTTCCATTTTTCACACTTGCAGAGTGGCAAGCATAGAACATGGTGCCTGTGATTACCTCTTCCTCCTTTGCACAGTTAGCCACCTGCTTGTTGCCTTCACAGTCTTTTGCAGTATGACCAAACCTATTACATTTTCCACATCTAGGTTTGCCTTCGTGCCTGCACACACCAAAATGATTCTTTTGACAGACTTGGCATTGTGGTTTCACACTTCCTTGACTGCTGCTACCTTGCTTGTTCTGAGAATTGAAACTATTGTTCCAATTTCCTCCAGCATTGTTATTCCAGCTTGAGCCATTGTTATTTTGAGACCAATTTGATCCCTTTTTGTCTTGTCCCTGCCACTTTTGATTTGGTCTACTCTGTGAGCCCTTATTAGAGCCATGAACTTGGTTATTTCCAACCTTGAGGCTACTAAAAGCTCTCTCAGTTCCAGCCACTTTATCTCTTTCATCATGCAAGTCTTCCCTTTTATCATAAACCTTGACAGATGCAATAACTTCTTCAACTCTAAGAACATCAAGATCTCGAGTTTCTTCAATGATAGACACAATGGACTTATATTTTCTACCTAGGCTCATCAAGAGTTTTTGCACAATTCTTGTTTCAGACACATCTTCACCAAGTGATTTCAAATTATTCACAGTTCCAAAAAACTTAGACAAATAGCTATCTAGGCTTTCACCATCTGTCATTCTCATATACTCAAAATCTGCTCTAACTGCTTGAAGTTTTACAGCTCTTACCTTTTTATCTCCTCTGTACTCTCTTCTCAGAGTATCCCAAGCTCCTTTTGCAGTCTTTTCATTTCTGATGCGAGGGAAGAGCTCATCAGTTAAGGCTCCTTGAATGAGACTCAGTGCCTTGGCATTTTTGATTCTGTCTTCTCTGGAGATAGTAGGTGCTTCCGCTGGAATTTTCTCAGCTTCACTTCCTTCACCTCCAGAGTCTTCTTCCTCCTCAATAACTGGCTGAGGTTGTACTCCGACCTCAACTACATCCCATAGATCATGTGCTATGAGGATGGTCTCCATTTTGACAGCCCAAAAATCATAGTTTGCACCATCAAACTGTGGAGTTTGTAGATCTCCACCTGAAGAACCTGATCCCACCATTTTCCTAGTGAGTCTTAGTGAACCAAACAATAAAAGAGCAACCTTTATCCTTTTTGGGAATTTTTCAGGAAAGCTCTCTCTCTCACAGCTCCCGCCCCTCTCTGGATTCAAACCAGGCTCTGATACCATGTTGGTTTTTGGTATATTGAAAAACGTTTATGCAGAAGAGAGAAGAAAAACCAGAGAGAATGAGAAAATGTTCTGTATTTTTCTATATTCAGGTCTGAGCAAAAACCTGCTCATATACATGACATAAGGTGCCAAAATCAGGATCCTAAATTTTAGGATACAAGGACTCATCTCCTACCATTCATAATGATTGGAGGCTACGACTCTTACACCTAGGCTAGAGTATGTTGACACAGTACAGCTAAGAAACAGACAAAAAAACCAGCTGTAGAAATTATCCCAAAATAGCTAGAGTAGCTAACGGCTACTTCCCAAAAGGGAAAGTTCTTCAATTCTTCATTCTTCTCAGGAACAATCTACAGTTTCTTATTAAGCTCAGTGAGTAGCTTAATTCTCAACATGCGGATCATCCAAGCGGTCTTTATCCACTTTGTATCAAACTCAGGTTCAGTATTGTCCAAGCCATAGTAAGCTAGATTAAACATCTGTAGAAAATTATGCTCGTGTAAGATTTTGTACAGGCTCAATAAATCAAATACTAAGGACACAAAATAATAAAAACCGCATTTAAGTACAAGAGGATCATTGTCACAGCAGCAATGAAAATGATATAGGACTGCAAGACTTCATCATTTGCAATATATCTGTGATTGATATTGGAAAATCAACATATCTCTTTGTTTTCCCATCATAATATTATGTTCCCTGCAACTGCAAGAGAATCAACACTTACGTAAATTTGTCCTGAAGAACAGCTGCTGCAATATATTCATGCTAGAAACCTTTTGTGAATATAGGAACCAAATGAAAAAGATACCGCACAAATTTTGCCTTACCTTAATAATGACCAGATGATGACCTAGAAGGTTTACACCCCATGCCAATGTGCTGGTACAAACCAATACCTATAATTTAATACATATGCCTGATCAGTATATAGATTTCGAAAATGATCCTTTTGTATGCTGAGAAAGGGGACTGGGAAATGGTAGCAAAAGTTAGAGATAAAGGAGTGAGAAAGGAAGTGGGTTCTCTTTGCCCATCACCACCTATAATCTTCTTGTTTAACGTTTATAATAAAAAGAGAAAAAAGAAAGGGTCATATAAATGAGTGAAAATTAACCATCAAGATCTGGTGAGTCATGGAATCAACCAGAAGACAAAGCAATAATAATAGAACAAAATGCAAGTTAAATATAACCGAGCGGCTATACGATTTAAATATATTATTTTGACGGTATAGCCGTACGGCTATACTCTGTGAATGTATTCGAATATTTTTACGGTATAGCCGATCGGCTATACTATTCACATGTATTATTTTGACGGTATAGCCGTGCGGCGGCTGTACGCTGTGAATGTATTCGAATATTTTATTGTATAGCCGGTCGGCTATACTATTTAAATATATTATTTTGACGGTATAGTCGTGCGGCCATACCCTTTGAATGTATTCGAATATTTTAATATATAGCCGATCGGCTATACTATTTAAATGTATTATGTTGGCGGTATGGCCGTGCGGCTATACGCTGTGAATGTATTCCGTATAGCCGCGCGGCTATACTATTTAAATGTAGTATTTTGACGGTATAGCCGCGCGGCTATACGCTGTGAATGTATTCGAATATTTTAAGGCTCGGCTATACGCGGCACTCGCAGCCGCAGCCATTTTGCTTCTCCATAAGCGCTTCCGAGCTTCAAAGACTCGGTCTTGAGCCTCTCTCTCTCCCTCTCAACTCAAGCTTCGATTTTTTTCTTTTCATTTCGGCTGCTCCGTTGATTGGATTGGATTGGACTCTCTCTACGAAAGCCATCAAATGTCATTCAGCTATTGAAATCTCCACTAAGATAACAACTCTGATGCTATAAGGGAGTTAGGCGGCCTGGGCGGATCAAGGCGGCTCCTAGGCGGCCTGGGCGGATCTAGGCGGCTCCTAGGCGGCCTGGGCGGGTCTAGGCGGCGCCTAGGCGGCCTGGGCGGGTCTGGTGGGTCTAGGCGGCGCCTAGGTTTCCTGGGCGGGTCTGGCCGCCTCCATTTTGTTCCAAATGAAGACAGACGAAGTTTGCACTCGCAGAGGAATGTGGTGCACGAGTGAAATGAAGAAACAGAGAAACGAACACGATGAAGTTACCGTTACCCTTAGAGCCCTTGAGATGTTATGTAAGCAACTTCAACTGCATTTGTCTTATAAGATCGATGAAAATACCGTTACCCTTGCTATCAAGGCCTGTCAAGGGGACCCCAAACCCGGATGCCAAATTCACAGGTTTGCAGTTTCTTCTGGGTTTTCTTCGTATACTACGGTTTCAAATTCTTTGATGAGTGTGTACACCAAAGCTGGCCAGTTTGATGGTCCCTTACTTATCTTTGAGACTGTGCTATACTGATATAGTTTTTTAGAATACTATTCTTTCGGGTTTTTGAACAAGTGAGGGTGCATTGAATTTTGCTCTTAGGATGAATTTTAATGGTGTTGTTTTTGATCCAGTGATTTATACTACGATTCTTGCTTTTTGTGCGGATCACGAAGATTTTCTATTTGGATTACAACTGCATTCTCTTATAATTAAGTCTGGTTTAGATGGTGAAGTTTTTTTATAAGTACGTATTCGAGGTAGAGACGGTTAATAGAAGCTAGGAATGTGTTTGATGAAATGGCGAATGAGGATCTGGTTTCATGGAATGCAATACTATCAGGTTACTCTCAAGAGGGAAATCATGGGCTTGAGGCGATTTTCGTCTTTATTGAGATGGTGGGAGAAGGGATGGGGTTAGATCATGTCTCATTTACGAGTGCAGTTTCAGCTTACGATCAAGAAATGAATTTAGAACTTGGGAAATAGATACATGGCTTGACAATTAAATCAGGATATGGAAATCATGTTTCAATTTGTAATGTATTGATCTCGACATATTCAAAGTGTGAGGTTACTGAAGATGCACAATTAGTGCATGAATGATAGCAACGTAGTGTCTTGGACAACTATGATTTCAATAGATGAAGAAGATGCCATCTCTCTATTTAATGAGATGAGATTGGATGGAGTATATCCAAATGATGTTACATTTGTTGGACTAATCCATACTATATCAATTAGGAAGTTGGTGGAGGAAGGCGGAATGATTCATGGGTTTTGCATAAAGACTGGCTTTTTATAAAAGCATAATGTTTGCAACAGCTTGATCACCATGTATGCTAAGTTTGAGTCCATGCATGACTCCATCAAAGTTTTTGAGTAGTTAAACTGCAGAGAAATCATATCGTGGAATGCTTTGATTTTCCGGGTATGATCAGAACGGGTTGTGTCCAGATGCACTAAAAACATTCTTGGTAGCAACTATGGAGTCGAAGCCAAACAATTTCACATGTCTTGAGTGCAACTGGTGATGCTCATGATATTTCTTTGAAATATGGCCAATGATGCCACTCTTCCTTCATCAAACTTGGATTAGTGACTGGCCCAATTATCGCAGGTGCTCTTCTTCAGTATTAATAAGGTTTCATTTGGTTTCTAGCAGGAATATATTGAGTGCAACTTGCAGTTGCAGGGAACATAATATTATGATGGGAAAACAAAGAGATATGTTGATTTTCCAATATCAATCACAGATATATTGCAAATGATGGTTTTGGTCACACATAACTATATAGAATAAAAAATGGAAAGAAAAAAAAAATGTGAATCAGATTACATGCTTTTCTCCTTTTATAATCAACAGTTGCTCAGATTCTACAAGAAATATGGGAGTAGATGTCCATCACAATCCGCCGGCGCCTAACAAATCATATTACTTTCTGAATATTTGCCTCAAATACTAGGAATCAGGTTGTTTGGGGTTTCGAATATCAGAAAATCTAATAAAGTCAATGGATGAAGTCTTGCAGTCCTATATCATTTTCATTGCAGTCCTATATACTATTCTTTCGGGGTTTCGAACAAGTGAGGGTGCATTGAATTTTGCTCTTAGGATGAATTTTAATGGAGTTGTTTTTGATCCAGAGACTTATACTACGATTCTTGCTTTTTGTGCGGATCATGAAGATTTTCTATTTGGATTACAACTGCATTCTCTTATATAGTGGGACGGTTTGTGTTATATTTGACCCAAACCAGACTCGTTAGGTATTTACCCTAGTTGGTAGGATTGTGGTCTATGGCTGGACGTAGATGCACCTAATCGCCTATTTAAAGGTTAGACAGTGTGCATCCCATTTAGTGCAAGCATTTTAGTAAGCAGGGCTTATTGGTTGCAGACATGAAAGACCATGCCCAAGATAGTATTATATGTTTATTTCTTCATGATATTTTAGTTTATTATGTTGAAGCTTCAAAATCCTTACTTTGATGATTCTCCTAGCGATTTTAATCAACATAAAGCACGTTACAAGTGTTTTATTTGAATTTGGCTGAATGTTCCCTACGTTTTTGTCCCTTCGAAGCAAGCACTTGGCCGAGCCTGTGGTGTCACAAGACCTGTCATTGCGTGTTCTGTGACTTCCAATGAGGGAAGTCAATTGAAGTCGCAAATACAACTGCTCAAGGTACTCTTCGGTCTAGTTTTAATCTGCAATTTATGTTTCAGGTTTCCTTAGTGCTTGGATTTGGTCCTACATTCTGAACATTTTATGTATGAACTGCAGGATGCCATTGAGAAACTCCTTATCTAAGCTATCTTCGGAGGTTTTGAATAGGAAATGCATATTCAGTGTGATGGAGTTGTTGTGTTACTAGGAAATCTTTTGATGTTTGATTTGTATTAAATTTTATGTTTTTATGAACTTCGAGGCAAGTACTACTACTAAGAAGTCAGAATTGTATCTACTAAGAAGAATACCTGCACAACCATTTGCAGAGGATGCATGCAAGTAATTGAGCTTAAAATCCACCCACTTTTAGCACATATATCTGTCATGGCCTGGATGATTCGTGTACTTTGATCGAATACTGACTTCAAGTCTGTGACATAATTACTGATTGGTAATTCTAAGTGCGAGAAATGTGGCTGAATGCAGAATTCATGCATGGTAGTAAGAGAATAAATCGATGAGAGAACTAAAAAGCAAAACAAGACAACGTTCTCTGACCTGAAATAGCAGATTGGCTTTGACATGCGGATCATCCAAGCGGTCCTTATCCACTTTGTATCAAACTCAGGTTCAGTATTGTCCAAGCCATAGTAAGCTAGATTAAACATCTGTAGAAAATTATGCTCATGTAAGATTTTGTACAGGCTCAACAAATCAAATACTAAGGACATAAAATAATAAAAACCGCATTTAAGTACAAGAGGATCATTGTCACAGCAGCAATGAAAATGATATAGGACTGCAAGACTTCATCATTTGCAATATATCTGTGATTGATATTGGAAAATCAACATATCTCTTTGTTTTCCCATCATAATATTATGTTCCCTGCAACTGCAAGAGAATCAACACTTACGTAAATTTGTCCTGAAGAACAGCTGCTGCAATATATTCATGCTAGAAACCTTTTGTGAATATAGGAACCAAATGAAAAGATACCGCACCAATTTTGCCTTACCTTAATAATGACCAGATGATGACCTAGAAGGTTTACACCCCATGCCAATGTGCTGGTACAAACCAATACCTATAATTTAATACATATGCCTGATCAGTATATAGATTACGAAAATGATCTTTTTCTATGCTGAGAAAGGGGACTGGGAAATGGTAGCAAAAGTTAGGAAAGGGACGAGAGATAAAGGAGTGAGAAAGGAAGTGGGATATAGTTGGGTGGATACTGGTGATGCTGATGGTTCCTTGTATCCGCATGGGTTTTCATCTGGTGATACATCCCACCCACAGTCTGGGGAGATATGTAGAAGGGCAAAATGTCTAGGATTAGAGATGAAAATTTTGAGAGAGAACATGTGGGAGGCAAAATCACTGAAAATGGACTCCTTCTCAAGGCCCTCACTTTGAAGGCTTGAATCTGTACATGTAAAACTTCAAAAGTAACTCATGATTGTTAAGAAGTACTGTAGCCAAATTTCTAAAAATAAAAATAGAAAAAGGGAATTCATCTTGAGGTAACATACAAATGAAGTTTTGATGTGAACGATAACAAAATTGGTCATGTATGGGTTCCCTTTGCCCATCACCACCACTTATAATCTTCCTGTTTAACGTTTATAATAAAAAGAGAAAAAATAAAGGTTGCATATACAAAAGGGTCATATAAATGAGTGAAAATTAACCATCAAGATCTGGTGAGTCATGGAAACAACCAGAAGACATAGCAATAATAGAGCAAAATGAAAGTTCAATATCGCCCCGCAGCTATACTATTTAAATATATTACTTTGACGGTATAGCCGTGCGGCCATACCCTTTGAATGTATTCGAATATTTTAATATATAGCCGATCGGTTATAGTATTTAAATGTATTATTTTGATGGTATAGCCGTGCGGCTATACGCTGAGAATGTATTCCGTATCGCCGCGCGGCTATACTATTTAAATGTAGTATTTTGACGGTACAGCCGTTCGGCTATACGCTGTGAATGTATTCGAATATTTTAAGGTATAGCCGACCAGCTATACGCGGCACTCGCAGCCGCAGCTATTTTGCTTCTCCATAAGCGCTTCCAAGCTTCAAAGACTCGGTCTTGAGCCTCTCTCTCTCCCTCTCAACTCAAGCTTCGATTTTTTTTCTTTCATTTTGGCTGCTCAGTTGATTGGATTGGATTGGACTCTCTCTACGAAAGCCATCAAATGTCATTCAGCTATTGAAATCTCCACTAAGATAACAACTCTGATGGTATAAGGGAGTTAGGCGGCCTAGGCGGATCAAGGCGGCTCCTAGGCGGCCTGGGTTGGTCTAGGCGGCGCCTAGGCGGCCTGGGCGGGTCTAGGCGGCGCCTAGGCTGCCTGGGCTGTTCTAGGCGGCTCTGGTGGGTCTAGGAGGCGCCTAGGTTTTTTGGGCGGGTCTGGCAGCTTCCATTTTGTTCCAAATGAAGATAGACGAAGTTTGAACTCGCAGAGGAATGTGGTGCGCGAGTGAAATGAAGAGACAGAGAAACGAACACGATGAAGTTACCGTTTCCCTTAGAGCCCGTGACATGTTCTGTAAGCAACTTCAACTACATTTGTCTCATAACATTGATGAAAATACCGTTACCCTTGCTATCAAGGCCTGTCAAGGGTACCCCAAACCCGGATGCCAATTCACGGGTTTGCAGTTTCTTCTGGGTTTTCTTCGTATACTACAGTTTCAAATTCTTTGATGAGTGTGTACACCAACGCTGGCCAGTTTGATGGTCCCTTACTTATCTTTGAGACTGTGCTTTACTGATATAGTTTCTTAGAATACTATTCTTTCAGGGTTTCGAACAAGTGAGGGTGCATTGAATTTTGCTTTGAGGATGAATTTTAATGGAGTTGTTTTTTATCTCGAGACTTATACTACGATTCTTGCTTTTTGTGCGGATCATGAAGATTTTCTATTTGGATTACAACTGCATTCTCTTATATTTAAGTCTGGTTTAGATGGTTAAGTTCTTTTATGAGTATGTATTCGAGGTAGAGGCAGTTAATAGAAGCTCAATAAATCAAATACTAAGCTGGATTAAACATCTGTAGACAACTATGCTCATGTAAGATTTTGTATGCTCAGAACGGGCTGTGTCAAAATGCACTAAAAACATCTTGGGAGCAACTATGGAGTCGAAGCCAAACAATTTCACATTTGGTATTGTCTTGAGTGCAATTGGTGATGCTCATGATATTTCTCTGAAATATCGCCAATGATGCCACTCTTCCTTCATCAAACTTGGATTAGTGACTGGCCCAATTGTCGCAGGTGCTCTTCTTGATATACTCCATCCAATCTCATCTCATTAAATGAGATTGGATGGAGTATATCCAAATGAGATGAGATTGAATTGGATGGAGTATATCCAAATGATGTTACATATGTTGGACTAATCCGTGCTATATCAATTAGGAAGTTGGTGAAGGAAGGCGAATGATTCATGGGGTTTTGCATAAAGACTGACTTTTTATCAAAGCATAATGTTTGCAACAGCTTGATCACCATGCATGCTAAGTTTGAGTCCATGCGTGACTCCATCAAAGTTTTCGGTTTTTATTATTTTGTGTCCTTAGTATTTGATTTATTGAGCTTGTACAAAATCTTACATGAGCATAGTTGTCTACAGATGTTTAATCCAGCTTAGTATTTGATTTATTGAGCTTCTATTAACTGCCTCTACCTCGAATACATACTCATAAAAGAACTTCACCATCTAAACCAGACTTAAATATAAGAGAATGCAGTTGTAATCCAAATAGAAAATCTTCGTGATCCGTACAAAAAGCAAGAATCGTAGTATAAGTCACTGGATCAAAAACAACTCCATTAAAATTCATCCTTAGAGCAAAATTCAATGCACCCTCACTTGTTCGAAATCCTGAAAGAATAGTATTCTGAGAAACTATATCAGTATAGCACAGTCTCAAAGATAAGTAAGGGACCATCAAACTATATCAGTATAGCACAGTCTCATCAAAGAATTTGAAACTGTAACTGTAGTATATGAAGAAAACCCAGAAGAAACTGCAAACCTGTGAATTTGGCATCCGGGTTTGGGGTCCCCTTGACTGGCCTTGATAGCAAGGGTAACGGTATTTTCATCGATGTTATTAGAATATTTGAATATATTCGAAGCGTATAGCCGGACGGCTATACCGTTAAAATAATATATTTAAATAGTATAGCCACCCGGCTATACGATTTAAATATACAATTTTGTCATGTTATTTTAAAATACCACTTTAGCTAATTAGGATAGAGTTATTTCTTCAAGTATTTTTTTTAATACCAGTGATGTTGGGGAATGAGAATTTAAATTCTTTCCGATACCTCCCATTCTAATGAATTCCAGCTTTTAGTCCATTAGGCCAGAATAAAAAATGGATTTTATTTATAAGAAATAATGCGGGTTAAACCCATAAATACAACAACAACAAAAAAATAAGGGTCTGCCAACATTTTGGGAATAAAAGAATATTGAATTTCATAGTATAAAATTGCTTGTGTAAGAATTTACTTTCTAAAATGTATCCATCGTAATTATGAACTAAACTCAATGACATCCTTTTTCTCATTGCACTTGACAACCTTGCTCTTCTGCTATGAGATATATTAGCTCACGTTGTATTCTCTGTAGATGAAAAATTGGATACAAAATAGTCTAATGAGACAACGAAGAGAAGAGTTTTGAAATAAATTGAAGGCATCTGAGGTCATATGGCATTGATATATATACGAACTATTCTAAATGAGATTTCAAACGTGTTAGATGAGAAGTATCATCTCAATCTTACATATACCATACCCATGTGCACCTGAAATTCTCAATATTAAGAGGGGAGAAAAGTGCAATAGCTCCCTTGTATCTCGCAAGCATAGGAGATCCAACCTTTTAGGAGGACGCCGGTTTGATAAAGAAGCAAGTTGCATCCTATCATACATTAATACTGGCAATCACAACCCACAATATACTCAATTTTAACAAAGAGAAATATAAAGTTACCAAGAAGCTGAAATGCTCAGGATCTTATAGTGAAGGCATCAACGCTTCCACGCCGAGAAGTCTCTCAAGTCGTCTACGATATGTAAAGAGATACTATCGTACATAGGGCACATAGGTATACTGAACACAAGAATAGGGGAAGAAACCATTCTTATGTACACTGGCATTACATATAAATAAGATATGTTGATCTAGAGATAAAGATCCTCCCCCCAAAAATGTTCCAAGCAGAAGCTTCCTAAAGATGAATATGAATATGACAAACATTTCAAGGGAACAAAAGGTATAACCTAATAAAACTAATCTTTTATTTCCAACCATTACATTTGACCACCAAATTGAAACATGCAATCTCAGTCCGGCAGTAATATTCACCCAAAATAATGGAAAATCTAATTCAGGATATTCTTATAGGTCATCCATATACCTATTATAAAGGACTAAGAGATTTAACTTATGGAGATAACCCATTTAAAAACAAACAAAAAAGAAGGTAAATTCTGAGTTCATTCAGTTGATGTCATTCTTGAGCATTTTGCCTTGACCTGCTGCTCTTTTACCCCGCCCTATCCATAACCGAGCATACTCTGCTGCATTATTTGTCAATTCCTGCAACTGGATAGGTATTGAAGTTAAGCCATATAGGCGCAACCAATATGAGGGGGAAAAACATGGAAGAACTTTGTCCTTCATCTTCCTACAGTGATGCATGTTACACTTCTGGCTATTAATACATTAGCTACAGGGCCTTTTAGCAATGACATTATTAGACTTAATTCAGTGACAACTATAATACATTAGAAGATATACAACCAAATTCCATTAGGTCACTTGTCACATGTAAAATAAGATGCCTCATCCACAACACTTTAAGCTCTGATTATTGCATCTCAAGTTTTGTCAATTGAAGTTGAAAACTACGCAACTTTGCATCTAGAAAAATGTGTGACCAATTTATTAATATAAAAAAACAAACAAACAAAAAAAAAACTCAAAAGCATTGTTAAGCACCAGATCAAGTTTAACTCAAGCTTCTTACTATTCTCTACAACAAAAAATTTAAAAATAAAATATAAAAGAAAAGAGCACACTCCAATAGAGAGATTACATTACAATAGAGAGATTACAACAAACCAAATTGTCATGAACTTACGTCTGCTCTCTCTCTAGACCCTTCTGGTGGATATATGTCCTGTACCGATACGGTACTTGAAGAGCACATCAAAAGACAAAAATATTGAACAAGAGCAGTAACTAAAGATCAAATGAATGGCTAGACATCTCATAAGACAACTCACCCATCTTGGTCCCAAGATCAAATTATACGAAACCGTCAGCAACTTTCAAGAAGAACACCTGCGACAATTGGGCCAGTCACTAATCCAAGTTTGATCAAGGAAGAGTGGCATCATTGGCCATATTTCAGAGAAATACCATGAGCATCACCAATTGCACTCAAGACAATACCAAATGTGAAATTGTTTGGCTTCGACTCCATAGTTGCTCCCAAGATGTTTTTAGTGCATTTTGACACAGCCCGTTCTGAGCATACCCAGAAATCAAAGCATTCAACGATACGATTTCTCTGCAGTTTAACTCCCCAAAAACTCCGATGGAGTCATGCATGGAATCAAACTTAGCATACATGGTGATCAAGCTGTTGCAAACATTATGCTTTGATAAAAAGCCAGTCTTTATGCAAAACCCATGAATCATTTCGCCATGACTTCCATATCCTCACACTTTGAATATGTCGAGAAAAATACATTACAAACTGAAACATGACTTCCACATCCTGATTTAATTGTCAAGCCATGTATCTGTTTCCCAAGTTCTAAATTCATTTCATGACCGCAAGCTGAAACTGCACCAGTAAATGAGACATGATCTAACCCCATCCATTCTCCCACCATCTCAATAAAGACAAAAATCGCCTCAAGCCCATGATTTCCCTCTTGAGAGTAACCTGACAGTATTGCATTCCATGAAACCAGATCCTCATTCGCCATTTCATCAAACACATTCCTAGCTTCTATTAACTGCCTCTACCTCGAATACATACTCATAAAAGAACTTCACCATCTAAACCAGACTTAAATATAAGAGAATGCAGTTGTAATCCAAATAGAAAATCTTCATGATCCGCACAAAAAGCAAGAATCGTAGTATAAGTCTCTGGATAAAAAACAACTCCATTAAAATTCATCCTCAAAGCAAAATTCAATGCACCCTCACTTGTTCGAAACCCTGAAAGAATAGTATTCTAAGAAACTATATCAGTAAAGCACAGTCTCAAAGATAAGTAAGGGACCATCAAACTGGCCAGCGTTGGTGTACACACTCATCAAAGAATTTGAAACTGTAGTATACGAAGAAAACCCAGAAGAAACTGCAAACCCGTGAATTTGGCATCCGGGTTTGGGGTACCCTTGACAGGCCTTGATAGCAAGGGTAACGGTATTTTCATCAATGTTATGAGACAAATGTAGTTGAAGTTGCTTACAGAACATGTCACGGGCTCTAAGGGTAACGGTAACTTCATCGTGTTCGTTTCTCTGTCTCTTCATTTCACTCGCGCACCACATTCCTCTGCGAGTTCAAACTTCGTCTATCTTCATTTGGAACAAAATGGAGGCTGCCAGACCCGCCCAGGAAACATAGGCGCCTCCTAGACCCAAAGCCGCCTAGAACAGCCCAGGCAGCCTAGGCGCCGCCTAGACCCGCCCAGGCCGCCTAGACCCGCCCAGGCCGCCTAGGCGCCGCCTAGATCCGCCCAGGCCGCCTAGGAGCCGCCTTGATCCGCCCAGGCCGCCTAACTCCCTTATAGCATCAGAGTTGTTATCTTAGTGGAGATTTCAATAGCTGAATGACATTTGATGGTTTTCATAGAGAGAGTCCAATCCAATCCAATCAACGGAGCAGCCGAAATGAAAGAAAAAAAATCGAATCTTGAGTTGAGAGGGAGAGAGAGAGGCTCAAGACCTAGTCTTTGAAGCTTGGAAGCGCATATGGAGAAGCAAAATGGCTGTGGGTGCGAGTGCCGCGTATAGCCGATCCGCTATACCTTAAAATATTCGAATACATTCACAGCGTATAGCCGCACGGCGATACCGTCAAAATAATACATTTAAATAGTATAGCCGACCGGCTATACAATAAAATATTCGAATACATTCACAGCGTACAGCCGCACGGCTATACCGTCAAAATAATACATGTGAATAGTATAGCCGATCGGCTATACCGTAAAATATTCGAATACATTCACAGAGTATAGCCGTCAAAATAATATATTTAAATCGTATAGCCGCTCGGTTATATTTAACTTTCATTTTGCTCTATTATTATTGCTTTGTCTTCTGGTTGTTTCCCTGACTCACCAGATCTTGATGGTTAATTTTCACTAATTTATATGACCCTTTTGTATATGCAACCTTTCTTTTTTCTTCTTATTATAAACGTTAAACAAGAAGATTATAGGTGGTGATGGGCAAAGGGAACCCATACATGACCTTTTGTTATCGTTCACATCAAAACTTCATTTGTATGTTACCTCAAGATGAATTTCCTTCTTTTTCTTTTTTTTTAGAAATTTGGCTACAGAACTTCTTAACAATCATGAGTTCCTTTTGAAGTTTTACATGCACAGATTCTGTTCCCTGCAACTGCAAGAGAATCAACACTTACGTAAATTTGTCCTGAAGAACACCTGCTGCAATATATTCCTGCTAGAAACCCTTTGTGAATATAGGAACCAAATGAAAAAGATACCGCACAAATTTTGCCTTCCCTTAATACTGAAGAAGAGCACCTGCGATAATTGGGCCAGTCACTAATCCAAGTTTGATCAAGGAAGAGTGGCATCATTGGCCATATTTCAAAGAAATATCATGAGCATCACCGTAGTTGCTACCAAGACACTACCAAATGTGTAATTGTTTGGCTTCGACTCCGTAGTTGCTACCAAGAATTTTTTTAGTGCATCTTGACACAACCCGTGTTCTGAGCATACCCGGAAATCAAAGCATTCCACGATATGATTTCTCTACTGTTTAACTGCTCAAAAACTTTGATGGAGTCAAGCATGGACTCAAACTTAGCATACATGGTGATCAAGCTGTTGCAAACATTATGCTTTGATAAAAAGCCAGTCTTTATGCAAAACCCATGAATCATTTCGCCTTCCTCCACCAACTTCCTAATTGATATAGCATGGATTAGTCCAACAAATGTAACATCATTTGGATATACTCCATCCAATCTCATCTCATTAAATAGAGAGATGGCATCTTCTTCGTCTATTGAAATCATAGTTGTCCAAGACACTACGTTGCAATCATTCATGCACTGCAAGACTAATTTTGCATCTTCAGTAACCTCACACTTTGAATATGTCGAGATCAATACATTACAAACTAAAACATGACTTCCATATCCTGATTTAATTGTCAAGCCATGTATCGGTTTCACAAGTTTTAAATTCATTTCATGACCGCAAGCTGAAACGGCACTAGTAAATGAGACATGATCAAACCCCATCCCTTCTCCCACCATCTCAATAAAGACAAAAAATCGCCTCAAGCCCATGATTTCCCTCTTGAGAGTAACCTGATAGTATTGCATTCCATGAAACCAGATCCTCATTCGCCATTTCATCAAACACATTCCTAGCTTCTACTAACCACCTCTACCTCGAATACATACTTGTGAAGAAACTTCACCATCTAAACCTGACTTAAATATAAGAGAATGCAGTTGTAATCCAAATAGAAAATCTTCGTGATTCGTACAAAAAGCAAGAATCGTAGTATAAGTCACTGGATCAAAAACAACTCCATTAAAATTCATCCTAAGAGCAAAATTCAACGCACCCTCACTTGTTCGAAAACCCGAAAGAATAGTATTCTAAGAAACTATATCAGTATAGCACAGTCTCAAAGATAAGTAAGGGACCATCAAACTGGCCAGCTTTGGTGTACACACTCATCAAAGAATTTGAAACTGTAGTATACGAAGAAAACCCATAAGAAACTGCAAACCCGTGAATTTGGCATCCGGGTTTGGGGTCCCCTTGACAGGCCTTGATAGCAAGGGTAACGGTATTTTCATCAATGTTATGAGACAAATGTAGTTGAAGTTGCTTACAGAACATGTCACGGGCTCTAAGGGTAACGGTAACTTCATCGTGTTCGTTTCTCTGTCTCTTCATTTCACTCGCGCACCACATTCCTCTGCGAGTTCAAACTTCGTCTATCTTCATTTGGAACAAAATGGAGGCGGCCAGACCCACCAGAGCCGCCTAGAACAGCCCAGGCCGCCTAGGCGCCGCCTAGACCCACCCAGGCCGCCTAGGAGCCGCCTAGATCTGCCCAGGCCGCCTAGAAGCCGCCTAGAAGCCGCCTAGATCCGCCCAGGCCGCCTAGGAGCCGCCTTGATCCGCCCAGGCCGCCTAACTCCCTTATACCATCAGAGTTGTTATCTTAGTGGAGATTTCAATAGCTGAATGACATTTGATGGCTTTCGTGGAGAGAGTCCAATCCAATCCAATCAACGGAGCAGCCGAAATGAAAGAAAAAAAATCGAAGCTTGAGTTGAGAGGGAGAGAGAGAGGCTCAAGACCGAGTCTTTGAAGCTTGGAAGCGCTTATGGAGAAGCAAAATGGCTGCGGCTGCGAGTGCCGCGTATAGCCGGTCGGCTATACCTTAAAATATTCGAATAAATTCACAGCGTATAGCCGGACGGCTATACCCTCAAAATATTACATTTAAATAGTATCGCCGCACGGCTATGCCGAATAAATTCACCGCCGTCAAATTAATACATTTAAATAGTATAGCCGATCGGCTATATATTAAAATATTCGAATACATTCAAAGGGTATGGCCGCACGGCTATACCGTCAAAATAATATATTTAAATAGTATAGCTGCGGGGCGATATTGAACTTTCATTTTGCTCTATTATTGCTTTGTCTTCTGGTTGTTTCCATGACTCACCAGATCTTGATGGTTAATTTTCACTCATTTATATGACCCTTTTGTATATGCAACCTTTATTTTTTCTCTTTTTATTATAAACGTTAAACAGGAAGATTATAAGTGGTGGTGATGGGCAAAGGGAACCCATACATGACCAATTTTGTTATCGTTCACATCAAAACTTCATTTGTATGTTACCTCAAGATGAATTTCCTTTTTCTATTTTTATTTTTAGAAATTTGGCTACAGTACTTCTTAACAATCATGAGTTACTTTTGAAGTTTTACATGTACAGATTCGAGCCTTCAAAGTGAGGGCCTTGAGAAGGAGTCCCTTTTCAGTGATTTTGTCTCCCACATGTTCTCTCTCAAAATTTTCATCTCTAATCCTAGACATTTTGCCATTCTACATATCTCCCCAGACTGTGGGTGGGATGTATCACCAGATGAAAACCCATGCAGATACAAGGAACCATCAGCATCACCAGTATCCACCCAACTATATCCCACTTCCTTTCTCACTCCTTTATCTCTCATCCCTTTCCTAACTTTTGCTACCATTTCCCAGTCCCCTTTCTCAGCATACAAAAAGATCATTTTCGTAATCTATATACTGATCAGGCATATGTATTAACTTATAGGTATTGGTTTGTACCAGCACATTGGCATGGGGTGTAAACCTTCTAGGTCATCATCTGGTCATTATTAAGGTAAGGCAAAATTTGTGCGGTATCTTTTTCATTTGGTTCCTATATTCACAAAAGGTTTCTAGCATGAATGTATTGCAGCAGCTGTTCTTCAGGACAAATTTACGTGAGTGTTGATTCTCTTGCAGTTGCAGGGAACATAATATTATGATGGGAAAACAAAGAGATATGTTGATTTTCCAATATCAATCACAGATATATTGCAAATGATGAAGTCTTGCAGTCCTATATCATTTTCATTGCTGCTGTGACAATGATCCTCTTGTACTTAAATGCGGTTTTTATTATTTTATGTCCTTAGTATTTGATTTGTTGAGCCTGTACAAAATCTTACATGAGCATAATTTTCTACAGATGTTTAATCTAGCTTACTATGGCTTGGACAATACTGAACCTGAGTTTGATACAAAGTGGATAAGGACCGCTTGGATGATCCGCATGTCAAAGCCAATCTGCTATTTCAGGTCAGAGAACGTTGTCTTGTTTTGCTTTTTAGTTCTCTCATCGATTTATTCTCTTACTACCATGCATGAATTCTGCATTCAGCCACATTTCTCGCAGTTAGAATTACCAATCAGTAATTATGTCACAGACTTGAAGTCAGTATTCGATCAAAGTACACGAATCATCCAGGCCATGACAGATATATGTGCTACAAGTGGGTGGATTTTAAGCTCAATTACTTGCATGCATCCTCTGCAAATGGTTGTGCAGGTATTCTTCTTAGTAGATACAATTCGGACTTCTTAGTAGTAGTACTTGCCTCGAAGTTCATAAAAACATAAAATTTAATACAAATCAAACATCAAAAGATTTCCTAGTAACACAACAACCCCATCACACTGAATATGCATTTCCTAGTTAACGCCTCTGAAGGCTCCCACTAAAGAGGCCCGTCCCACTGAATATGCATTCGAAGATAGCTTAGATAAGGAGTTTCTCAATGGCATCCTGCAGTTCATACATAAAATGTTCAGGACCAAATCCAAGCACTAAGGAAACCTGAAACATAAATTGCAGATTAAAACCAGAACTAAGAGTACCTTGAGCTGTTGTATTTGCGACTTCAATTGACTTCCCTCATTGGAAGTCACAGAACACGCAATGACAGGTCTTGTGACACCACAGGCTCGGCCAAGTGCTTGCTTCGAAGGGACAAAAACGTAGGGAACATTCTGCCAAATTCAAATAAAACACTTGTAACGTGCTTTATATTGATTAAAATCGCTAGGAGAATCATCAAAGTAAGGATTTTGAAGCTTCAACATAATAAACTAAAAAAACATGAAGAAATAAACATATAATACTATCTTGGGCATGGTCTTTCATGTCTGCAACCAATAAGCCCTGCTTACTAAAATGCTTGCACTAAATGGGATGCACACTGTCTAACCTTCAAAGAGGCGATTAGGTGCATCTATGTCCAGCCATAGACCACAATCCTACCAACTAGGGTAAATACCAAACGAGTCTGGTTTGGGTCAAATATAACACAAACCGTCCCACTATATAACACAAAACAAGTACGCAATCAAACACAACCAAAGGGGTAATAGTTCTCTCTCACTTCATTTTTTAGTGTAAAACATCAAACACTTGGAAACTACAGTGAGTAACTCTTAACAGACGATAACGAATCATAACAGGACAGACAATGAGACTAAAAGGAAACAATTAATACACAAAAGGTGAGCAAATAAAAATAGAACTCGAGTATGTCTTTGTGAAAAGCAGCAATAGTTGAATTTATTGAACTATCCTCAGATGAGAAAAACAACACAACACTCTCCCATCATCCAATAGGAAAAAAAAAACCCATGTCGCAATCAAAGATTTAACGCATTTATGACACTAAAATTTCAGTGCCATAGATATGTTACAGGAATGATGAATAGTACCTTATCTTCAGCCAACAGGGGAAGGTGAAGAAGAATCTCAATCGGCTCAGTGTCACAAGCCATCACTACGAACTCAGAAATACCCCTGTTGAGGGTCTTAGTCGCTGAAAAAAAACCCACAAAAAAATGTTGAACTCTATATAATTCTGACTCTAAAAAGAGAGACTGCACAGATAAAAAAAAAGAAGCAGGTAGCCATGGCATTGAAATATGAGCATTTAACGTACCTTCATTGGCGCCCTTTTTAAGCTGCTTGTAGTTAGCTGCCTGTTGAACCAGGTCGAGTATTGTAATCGTCAGCTGCGCATCGGCCAAAGGGTACGCTTTTGCGTTCACTGCCTCTCCGGTCTGCAATTACATTCATACACAAACAAATTAATAAACATGCAAATCACAAACACAGTCAATCAACCATGCTCTCTAAGCTGAAAACAAAGATGAAGAGCAAGATACTACCATTGTGTGGTCGATTTCGTGGGAGCAGAGAGGCTGCTAGGGTTTTTTATGCGATATAACTTAGGGTTTAAGAAGATGCATTGCCGTCTACTGAGGGATTTTATGGGCCGCCGTAATTTACACCGACTATTAATCACCGGGTTGCTCCAGCCCGTTATGTATAAGTTGGGCTAAACCTTCTGTTTTATATTAATAATTAGTCTTGGGCCGGTCCTTCCTGATTATGGTTCTTTTTGTTTATGGGATAACTAGAAATGTGTCTTTTATAATGTAAATTGAAATGTATTATTAGGATCGGTTTTGTTCAAGGTTTAACCCTTCGTTTAGTTGAAGAAACTGAAAATTACATATACTTTTAAAATAACGAAATTTAGATTTTTATTATTTCAATTTCTGTCAATTAAAGATTTCAATGTTTGAATTTATGTATATCGAATTTTGTAAATGACACTATAAAAATTGTGAAATGACCCATATTTTGGTGGAAATTAAACTCATGAATTTGATGCTCCAATTTCCTTGATTTTTCAGCACGTCATTTAATAAAGGGAGCTTACTAATATACCGAAAATAGGGTTTGAAATTATAAATAAAAAAAACCCCACATGGAATGCATTTTAGAAACACACCCAAAACTCATTTATTACATAAGAAATTGGTGTTGAAGTTCCTATACATTACGTGACTGTCATTAATCAACTTAAAAAAAGCTCAACATAAAAAACTTAAATAGCACCCAAAACAAGCCCAACCCAATTTTATAAAAAAAATCCAAACAATTCATTACAAACGAAATGTCTTGAAAACCATAGCTTCATTAACGTGTCATGTTGATTAATGACTGTAATATTTCATACCTTTATTGTCAAATTGATTAATGGTTGTAATGTTCCAATCTAGGGTAATAACATTGTAGTTTACTGTCATGTTGATTAATGGCTGTAATGTTCCAGTCTAGGGTAATAACACTTCCATTTTAGGATCATAATACTACTAGTTTCCTATGATATCTTATTTCTAGTTCATATTTACCCATGTAATGTTCCAGTTTACGGTAATAACACTGCTAGTTCCTTATGATATCCTATTTCTAATGCATAGTATAGGGTAATAACATTGCTATTTTGTAATGTTCCAGTCTAGGGTAATAACATTGCTAATTTACTGTTATGTTGATTAATGGCTATAATGTTCCAGTCTAGGGTAATAACACTGCTAATTTACTGTCATGTTGATTAATGGTTGTAATGTTCTAGTATAGGATAATAACACTTCTAGTTTCATATGAAATCCTATTTCTAATGCATGTCTACCCCGTGTAATATTCCAGTCTAGGGTAATAACATTTCTAAGTTTCTATGACATCCTATTTTTAATGCATATCTACCCTTGTAATGTTCCAGTATAAGGTAATAACACTGCTAGTTTACGATGTTGATTAATGTTTGTCTTGTTACTATTTCTAATAAATGTCCACCAAAGAAAAGACAAAAGAACAAACCAGACTAACTCAAAACAAGCCGAGCCCAGATTGTTAGTACTATCATGTCATAAAAGTACATTGTTAGTACTCTGTCATAGAATTACATAGTTAAACAAAAATAAGATCCATAATTGAAATAGTAACAGATGATAAATCAATCATCAAAGCTTAAAATACATTTCGAAAATCAACTAAAACATGAAGAGAAACACATAATTGAAGCAAAAGATCAAAAATCTCAAGTCCAAACCAAACAACAATGACGACAATAAAGAGGACGATGATGACAACATGACATTGTGAAAGAGGAGTAGAGCTCGAAGATGAGAATGAAGAATATAGTTGAACCTGAGATTGAGCTTTAATGGAAGCTCCTTTTGCTCCAACATCAAGAAAACACCAGCGAGAAAGGAGAAAATAAATCAGATTTGGTTTTTTGGTATATTTGATTTTTTGGTAGATTTGGTTTTTTTGGCAAATTTGGACAGATCTGGTTTTTGGCAGATTTGGGTAGATTTGATTTTTCTCTCTTAAATCCATAGTACAAGGACAATATAAGTATTTTACACACACAAATAAACTAAACAATAGCTATTAAATTATAAAATTGACAATTGTCGATTTTTGGGTTTTTTTTGGGTGTGTTTATAGTTTTTAAATGGTGTATGGTTTTTTTATAAGACTATGTCTAAGATTGGGTATATAACTAAATTTGTATCTGATAAATTATGCTCTTAAGTTGCCAAACAAGGGAATTTTCAATTTCACCTTTTCAATTCTCGACTTTTAGCTAAATTCGGAGTTATTTTTCCTCATCTAAACAGAAGATAAGAGTTTAAGAATGGGTACGAAATTGAACTCTTATATTCCGCGTACTCTTGTATTTTTGGTGGAAGGAACTCAAAATGTAGTTCCCATATTTTAGAGATTATTGTTTCCAAATGATATTTGGAAAGTTTATAAAACTTTATTGAGTTTCGTCCTAATTTAAATTGTAGTAACAAATCACCATGCTTCTAATTCATAATAAATTTTGGGGAGATTATGCTCCCACTCTCACAAGGGGTGAGACTCAATGTGACTCATATAGAAAAGGGTCTCGTCTCCTATGTGAGTATATTAAACTTGATGTCCAAATAGGTGACGTAGGGGGTCAACATTTGAGTCAGAAAATCAAATATCAATCTTTTTCAAACTGACGGTTCATTTTAGTTCGAAAATCAACAAAAAATGCCTATAAAAATGTAAGTTGAGTAGTGCACAAGCACAACCCATTAATAAACCGAACCAAATCAATTATTATAATTCAATGCACAATTACTTTTTACTAAACATGTCACATTTTTATTGGAACTTGAAATATTTATGTTACTATAAGGTTGATGAAACCAAGCAACTAGGCATGATTTTTGGACAAATCAGATCATAATAAGGGGATTTCAATTCTAATCCAAACATATTCGGAATGAAAATTCTATTCCAGTTATGTTCCAAAAAAAAAAAAAAATTGAATTTCAATTTCCATTCTAATTCGGAAAACTCAAAATTTTTGGAAACTTTTGGAACTTACATATACATATTCCGTTTTTGTTGTTGAAATTTCTGGAAAATAGCTACAAATTATTAACATGCCCAACCATTTGAAGAATTAAATTTGACTCAAAATTGAAAATTCATTCTATAAGCTTTTTGTTGTTGTTGTTGGAAGTACAAACTATAAGCTTGGAAAACTATTATATGTTTGTACTTAGAGGTTGTTATTCTTTAGGGAATAACTTGTTTATGTCTATTTGGTCATCAAATTATATTTAGTTGAACATGAAATTCGAAAATTTTGGGAACCTCTAGATACATTCCAATTCCAATCCAATTTCTATTTAGTCAGATTTAATCGCTCGGAATCGGATTTTTCAATCCAACTTGCACCTGTACAAGCAACCGAACAACCCAAATCAAAATTACAGTAAATTGAACCGAGCCAAACCAATTTTATTTGGTTGATTACGATTTGAAAATATGTTCAATTTAGTTACCAATTAGAGAGTATTTTCTGCACACCACTTTAATCTAAGGTGAACCTTTATCACCATTCTCACCACTTGCACCTTTCTAAATGGAGCCATACGGATGGTGCTCATCTTTAAGTGGCTGTGGCTGTCCAGTTGGCGACATATAATTTGACGGGTGACAAATTGTTGTTTCAACGCGGCACTCTCTCTCTCTCTCTTATTGTCAGATCCCCCGGGTTAAAATCAAAGATCATCAAACATTCACCGCGAAATCCTATTTTCTTTTGCAATTACAGACTAGTTCTGCAATCACTGCACCACCGCCACCGCCAAATTATAGTTCTGCAAAAACCAGACGACCACAGCATTTTACAACTACAACCCGTAAGCTCTAATGGGATGGTTCGGGGAGTCCATGGACTCCGTCAAGTCCATTCAGATCAGACAAGCTCTCTCCCAAGCCCTCACTCTCGGTCTGTACAACCCCGAACCCATGTATTTTTTTGTTTCACTGCACAAAAGTTTTTCTATTTGTTTCAATTAACTTACAAGAAAAAGAATAAGATTGCAGCTTAGGTGTTTGATATATGGTGCAGGCTTGATTGTCACGTCGGCATTGATTATATGGAAAGGGTTAATATGTATGACTGGTAGCGAATCACCTGTGGTGGTTGTGCTCTCTGAAAGCATGGAGCCTGGCTTTGCAAGGGTGAGTTCAATTCCCTTTTAAAACTTACTTCTCCTGCAGAAGAATTGTACCCAAGAGTTGTTTATGTGTCTAGGACTGTGTTGTCTAATCCAAAAGAGTCGCTTGAACTTAAAAGCATGTTTCAAGCTAAAACAAAAGTGAAGGGCCTGAATTTAAGTTTGGGATGCAGACTATGCATTGTACTTGGTTTGAGCAATTACTGTGTTTTAAAAGTAGTTGGCAATTGGTGTCTTGGTGATCGTTGGTGTTTCTGACTGTAAGAGTTGAGTGGTTAAATATTTTTCAGTTTTCTGAAATAGCTGTATACAAGATTTTGTCAAATGGTATATATACCAATGCGTTAATATAGTGGTCTATGCCTAGAGATTCAGGTGCTGATTATTTTCGTTCAGAAAAGCATGTTTCTAGATTCTAGGTTATTCCAACATTCAGATGTTTAATAAACCACCATAATTCTAGTTGCATCGTATTCTTTCAGTTAAAGAAATGTTAATGAATGGTCCTTGTTGCCATTTGTGCATCTCTTCCTTTAAAAGTAGGTCTTGGGTCCACATCATGGAAGATGAGAGATTTGAGAAGGGAAAGGCTATCCGCTGTTGTGTAGCCCAATAGCATCTTATAGGTTATTGGTCTACCTATCAATATTTTGTTTAAAACCACTTTACCGTATTATCACCTGCAGTTCTACAAAGTTATGCCGCGGGGGGGCCTGGGGGGGGCGGCTTTTGTTTACATCGTGAAGTGCTTCACTGTTACAGACACTCATCTTTGCTTTCGTTCAAATTTTGGCATCTCATTTTACCATTAAACATTAATTAAAATATGTGCTTTCTTTTGCTCTTTTTCATTTGTTTGTTGACATAATGATGTCTTTCAGGGTGACATTTTGTTCTTGCATATGAGCGAGGATCCTATTCGGGCAGGAGAAATTGTGGTGTTTAATGTGGATGTATGCCCTTTTTATGCTATCCCTCCTTAAGTTCATTCATTTAAACTTTTTCTTATTTGTTTAATCCATTTATGAGCATCATCTAGCATGTTTTGGCGTTTATCATATGTTTATTATACTTCATTTAATCTGAATTTTATGAAACAAGCATTGCATGATTAGCTTTCACTGCTGGAGGTTGGGTGCCCTTTTGGTTCATCAGTATAGAGTACATGATTTGACAGAGAAGATTTGGCACTCGGCAATTTCTTAGCTATGACATTTGGTTTCTCATTATTGTGTTGCTTTCATAACTGATGATAATTACAAAATTTCCTTTTGGGTCATACTACTGGCCTATGCATGCAATTTATTGTGTTTTTAGACTTGTAGTTGTACTTCTGCTAATATATATTTTTTGCTTTGTCTAGGGACGTGACATTCCAATCGTTCATAGAGTAATTAAGGTAAGAATCATGATTTAACCATCTGAGCAAAAGGGTGACCCTGTGACATCATAGCACCTCCCTTCAGCTTAGATGAATCTGTTTAATGTTGATGACCATTTTCTGTTAGGTTCATGAGCGGAAAGATACTGGAGAAGTTTATGTCCTCACAAAAGGTACTATTTTCTTTTCTAGGCAGATCGATTAGACCATTTAAATCTTTGTATTCATGTCAATTATACAAATTCTTTGCTGGTCATCTCTTCTTATAATTTATAAAAGAAGAAACTGGAAAAAAAAAAAATTTAAGTCATTAGATTAATGACATAGTAATTTGGGAAAAGTTTGAGGATTTAAATATGTTTCAGTATTTCAAATTCTGTAAAATTTTCATTTTATAATTTTTTTTTTTGTTATAGTAACTTATGTTCTTTGTTTGTTTTTTTTTTTGTTTTTTTTTTTTGTATTGGACAGATAACGACGAGGATGACAGGGCCTTGTATGCTCGGGGCCAGCATTGGTTGCAACGACGCCATATCATGGGGAGAGCCGTTGGGTATTATTTTCTTATATTTATCATTTTCTTTGAGCTGTTGGGTAATTTGTTTATATCTGTTAGGTAAATTGACAACTACGAAATACTAATGTAGAGATTTGACTTTTTCAAACAATCAGAATTGTTCTGGTTATGTTTTGAACATTTGATGCACCGAAGTCACATACAAACTAACATAAGGCTGCTTTACCATAGTCGATTCTACATTATTTTCCGCATGAAGCTATCTAGTTTAATGGGTTGATGTATGTAAAAATTAATTGTTTCTATGAAAGTTGGGTTCTAACTGGGACGATTGTGGGGTATTTCTGCCTCTTTGCCTAATCATAATACCGAGCCTGGATCCATATATACTTTTGTATTTGTCAATATATATATATATATATATATATATATGTATCGTCAACTTTCATACATGCTGAAAGAGTGCCTTTTGATTTGTATTTTTATTTCTATTTCGTTCCTCTGCAGGTTTTTGCCTTATGTTGGATGGGTGACAATTATCATGACAGAGAGGCCTATAATCAAGGTTTGCTTTTATTGGATTTTAGACCATGCTGTGTGTATATCTATAGCATCCTTAAGTTGAAGACATTCTTCAGATTTGTTTCTAATCGTGCATTAGTCAGTTACAAATAAAATTTTGACATTCTTCATATTAGAAGGCTCTTCTACGTGTAACTCATATACTCATAAATCCTATGAATCTCAGAAAAACAGAGGAGAAAAAAACAATCGAATTTTTTAAAGGGTTTTTTGCCCCCTACAATATGCCTAAGTATCTACAGCCTACAGCTGAGGCTTGGGACTTAACGAAATTAACAAGGTGTTTTTGTTCTTGCAGTACATTCTGATAGGGGCGCTGGGATTGCTGGTCATAACGTCGAAGGATTAGGAGGGGAAGAGAGAGAGAGAGAGAGAGAGAGAGAGAGAGAGAGAGAGAGAGAAGCCAGTTGTAATTTTTGTTTTTCCTTACCTCCTGCCATATTGTAGCAAGGCATCAGCATCAATAATTCATCCTTATTTTGAAGGATAAAGAAAATATGAAGACTAATGAAAGTAGAAAAGTATTAGGCCATTTATCAATGTCGCAATCAATGGCACAATCAACTGGTTCATTATACTAATGAAACAAGAAAGGTAAAAGAAACGAAGATTAGCAATAATGCCATTCTTCTACACTCGTGTAGCACAATTTGTCAATACAGAAATCATTTTTCCTTTATTTATGGTAAAAATCACATCTCAAGTGTATATATGGCTCCTTGAACCGTGCATGTCTAATCCACAACATTTTATGTAGACTTTACAAATGGATGTAATCTGGATCACTTAAACTTAGATGCCATGCCAGTGCCACAAAACTCCCTCGGCGCATACACCAGCACAGGAAAAATTATGTTGAACATGATATGTAACATTAACAATAGCAAAGATTACATACTAGCTCGTTGCATCCGTGATAATGCATGCATGGAAACATTAATTAAATCACAGACAATTTTATACAAAGTCATTGTGCATATATAAGACTAAAGAACAGAAAATGTGTGCAGGCGGCGGACACTGTCAAGTTTTAATAAGTAGAACTTCAAAATTTGCAGCTATGATCCTTCCCTCGATTGTGATCCATGCACCGTCCACAACAGGAAAACTGAGACTGGCACCTAACATGTAGTCTGCATGAAAAAACAAGAATGTAAAGCATTTTGTTACAATTTCGAAAACAAGGGGGCATTTAAATTCCATCATGTAAAAGCCAAAGCACAACAATATTACATTTACTTAAAAAAAAAAAGTCAACACAAACATCGCAGCTGCAGGAACATGATAACACTAGATTGTTTTCGCAGAACATTATGCAAATCTTTCTTTCAATCGTGTGCATATGTGATGCTATTCAGACAGGGGTAACATGGAATATTTTGAAGAAAGAAAATGAAAACAATCATTTTTGTTTCAAAGTTCTATAGTTGAAACCATAGATAAGCAAACATATAGTTCCATCAAACTAGCAAACGAATCCTCTTGTCGTCAAGTGCAGCAGTACATCAATGAAAGAAGAATTGAGGTAAAAAAGGTTCTGCAATCAGACATAATACAAGAATTCATGAGAACACCATGCATATGAGATGGCTTTATATGCTGATTCAACCTTTCAGAACCTTAACTATCATATCTCTCAAAAGTCAGACTCCAAATTTTCACAAAAATATGTACGCCCACCGCACCATTTTCAAGTGCATATATACAAATTACTTTAGCAAGGGATCATATCTACGATAGTTTATAGCTGGAGCAACAGATGTATATCCGTAACCTGATCACACATACAACATTAGCTTGTGCGAAAGAAAAAGAAGCATCAAAGAATCACTAATTGCACATTTCCTCACTAGTTTTATCCAGAATAGGCATAATTGTACACCATCTAAAAGAAAATATACCAGGATAAATGAGACACATTAAGCTGCCGTCTCAAACCGTTGCAACATGTCACAATGTGGTGTTTCACGAATAAATCCCCACTGGCGGCGCTGCAGCTCAAGCCGACAGTTCTGGGAGAGAATATTGAAGTATTCTCTCTCAACGCGTTGCTCTAGCGTGACACGCTCCGAGCTACCTGGCGGGAAATCTTGCTCAAACTTGGTTGACCTAACATAAAAATTAACACCCTTTTCCGTAGTAAAGCGGTATTCATAGGGATAGGACCTGGAAAGGGCATAGATAGGCTCCGAAGATGGCATAAAGTTGACAAGCAGAATAAGCAACACAGGCAACAACTGAATTAGAGTCCGAATATGGGACCCGCCAGAACCATGATCACCACCAGCCCTCTGTCCCATTCCGCCATGCCCAAAACTGAATCCACGGAACTGGGTTGCCGGTGCCATTCCTCCAAAGAAGAAGTTCCTAAAGATCTCCTCAGCATCAACATCCCCATCATAAAAACCATTAAATCCATGTGCTGCATGGCTGGAAGCACGTCTCTCGTAAACAGGCTCATCCGAGCCCATAACATCATATTTTTTCCTACTCTCTTGATTGCTAAGACACTGAAACGCCTTCGACACAGCCTTAAACGCTTCCTCAGCTCCCGGCGCCTTGTTCTTATCCGGGTGAACCTTCAAAGACAGTTTTCTATAAGCCTTTCGAACATCTTCAACAGTGCAGCTCTTTTCCACCCCCAAAATCTCATAGTAATCCTTCTTCTTCTTCAGTTGCCTCACAATCGCAATCTGCTCCTCTGTGTACGCAGCAGCTGGTGATACTTTAGAGGATGAAGATCCATCAGTTGACGGAACTCTTTGGCGAAGCGAGGGTTGATCGGACGGCTTAGCTGAAGCCGACCCAGATGGCCCATTGGCAGACCCGCCAGCATCTGAACCGGACTGAGGATTGGAATTGCCCTCAATCGACGATAAGAGATCGTCGATGGGTAGCGTCGGATCGAGACGTCGAGCTTTAGTTAGGAATTTTAGGGCACGGGTTCGATCCCCAGCTTCCAAAGCTTCTTTCCCAATTTTGAAGCATTTCAAAGCATCGTCTTTGTTTCCGTCCATCTCAAAAACTTTCACAGAAGACAAAGACAACCAATCCCCACAAAATAATTCCAAGAAAACTAAGCCGATAAGGAACCACTATCGAGTTTCAAGAACACGCAACCCATAAAAAAAAAATTCGATGCTTGAATCAGAAACTGAATTCCGTTTGCTGAAAATCGCCAGAATAAAGAAAACGACTAAAGCAATGAACTTGAAACAATTCTGGGAAATTTGACTTACGAACGAAATGGATCTGAAGGAGACGTATTCTAGGGATCAATCAATTTCTGGGAATTGGAAATTTTGATCGAATTAGGGTTTCATTGTACGCGGGATTTGGGGCACACTCCGACACGGTGGGGATTTTGGGAAAGAGTGATTTAGCGGAAGTGAAATTTTTGTTTTAAAGGACGTGTTTGCGTGGCAACGGTTGAAAAGTCGTTACCTGTGTTTTTTCTTCGTTATGTTAAGCCCAAAATACAGTGAGGGCAAGGCCCAATGTACGATTGCCAAACAAAGATAAAAGCCCTATTACCCCAATTCTAGGTTTTTACAAATATAGGTCACGCAGAGAACGAAACGTCGGCGTTTGGTCGTAATACATAAACCCTGGGAGTTGCTCGTTCTCTTCTTCTTTAGCTTTCAAGTCCCGAGCTGTACAACCAAAGAGGTCGCAGTAATGGAGACCCCGAACCAGATTCAAATCGACCTTGGTAATCTCATGGCCTTCGACCCTCATCACCACTTCCCCTCAGTCCCCTCCTCCAGGTTATTATTATTACTATTTTTCATAATTAATTATTTTATTTATCGTTTATATTTTGGTAATATTTTGTGTAGCACTGGATTTGTGAATTTTTGTGTTTGAGAACTTGGTAATCTCATAACCTTATGATTGTGGTTGGTCCGATATCTGACCATTAAAAATGGTTTGTTCATTTGCCGATTTTCTTATTTTATTTATTTTTCACTATATTTAGGGAGGAATTAGTGAAGGAATGTCTAACAAAAGGCACTGAGTTGGTTCAATCGATTGCGGACAAACTTTTCAACTTACCTTCAACTGAAGACATAGATGGTCCCCTTGTGCAGTTGCCTCGTCCAGAAACTAAATTGCCCAGGGAGAAGCATGTAAGTCATTCCGCTTCGTTTCTTGATATGTATGATCGTACATATATTGCTTAACAATCTGTCATTTGAAAATAAGTGGAATGAAAGTTCTGAATGCATGGTTTCTTTTAAATAACTAAAACAATTAGAAAAAGAACTTACATCTTAAGGGGTCTGAGGAATTCCTGTTACTTATTGATGCCCCTTCTGTGCTGCTAAATTATGGCACCCCTCATGCTAATTGGTTGACTAGAATCTTGGCATATGCAAAAGGGCTGTTAGTGCTGCTGGTTGTTTTCTGTAACTGCATTAAGAGTTTCTATTGTATTCTTAGCACAAAGACCTGACTGCCAATTGCATATTTCTTTGTTTTCTACAGCTTCCAGTGCCTAAACCTCCTACAAAATGGGAAGAGTTTGCCAAAGCGAAAGGTTAGCCATTACTGTACGGAGTTATATGAATGAAACAATTTTTTTATTTCCCCTTTTTTCCCTCTTTCCCCACCCCCAACCCAAAAGGCTCTGTTTGAGGTTTAGCATGTTTGGCTTTTTGGGCCTTGAGAAATCTAGTTGGATTTAATATTTTGGAAAATGGAATATCCACGAGCTGAACTTGTATGTGTTGGTTATATTATGTTGGGGTTTTTGCAGGTATAAAGAATCGTAAAAGAGACAAGGTTGCATATGATGAACCAAGTCAGTCGTGGAAACGTCGCTTTGGATATGATCGTGCAAATGATGAGAATAGTGTGCCTATCATTGAGGCGAAGATGACTGATGGTAGTTAATTCAAACCCTTGAGGCCTTCAGAAAAGTCATTATATTCTTTTTATAAGCACTGAAACACATGCTTTATTTTGTCGATAAGACCCGAAAACTTATCTTTGTGGCCATGGATTTCACTTTTTGCAGTGCCAGGGGAAGATCCTTTTGCTAAAAGACAAGATGAAAAAAAGAAACGAGTTGAAAAACAAGACAAAAATAGGTTGCAGAACTTGAAGCAAGCTGCAAAAGTTGGTGCTCTGCCAAGGTTTTGACCTTTTACTTCTCTGTGTTATTCAAAGCATAGATAGCTCATCACTGGTTAAACTAGAAAACCAGTTAGCAGCATACACATCTAATTGGCCATCTGTAACAACAAATTCTGTCCTTTTAAGATCCAGAAAAACGTAATAAGCTAGCCTTTATATTGTAAGTTCACACTTTGGACAAGTTTCAGAGATCTTATTATGTTTTTCTTGCATTGGAACACAATAACTTAAGTAAACTCTTTTTGCAGTCATGTTCAACTAGCTGCTACAAGGTTGCCCATAACGGGAACCCAGGCTGCACCTAAGAAGGTTACTAAAGACGAATTGGGGAATGTAGCTGGAATAGCAGCAACTGCAACAGCCAGTGGTGGAAAGTTTGACAAGAAATTGCCAGGCGAAAAGCCTTCTAAACATAAAGGAAAGTTTCGCAAGGTATGTATTCTCATCCTAGCCATGTACAACTAATTGTTGCATGTCTTGATAAAATGGTAAAGTAGTTGGCCTTTTTTTCCGGCTTTTGCATTCAGTTTTTACCAGTTGTAGAAGGAAAGGGCAAACACTCGCAAGAGAAGGAGCAAACAGAGAAAGTTCTGAACAAGCTAATGTCTAAGAATTCCCATGAGATACTTAATGTTGACAAGGTTTAAATCTCTTTCGCTGGCCATGGTTTTTTCCTGCAGCATTTTATTTTCCAATTATTAACTGAATCTTTGTGACACAGGCTGTTAACATGTATAATGTCAAGAAAGACAAGAAACGAAAGAACAGACCGGAGAAGTCTCCAGCATCCTCAAGCAAGTTGAAACCAAAGAAGAACCTTCACAAGAAGCCATTAAAGAAGGGATCTTCAAGTAACAGCAAGGGAAAGTGAAGTTATTATTAGTGATGACAATGATAAGCTGTTGGAGTTTTGAAGTAGGTTCTACAAGTTTAATTATTTGGAATCAAAAGTTTTTGTGTAAGACTGCTTTATTTTTCAGGAGAAAAGTATTCGATCTCTCTCTCTCTCTCTCTCTCTCTCTCTCTCTCTCATGTATATTTACATATGTGTGTGGAAGGTGGAATTTCTGTGGTCTACATGTCCTTGGAGATATGGATTTCCAAGTTCATGAAATGTGTCCACGTGTAGTTGATGAGTCTTCCAATGAATTATGGCACAAAACAACTTTCGTCCGCTCTTTACTTAGTAATTTGGAATGGAACATCGACAACCAAAAGTTCAATTTTTATATTCACAAGTGGATAATTCGTATGATATATGGATTTAGTAAAGCGGATCCAAGTATTTGAGTTGTATCTAAATTAAGTATTATTGTAAACGGAAAAAATAAGAGGGATCATGAACCACAAATAATAAACCCCACTTGCCCTTTAATCTCACTTGCAAAAAAATACTCGAATATAATTGGCTCGCCTAGTTTTGCAATATTGGGAGCAAGACGTGCTCCTCTTCTCATACCGTACGCGCAAAGAAAAACAGAGACCAACCAATACAGAAGCCGTTCTTCTGAAGAGCACATCATCTTTCTTTATTCCTGCAGTCTGCGGAGAGGAGAGCCTTTTCTTATAGTTTTTCATTCTTCATGCAGACCATGTAGCAACCTCTGTATTTGAAATCTCGCGTACCTTATGCTCTCTTATTCCGAAAAAGAAACGTCCTTTTGCTAATTTTGTTGATACCCATTAAGCCAACCAACTCTTTTTATATGTTCGTACAAAACAAAAGCAACATTCTTACTACATTGGAAACTTGAAGAAGACTCTTAGTTTCAAGCTTTGGATTAATGGGTAGAAGAAGATTGCAAGGCACTGAAAATGCAACCAACGGTGTTGTGTTCTCTTGTTCTGTGATTAGGATCAATCGAAGTCCTGCATCTCACGCTGGTGGGTTGTTTGCAAGCGTTGGTCAAGTAGCAAGGGGGTTTGTTATTACACCAAATCTTCAGAATCCTATAGATAAAAGCACAAAGCTTCTGAGTTCCACATACATGAAATATATGCCAACTCCGGATTTTGGTTTGCGGATTGGCAGGGTTGATGAGTTGGTGGAAGGAGAGGCGTTGGAGCTTGGAGAAGAAGAGCTGCTCAAGAACAACAAAAGGGGTGGTTTGAAATTGAAAATTAAGATTGGGAATGCATCATTGAGAAGGTTGTTCAGTGGAGCAATAGCAGGCGTGGTGTCGCGCTCTGCGGTTGCACCATTGGAGACAATAAGGACCCATTTGATGGCGGGGAGCTGTGGTCACTCCAGTTCTCAAGTATTTCAATCTATTATGGAGACTGATGGATGGCAAGGCTTATTCAGGGGTACTTTGGTTAATGTCATCCGGGTTGCCCCAAGCAAGGCTATTGAGGTATGAGGTCAAGAATGTTGTGTTTTACATTTGAATTTTGATAGCTGATTGCAACAATCTTTGAGTAAGTAGAGTTGTGCTGGAAGACTTGTTAAGTTGAACAAATATTTCACTCGGTATGGTTGTATTTTGTTTGTTTAATTCTTGTAAAAAATCTCTATGCAGTGAATTCTTCAGCTGAGAAGTATTTTATTCACTGATTTGCTTCTTTTCCCTCTGTTGTGAGATGCTGTTAATTTTATTTATTGCTTGTGCACCAGATCCAGCACTAGGCTGAGATTTCTACATTAATATTTTATCAGCCAGAGATATTGACGACGATGGCATTGGCCTTCTCTTGAATTCATTGGGAGCTGGTATATTACTTGGAGAATCAGTGGATTAGCACACATAATTACTCAACTGATTAGCTGAAGCTCTAGTATGCTTCTTGGGGATCTTTTTTCTCTCCGTAAAATATATGTTTGGTAGTTCTATATCATTTCTTTGAATGCTTGTGTTTTCCCTCCTTTACTGTGTATCTTTAGATTTTCAAATCTGATTGTTCTGGTTCCTGCCTATCTAAACACTGCATATTTCTGAACTACACTATTTGGTAAATATTTTCATTTGCTGATGGAACCTATGTGCAGTTATTCGCTTATGATACGGTTAATAAGCACTTGACTCGACCTGGGGAGGAGCTGAAAATCCCTATTCCCGCTTCATCAATCGCAGGCGCTGTTGCTGGATTTAGCTCAACCTTGTGTACATACCCTCTGGAATTGTTAAAAACACGATTAACTGTGCAGGTAAGCCAGAGCCTGAAAAGGACTATTGAATTTATTGGCTCCTTTTCTTTGCATCAGTACTCACAGGTTTTTATGTTGATTGCAGAGAGGAGTGTACCATAACTTTTTTCACGCATTTTCTAAAATTGTCCAAGAGGAGGGACCTGCAGGACTGTATAGAGGCCTCACCCCAAGTTTAATTGGAGTAATTCCATATGCTGCCACCAATTACTTTGCTTATGATGCACTCTCAAAAGCTTACAAGAAAGCTTTCAAAAAGGAGGAAATCGGAAATATAACTACACTCTTAATCGGGTCAGCAGCTGCTGCAATTTCAAGCAGTGCAACTTTCCCACTTGAGGTGGCTAGAAAGAAAATGCAGGTCGGGGCTCTGAATGGGAGACAATACAAGCACATACTTCATGCTCTTTCTTGCATACTTGAGAGTGAAGGAATTGCTGGTTTATACAGAGGGTTGGGGCCAAGCTACATGAAATTGGTCCCTGCTGCTGGAATATCCTTCATGTGCTATGAGGCATGCAAGCGGATACTGACTGAGAATGAGGAAGAAATCTAATACGCTGAAAACCGCAGAGTGTAATTTTTCGATCAATTGAAAGGTAGGTAGTTTTTAGTTCATAAACTGAAAAATGTGGCTGACTCACTAGCTAACCTTGCTCTGAATCTTGAGCTGGGATGTTCCATCTTTGAGTCCCTTCCACCTTCAGTGCACTCTGTTTTGCTTATAGTGCTTGCTATTAGTTTTGTTTGGGGGTATTGGCCAATTGGCCCCCATTCTACCTATTCTAATCCAACTGCTATCAATCATGTCTCTGATCTCATCAGATCATTATAAACATATGATAGGAGTCTTGCATCATCATCTTCATCGACATGAAAAAGCTGTGATGAATGAAACTAAGCTGAAATTCAGGGTGTTGGAAAAAGTAATCTTTACGTATAAATGTATACATGTATCAAGAAATATAAATAAAGCTTTTTTTTTGGGTCGAAGAAATATAACTAAAGCTTGAGTGAACATCTCGCCATCAAACTGACCCGCTATTTTGGTAACGTGCAGTGCAGAAGTGAGAGTTCACTTGAACACATGCTTGTGGAAACAGTTCTGGCAAAAGTATGTTGACGTAGCCCCTAGTTGTTTTCTATCTGACTAAACCTTTGCTTCTTAACAACCAACACGGTATTGAAATTTTGAATGGTTAATTTCAACATGATGAAATCCCTCTAAAAATCTCATCAAGGTGATGAATTGATATTAAACATAAAACTAAAATGAAATTTAAAGGACGACCATTTAATTTTAATTTTAAACTGCACTTGGGCATGAATCTATTAACCTGAGATTCTGCTTCATATAACAGCAGCTATAAAAACAAGCTGAGTGGAGTTGTACAAAATGAGGCTGCTCTGCTCTACATCTGGGACAAGAATTTCAATTCAAAAGGATGACAAAAGACAAATACCCAATGAAACAAGCTACACCATACTTTGATCATATCTTCCAAAACACAAAAGACCATTGGGTTTGTTGAATCTCCAACTTGTCTGCAGCAACTATTTCTACCTTTATCAATTGATATGGTTATCATATACCCTATGTAAATATGCCACCAGCAAGTATATAATATTTCATGGTGTTGTGCACTGCATACCTATTCCCAACCACCAGCAACAATAGTTTCATAATTTCCATAGCCGTATGGAACAGTAACATCATTATAGGAAGCAGCAGAAGTGCCCACAGAACAATCTCCATAACCATAGCTGCTTGGACCGTAATAACTCTCACGCCCTGATTGGGCAGACCTACGGAAGTCATAGCCACCAAACCTACTGCCACCAGACCTTTGGCTCCTACCACCACCGCCACCACTACTATAAGTCTGTGATCCTTCAGCATATTCGTTAAGCCAACTAGGAACCTCCTGGTTTGACTCCTGCATCAACTCAATTAGTCCCTTTGCAAGTGGCTGGTTCTTGTCATTGAAGAAGGCAGTTGCAAGACCAGAATTTCCAGCACGTCCCGTCCGACCAATCCTGTGAACATAGTCATCTATGCCTTTTGGGAGGTCAAAATTGATGACATGAGCAACATGAGGGATGTCTAAACCTCGTGAAGCAACATCCGTTGCCACCAATATTGGCGCAGAGCCACACTTGAATGATCTCAAAGCTCGTTCCCTCTCCTTCAAATTTGCAAGTCAAATATTATTGTAGATACATTGGTAGGGAATAAAAATCTTAAACCCAATACAGTATAACATATTTATCTTCAGTTACAATAACATCTAAGAATTAGGCGTTCAATTATTTACTGGAAAATAAAACTTATAATTAAGATATCAATAAGCTTGGATCATAGGAAGTATTGAAGATATTGAGAATGCCAAGTTAGCAATGCTGCATGGAGAACACAGGAAGAGAAAAAGAAAATTACACTTGCAACCACATGCACTCATCTCCCTTTGAAACCAGTTTTAGGTGTAATTTGGAAGCTGATATTAAAAGTCTGCAGTCTAACTAAAAACAAAATAAACCCTATTTATATATAATTGCCAAAAAAATAATCCATTAAGACAATTGACAGAAAGCAATGGAATCCATATACCTACTCAAACTCAGATTATAAACCGCACGAGCAACAAATGAAGACAAAAATCAGTGAACACGCAATAAATGGTGCACTCCCAAAACAATTTTAGAAAAACTGTTAAAAAAAATGAAGAAATGGAGAAAAAGAAAGAAGATAATCTAACCATTTGCACTTTGTCACCATGAATAGCAATTGCTGGGAAACCATTCATGCATAACCAGTTTTCTAAAGCATCTGCACCTCTCTTGGTCTCCACAAACACCAACGTTAAAGCAGGCTGAATTACAAACAATATCATGTCTTAACATAGGCTCAGGAAAACTATCCATTTCCAAAAGAAAAAACATAGGATGGGAGAGAATATTCTCCAATCAAAACAGAGTAGATGTCATTGTCATATAGATCACAGTTCAAGAATTCTCAAATTGACATCAAACCTTGCCATGGCTTCCATTGGCCTGCTGGCTATGAAGATGATCCATTAAGTGGCTTCGTTTGTCCATATCCTCAACAAATTCGATTTTTTGTGCAATAAGATCAGTACTTGATCCAACTCTTCCAACCGCCAGGAATATGTAGTTTGAAAGAAAATCTGCAGCAAGCCTCTGCAAGGAACAGATAATAAATACAACCACACTAGCCAGAGGAGGTTTAAGCAAAAACTAGAAAAATTAGATCGAAGCACCAAACCACTAGGCAAGAGCAAGATACTAAGCGCAAATAATGAAACATCAAACTCATCATATCATATAAGAGAACAGAATCATGTTATAAGCTGATAGAATTAATGTGCACACCAAGCGTAACAAGTAATCACAATATAAACATCATAGGGCTTCAAAATTTAGTTGACCCACCTGTATCTCATTTGGGAATGTAGCACTGAAAAGCAAAGTTTGTCTAGCACCAGGGCAAGGCATGTCCATTTGTTCAACAATCCTTCTAATCTGTGGCTCAAAACCCATGTCCAACATCCTATCAGCCTCATCTAATGCCAAATATTTGATCATTCTAAGTGAAATTCGTGACCTCTCAATCATGTCCACTAAGCGCCCTGGAGTGGCAACTAAGATATCAACACCTCTCTCCAGATTACGGAACTGCAGAATTGAGCATTATCAAGGCATCATTATCAATAAACAAGATATAAATATATATGTGTGTGTGTGTGTGTGTTTTCTAAATCATTGAGTGGAGAAATTCAATCATCCTTAAAAATTAGGAACGGCAATTACACAATACCCTCACCCCGATTAACAAATCTTATACATAAACTGTTTGGTATCTCAAAAGAGAACGCTTATCTTTCTTTCCAATACTTGACCAGTTTATGATATTTCATCAACAACGCAAACCACAAATTGGGTCAGCTACCTTATATCCATAGCCAACTGCACCATTCAAAGGGCAAAGAGGAAAAACAGAAATAGGAGCACACAGAAGAGATAACCAAAGAGAAGTCTAGACTTGATACCACATTGATGCTATCAAATGCATAAGCTAGTGAGGTACCAAAATCTTAAATATCAGTTTAAAACAAATATACTGCATCTTATTGTGAGAAAATAGTAGTCCAGAATGGAAAGCATAAGCTTAACAATCAGTATACAAGAAGTGAAAAACGAAGCATAATAATTCATCGTGAAAGATAACCAATGGTAATAATCAAACACAAAATTTTAGGCCACAATATCACTGAAGAAAGACACAAACCTGCTGAGAAATTGGTGCCCCACCATAAGCAACAACAATCTTGACCCCACTCTGATAAGCAAACTTCTTAGCTTCATCATGTATCTACCCAAAAAAATTCAAAAGCAAACAAAAAAAAACAGCAAATACAAAACAAAATTAGACAAACACCCATCAGCACAAAAACAACAAAAATCACCAGAAGCTAGCAAACACATTACCTGACCAGCCAACTCTCTAGTCGGAGACAAAATGAGCGCAGTAGGACACACAGTATGAGCCCCACCTCGAGTCGGCGACCTTCCCAAACTGTTCTTGTTCAAGACCCCACTAATGATGGGTAAGCAAAACGCCGCCGTTTTGCCAGACCCAGTTTGAGCACAAGCCATTAAGTCCCGGCCAGCCATGACTACTGGAATCGCGTGGCGCTGAATAGGCGTGGGCTTAACGTACTTACATCGCGTTTTGATGTTGTGGTTCAAACACTCACCCAAATCGATCTCGTGAAAGGTGTCCACCGGCGGTGGAATGTCGGCGCCACTCGCCTCAACTGGGATGTCTTCGTAGGCATCAAAATTGATACCGCCATTGCTATCTTCTTCAGTGACTTTGAGTTGGTCGAATTTCTCAGAGACATTGTCAGACGGGTTTAGGTCTAGACTTGGGTTTGGGGGTGGTTGAGCCCAAAAGCGACCACCACGGCCACGACCTCGGCCGCCGCGACCCGTGCCTGCCCGACCGGGTTGCCTACTGGGACCGGTGTTGCTTGACCGAAAGCCGTACTGGGCTGACTCTGTAGAGGACCCATATCCGTAGGAGCTGCCACTGTGCCTGAGATGTGGAGGTACGTAGCTGGGCCGAGGTTGGCGAGTGGGCGTCCGGGTTGACTCAGTAACAGCATCAGACCAAGACATTGTCATTGCGACGGCGTTTTCTTCAGAGAAACAACAAAACAGAGCTCAAGCTAAAAGGAGAATATGAAAAATGGAGAGAATGTAGGGATGTGTTGTCTATATAAAAACGCAGTGCAGAGGAGAGAAGCTGTACGGACTGACGTCGTGGAGGGGTTGGCTCGAATATCAAAATGGCGTACCTATTTTGGTGAAAGAGACTGAGACGATGATGAAAAAAAGTTGCAGTATGTAGTAAAATCACTCTCTCTCTCTCTTCTTTTCATTTCCCATAAAGTTAAAGAAGCTACAAAACCCTAAAAACCCCTTCGAATCTAGAGAGAGAGACGTTTCGCTTCTCTTTCCGAGAGGGCAGGACTCTCAGGCGAAGTATGTGGGGAGAGTGGAGAAGCGTCGTTTTGCACGTTCATTAATGCGCGCGCGTCCATGACCCATGAAACGCCCGCGAATTTTTGTTTTGCGAAATTGTCCTTTACTTCTCAATTTTATGTCGTACGGGGTCCCTGTGTAGCATGACTTGGAGCTCTGCGAGTGGGCGGTGCAGGAGACATACGGGTAGAGATTAGCTTAGGCGATTGCATTTCTGAAAATATCTTCCTGAATGGACCGGAGATATTTGTGGGAAACTGTGGGGCTCTTTGGTGCTCCACACGCGTACTGAATGCGAGTGGACTTCACTAATAGAGAAGCCCAATGGCCAAGAGGGTAGAATCGGAATTCGGCATGTTGGCTAGCCTATACATGATTCGATTAACCCCTAGTAGAAGTATAGGCCCACATCTTAATTTTGATTTAATCTTCCGAAATAAATAAATAAACTCTTTTTTCTTGTTAGAATAGAAAATAGTTAAATTATTTGAATTTGGGGACCTCCCAAAACTCATCCTTTAAAAAAAAATATATATATATATATATTAATTTTAACCTATGTTTAAGATGCGCTTTGCTATCTTTGTTTAGAAATCAGAAGGAATAGTAAGCTTCAACATGATTTAAGTCCAGGAACAAGCATCAAAATAGTAGAGCAAATCATTCTTCCAATCTCCATAGCTCCTCGAAATATTTGTACTAACATATCCTTGGTCAATTGAACCATCATCAATATGGCACAATACATCTAAAGATTTGCTAGGCATGATGGATGGCAATTCCCAAAGTATACATCAAATATGAAGAAAGAATATACATATACATGTACACACACACACACACAAAAGAGCACACCACATCAGTAACCTTCCAGTTGGTCATTCATGACAGCATTGCACTCCAACATTTGCGAAGCAAATTTGTCTCTCGGATTGTGCCATATGTTTATACCGACGCATATCAATACAGTCACGAGATTAAAGGAAGAGCTGTATCCAGTCAGTACATTGTCCGGTTATCAGTCTTCTTTTCCTCCTTAAGTCTGTTCAACCATTTCAGTTCCGGTCAATAGATGCTTCTCTTCCTCCTCAAGTCTTGCCAACCATTTCAGTCCTAGATCGCATCCTCCTTTCGCAGCAATGTGGAACCGTTCTCTTGCCATCTCAATGGGATCTGTTACAAGGCTTTCTCCATTCTTTCTTGCCATTCTGGCCAAAGAACCCCTCTTGGAAACGAACTTCGTCACAGATTCTGGGATTTCAACACCTAAGACATGCAATTATGCCATTAAGGGTATAAAAAAATCACAAATTTGGGAGAGGAAATATAAATTATGGGTGTCCAAGCAACCATTATTTCCATTTGAAGAATCTCCATATTGAAAAGTGAAAATGGATAGGAAATGACTTCGGCTGCCACGTTGCCATCTCCTATGGTGGAATGCAGACAACTCAAATATAGCCATGGGATTTGTTTGACCATTGGCTACATGATATCTGTGTTTAGAACTGTTTTATTTTCTCACAAATAGGATGATCACCAAAGAGGACCTTACAGTGAGTGAATCTCCCAATCACCCTTCCTAGCCACTATTTGTGTTACACCATCTATGAGTGCACATCATCCCACTTAGAATTGTGCAACCAAAAATGTCACGTCAAAGTCATGATTGTCTACTCTATGGACACAAATTTTTTTTTTTTTTTTTTTTTTTTAAATAAAAAAAATGGAAATAAAACAAAAGAAGCATGGTTGGAAGAATAGACCTTGAAGAAGAAGAGACCCAAATGCTATAGCTGCACCAGCATGCCCCTGCATGTATTAAAAGCAAGAACAGTTTAAAATGGTACACTAGTTGAACATAAGATGAGGTTCTGCGTATGTATACACAAAAATTTGTAAAGTTTTGTTTTTCAGAAATATTCAGTCAAGTTATTCATATGATGCACCAGTAATTATCTATGCAGTTGAATTCCCTTCTATTTTTTTTGCATTTGGATCATGAAACTTGGCACTTGTATTGCAAATGGAAGAAAGAGGCTGTTCAAGCCAAGAAAATGTGACAAGTTTAAGTACATATAGTTAAATGACAGAATAATCTATCAAGTACATCTAAGCCTTCAGAATTCACCATTTTTGCCCAATGAAAATCTGTAACTACCAAAACACTTGTTTAAACAATGTCAAATTTTATGACTATTACTTAGTTTCCACCAACATGCATATCCCTCATTGATGGTCCATCACTGAAACAGGGAGCAGCATTTACCTTGTCTGATGCCCTATGGAAACACCATAATGCGGAGGCAACATCTTTCTTCACGCAGTCCCCCGTCAGATACACGGCACCCAGAAGATAAAGTGCACCTGGATGCAACTAGAACATAGCAAGCTCAGGTAAGGATTCGAAACAAATTTCAGAAGCATTAAAGTTTCTGCATTATAGAAACATACCTGGTCAACAGCCTTCTCCAGATAATGGAAAGCTTGTTGATCCGATTGGACATGTTCATTCTAACCAAAACCGCAGCCAGAAAACATCACAAAGTCATTGTATAGGCAAAAAGTGAAAAGGAGAAAAGAAAGACATGTGATAAAACAATTGGCAAAGCCCTAATTTAAACCAAAAGAACAGTGTGCTAGTAGGGGAAGAGTTAGGCACAGGAGCCATTAGAGTGCATGCAAGACTATTACAGGAATAGCGCCTGGTACACCTTGGAAACATAAAATTAATACTCAGAAAACTAAATCAATCCATACAACTAAAATTCTCTACTTCAAATTCAAATTGCTTCATCAGGGCATACCTCAACTCTAAGCTTACAACCTAGTTCATACTGTGCATCCGGATCACCCATATTCGCCGCTTCAACTAACAAAGCAGCTCCTCTGTTATGACAAAAATGGCAAGAGCATCAATTCCGTGAACTCTTTTTCCTTCATTCCTTGCTTTTTTTTTCTTTTCTCAAATGCTGATCTAGATGTCTCATGAAAAATTACAGAGTAATAATATGTATGGTGACTATCAATGAGTAAAAGGATTAAGATAGTAGACTCACATAGCTCTGCAAGCACCTGGGACATGGTATTTCAAATGCAATTTGGACAACCAATACCTGGCATGGGTATTTGAGTTGTCAGCTTCTAGAGCCAACTCAAAGTTTTCCTTTGCTGCCTGATGTTGATTCAAATAACAGAAAGAGACATGTTAATGCATAATGTTAGATCAGAAAACAAATAATTATCTCAATTTCACTAACAAAACCATAAATTCAGAACTGGGTTTTTTTGTTGTTTTAATGCATGGAAAACACAACTATAAAGATCCATACACATTACACACCCTTAATAGAGGGATGAGGCGGCTATCATTGAGCTCGCAATAATCGATAACTCTGTCCACTTCCTTTAGAGCACTCCACCCTTTGGCTATCAACTCCATGGCCTTCTTGTTCCTGCTGTGCATTTCTCTCTAAAAATCAAATAAACAAAAGTAAGCAAATGAAAATATAAATAAATGATAATTTGCCGAAAGTAGCTTCGGAAAGTGGAAAATATGTACGGACCCGTTGATTGAATTGAGATACTCCATTGGGAGGTCTGAAACTGAGCTTCTTCAACAGCTGCCTCTGCATCATCATCTCTGTGTGTGCGAGAGCGAGAGAGAGAGAGAGAGCGCTAGCGCAAGAACGTTGGAAAGAATGGTACAAAGCCTAAAAGCAGTTGGGCTTCGGCCCCATTGTAACAAAAATAGAGGCCCGTGGACCATGGTTCATGGGTTGGTCCATCAAGTCCTATAAACATCTAAAATAAATACTTCTCCTTTTCTTTTTCAATTAATTTATGGTAACACTAAAATGTAATAAAATAATAATTTAATTTGACATATCGGGTGGAGTGTAGAGCTGTGTAAAATGTCAAATTGCCACATCAGCCATCAATTTAAATTTGATGTTTGGTATTTGACATCTCCCTTGATTCATTTTTAATTAAAAAGAAAAGAAAAGAAAAAATAATAAAATATTCATTTGACATCTTGCTTTTGGGATGTCAAAAATAACATCTCAACCTCTACCCTTTATTCCACATCAGCTTTAACATATCGATTAGAGTGATGTGAGATGTTATTTCTAACCATTACATGTCTATGTGGCACTTTTGACACATCGGTTGGAGATGCTCTTATAATTGTTCAAAACACTTTTCAGGAAATGTGAAAATAAATTAAAAAAACCTTTAAGATAATATATTTGGGTGAAGTTTAGAACTTCAAAAGAATTGAAATATAAAGAGCTACTTTATATACTAGTTGGGCATACTACATTCGTACACCACCTTATATACCACTTCTCTAATAGAGGTCAGGGCCCATCTCTATTAGAGAGGTGGCATGGCTACAAGAGAATCTGAAATTGAAGTAAGTAGTGTATATCTAGGGAGACGCACTCTAAAATGGCTTTGAAGTCAATTACCATATTCAAAACTAATATTTAATACCAACCAAATAAATCAAGAGAAAAAACATAAATCAAAGTATAATAGTCGATACTAGGGCTAATAAAAAGCTAATATATGTTATTAATAGCATGATCTGAGCTTTTGCATCCTCTTCCTCACTGACTTCTAGAGGCATACATATTGTATGGTAGAGGGCAGTTTTTGTTTAAGGTATTGGATAGCATGATCTCTTGCATACGCTTCCTCATTGACTGGTATCCCATTGCTCTCGATTCCAGTAGGCCAACACCAAAACCGGACAGGATTTATAATAATCTTCCCCAATGCAACAACATTCATTTTCAAGTACATGACATGTTCATCATAACATTCATATATAGCCACGGTACCCTGAAATTTCTACTTCCTTGAGGTAGTGATGGGGCCAGTTGGCATTAGCTTTCTCTATTATTGCTGTCCTCCAATCGGGAGTTCCGATACCCAACTGCACCGCACCAAACAAACAACGCTTTAGTCACAAGAAGAACTAGAAAGAAAAACCCTAATTCCTTTTTCTTCTCCATTTTATACTTTGGTAATTTATTCAGTTCAACAATAATATTTAGCAATTCGTAAATAATAGAATGAAGAGAAATGAAATGTACGTATCAAGTAATGCATGCATAGCATACGCCCAAATTTAGTGTCCGCATGTAAGGAGCTGCCTTCATGAAAGAAGCTAACCGACCAAGGGACAAATAGTAGTCTGCATCGACTAATAATTGCAAATGCTTCAGATTTGCTAGTATATATGGGAAATACATGATTCGGATTGTACACCTGCAACAAAGCCAACCCACCGAACCAAATGAGGAGCAAGTAAAGAAGAAAGAAAGCTGACACATGAGATTATATACTAACGGCTTCTCTGATATCCAGCTTCAAAATCTCTAGATGAGAAAGACAGGATCAAAGTTGGCTGAAAGCAAACCTTATGAATTCACTATAATCATTGCCTAACTTGTTAATGGCTACCTCAACAAGCCGCGGTACATTCTTGATATGCAATGGTACCAAAAATCCACAAAAAACAAATGAGACAATGTTTGCATTAGAAATCTCAATGTTTTCGAGTTGTTAACAATATTTTATCTCCAAATGTTTCAATGCGATCGAGGGACCAACAACTCTCAAATTAACTAAATCTCGAGCTATAGTTAGAGATACTCGCTCAAGAAGTAGACAATTGGACAATAAGAACTCGACAAGTTCCCCGGTCACAGCAACATGTCGAAAACGAATAACTTTGAGGGACTTGAAACCAATATTATGGAAAGCCAGAAAATTGGTGCTTCGAAGCAGATTCCTTTTCCATACTCAATAGTTTGTGGGGAAACGCATAGTCATATGGACTGTATAATTCGCCCATTCTGCCAACAAGTCCAGCTGAAGTACTTGAACTCTCTTTGGCCTCTATATGCTGCTCCAGCACCCGATTCACCCAATTGACGTACTTACGGCCTTCTTGGTTTAGTATATTTTCATCAAGTCTATAGAAGTAGTCTAAAGTGTTACGGTCGGTCCTCAAAGTTAACAGCATCTAAATTGAGAGTCGTAGTAGATGCCCAGACATACCGCCATCGCCTAGAAAGGATACTAGTCGCTGCTGCTTCCTTTAGGGTCAATAGTGACACTATACGAACAACAACTTCTTGTGGCAACTTACTGATTCGGTCCTCCTCCTCCGCCGCCGCCACCAATTCCAAGTTGTGCTCATCATCCTTGATTATTTTTCTTCTCTTTGTTCCCAATTCCTCCGACTTATTGTACTCACCATCATCCTTATACATATATGGAGATATCATAAACATTATAAAATAAAAAAAGAAGAAGAGAGAGAGTAAAGCATTATATGGAGATACATTCTATGTAGAACCAGTTTTTATTGTTTACCTTGGGTTGGGCAGATTGAGAGGTTGGGGTTATTCCTTTCTCCATTAAATCTGGGAGTTTGCTGACGAACGTGGAGGGAAAGAGAAACGCAATTGCAGAGTTGTTGTGGTGCAAATTTATAACTACACTACATACACACACGGACGTGTTTTCTTTAAAGAGAGAGAGAGAGAGAGAGAGAGAGAGAGAATAGTTTGAAGCATGCAAAACTCTGTTTCATCAGTGTCACTACTACAAACGAGGATACATGATCCAAAGAGCCGGGTCGAAAGCACAAGATCAGTATGTGCCAGATGGTATAATTGTTGTGTGTGTGAGAGAGAGAGAGAGAGAGAGAGAGAGAGAGAGAGAGAGAGAGAGAGAGAGAGAGAGATGAGAGGTAAATAAATGAAAGATAACCATTAAATTAGGTTGTCAATCAAAACTAATTTGGCATCTCCTATATATTTGGGGTTGATAAGAGAGAGATGCACTCTAAAAATGGCTTTGAAGTCGATTACCATAGCCCCCCACAACACAAACACAATGATAAAAATTAATTAAAAAAATCATGTGCAATTCTATTGACCCAAATTTTCACGTTTCTTTTTCATTTAATAATAAAATACAGAACTGGTGCATGATGTTATGCACTATTTTTTTAATCCAAACAGGGTCCTGATTCTATTGCTCTTTCACATCGTTTCAATTCCAATCAATCAAACCCAAATCCTTGACCAGGCCCACTAATAAGATATGGCCCGACAGTTCAACAAATATTTTGCCACCTGGAATTCCACACTTGGCATCGTCACCATCCTTCGATTTTGACAATCCCAAAAGGCTCTTGTTGTAATGTTATATAAATGACGTCTTACTTGTGTTATTTGGCCAGTAACCTCGCATAAAGACAAGGTTGTGTTGATGACTTCCAAGTACTTGAATTATGAAGGGATTAAAATGGTCATGGTTCGGTTCATTCATTCATTCATGTAGTATGTGTGTTTAGTATATTATCATTTCTTTAAATAAATAAAAAATTTATTTAAAAAATTAAAAAATTAAATTCAAATTTGAACTAAATATTTCTTTTTAAATTTAACAATACGATAATCTAAATTACTCTTGTTTACAAAGAGGGGGTCGAATTCGGGTGAAAGGCCGACATAGTGCCTTTGATTATACACAAGGTTTTTTGTTGGAAAGCAAATTATACAAGTCATTGACCACACAACTCTATTAAAAAAAGTCATTGACCTGTCCTAAAAATCAAACATGAAGGGATACATGTGGCAAAGATAAAAGCCCGAGGCGCAAACGTTGCGTTTGAAAATTAAGAGGAAAACTCGGAAGCTTGAAAACAAAGCAGAAATGGGAGGGGTGAAGAACATCTGGAACGCCATGGAAGTAGCTAAGCAAACTTCAGATTGCTCCACCTCTCAGATCCATTCTTCTTCTCTATCCGTCGACCCTTCGCTTCCCCTCTCTCACATCACGCCTCTGATAATGTCAGTTTCTATCTTTTTCTTCATTTCTAGGGCCTCTTATTCATTTTCTGTTGCTTGCTTCAGCTCTTCCCTGGCCTTTATCTTTATCTTTTTATTTTGTCTGGAAAAAATTTGTTCGATTTGAAATTCTGTTTGGCAGATGAGAAATTGCGGGAAACGAAGAAAAATGTGATATCCAGGATTCCGATTTTGTGTTGTCTTTCGTTTTATTATGTTTGATCGGAAATCAAACGGGGGCTGGATCCTTTAAAATTTATCATTATTTTTTAAATTTATGTCTTATGTAATTTGATTTTCAGAGAGTTGTGCAAGGATCTATTTAAGAAATGGTCAAATTTGGAGAATTCTCGCTTCTCTGTTGGGACAGTTTCTGGTGGCATCACAAATCTATGTGAGTGTTTTCTTTTCTTCTTCTTGTGTGCTGTAGTTGGTTTCTATAAGCTAAAACAAAGTACGGGTTCGCAATAAATAGCTCATTATGTGAAATTAACTTTACTTTGATTTCCTTATTATTCAATCAGTTTTTGTGAGTCTTTTAGCTATGGTGCACAACTGAATTAGTGGTCGTTAATACATGCAGTGCTGAAGGTGACTGTTAAGGAAGAGAATGGAAACGATGTGTCTGTAACAGTCAGATTGTATGGGCCTAACACCGAGTATGTCATCAATCGGGAACGGGAATTGCAGGTAATTTTGTGAACTTTCATGGATTTATTATTATTATTATTATTTTAGTATCTTTGAGTTATATAGGTGTTGAGATTTGTTCAAGGATATGAACGTATGAACACTTATAATCTCCGCTGTGGTCCGGTTGGGTTATAATTTTTTGAATGTAATTATCAACACAAAAATGATGTGTTTCTGTTTATGTTTGTATGAAATTTCTTTCTAACTACATTGATTGTTCGTCTTAACTTAGTTTTCTTTAGCTTTTACATTATCGATGATGTTTAAATAGCACAATTCACTTTGTAACTCCTCACTGCATATTGTCTTCAGTCAATCAAATACCTCTCGGCTGCAGGATTTGGTGCAAATTTGCTTGGAGTTTTCGGGAATGGGATGGTGCAATCTTTCATCAATGCCCGTACGCTAATCCCATCAGGTAACTTTGGTTATATATTCTTTCAATAAGTAGAGTATTTTATCAAAGAAGCGCAAGAAGGTGCTTGCATGTACCCAAGATGTATTCATAATTCAGAAAATGAAAATCAAATAAACAAGAAAAGGAGTTCTCTGGTTGTATGTGACCATTCAAAAAACAGATGGACAAATTTACCCCACCACTAAATATTCTACCCTTCAAAAGCTCTCCTTGTCAGATCTATGGATAATCTCTTGGTCAAGTCTATATTAAAAAGAGCCTCATTTCCAAGTAAATGTTCTTGAAGGTAATTTCTTCAATCGAAACTAGTATACAAGCTTAGAGACAGAAGGTCAATTCCATTGAAATAAATTATACACATTTTCAGGGTTCTTGGTGAACTGAATCTGTCCATTGACATGACTTTTAACTTCTTCCCATCTCGGCAGACATGAGAAATCCGAAGCTGGCTGCTGAAATTGCCAAGCAACTATGCAGATTTCATCAAGTGGAAATTCCAGGTTCTAAAGAACCCCAGCTGTGGAATGACTTGCTCAAATTCTTTGAGAAAGGTTTTCTCTTACTTTATTTTCAGCTTCCTATATTTTATGTTCTACATCTCCTGTTAGCTAAATTGATGTTAGGTGAATGGAAGTGACCAGATATTCATTGGCAGGTTTACTATTCCATATCAATTTTTAAATTGAGTTCATATCTGTAACTTTTCTCATGATTGAGTCACCTCCTTGTTGCAGCCTCTGCTCTTGAATTTGACGACAATGAGAAGCAGAAATTATATAAGACCATTTCATTTAGTGAAGTTCACAATGAAATTATTGAGCTGAAGGTATCCTCCCCTATCATAGTTTACTTGGTATTTCTTGTTGCTGGCTACTTTTCTATCAGTTTCGATAGTATCCAGATGATAATAAATTGGCATAACATGATCTGGGGATGGCAAATGCAAAAGTGTTCTCAACGATCATATGTTGTTGAAAGATAAAGGAGTTGTATATTTATATGCATTAGAAAGTTTGTTGGTTTCAGTTGTCATTTGCTGATTCTATCTTGATTATATTGTGTGATTCGTTAGTGAACTTTATCCATATTTTCATATACGTCTCTCCTGAATATGGAACAGGAATTGACTGGCCTTTTAAATTCTCCAGTGGTTTTCGCTCACAATGACTTGCTTTCTGGAAATATAATGGTTAATGATGAAGAAGGTATTCCACTTTGTTCACTTCATTTCACCCTCTCTTATTGTTGACTCGTGAGAAGTCACTTTTCCTTCTATATGATGTTCAAGAGTGGTCAAAATTCAATTACCAGATATCAGTTTGTGATAGTTGCCTAGGATTCTGATTGGTGGTGCCCAAGATGGCCAGAAATAAAACAGTGATGTTGGTTTTGGTTCCTCGTGCTTGAAATGGTGTTTGACATGGATAGGGGAGAAAAGCTAAAATAGATTCAAATTCTTGTTTCATCGGCTAATTTGGCTTTCCAATTTTTTCCTTCTCAACTTACAAAATGAAACTAATATTGTTTTTTGCTGTTTAGCTCTTTACTTACACTGCTTTTCTGATGAGTATCCAGATAAACTCTACTTGATTGATTTTGAGTATGGATCATACAATTATAGAGGCTTTGACATTGGGAATCACTTCAATGAATATGCAGGCTATGAATGTGACTTCACCTTGTATGTTTTCTTTTTCTTGTTTTATCTCCGTTATTTTCTCTTCTTTCAAACTATGGCGATCACATGGGATGACCTTTCACCATTGAACCTTATGTCAATGCAGATGCCCGAATAAGGACGAACAGTACCATTTCTTGAGGCATTATTTACAACCTGACAATCCACATGAGGTATGTGAAGAATAGCAGAGTCAATTTGCATGCACAAATTGAAAGATTTTAGTATTGGGTATGCATAAATTGGGTTTCAAACTTTATACATGTAGGGTTTTTCTTTGATTGTTATTTTCCTATTTTCCATACCAACAGGTATCTGAGAAAGATCTGGAAGCTCTCTATGTTGAGGAAAATACATACACGTTAGCCTCACACTTGTATTGGGCTTTATGGGGACTAATCCAGGTATCCCTGTTTCTATAGTTTGTTTCTCCTCAAAAACCTTCAAATTTGTATCACTAAATATATTACGGTCAATCGTGTGTAGGCAAAGTTTTCTCCGATCAACTTTGATTATCTCGGTTATTTCTTCCTGCGATACAATGAATTCAAAAGGCAGAAGGAAAAATGCTTCTCGTTGGCAAGATCATTCCTCTCACGATCTCAGACATTAAACTTGCACGCGCAAACATAGGTGCCTGGATGTGATGGATTTGTAGGGAGATGGATTTTTATTTTTCGTTCTTTTACCGATGTTGTAATATATTCCTTTGTAGCCGTTTATCAGATGGAAATGAAAACAAACATGAACAAAATAATTGGCATTTAGGGGCTCCCTGAAGCATTGTAATGCAGAAACTTGTGTATCTGATTTGTGCAATTTTTTTGTCTTCAGTTCATGTACAACAGTTTTGAGCATTCTAGATTAAATTCGTTATAGCAAATGGCACCTAACTTCTGTATATCATATAGATAAATGAATACAAGAAGTCCACCAAAATAAACTTCGTCCACCACCTATCACATTTCATGGTACACGAGAAGAGAATCTATACCAATGTGCTTTTTGCGTCCGCTACATTTCATGGTACACGATAAGAGAACCCTGTCATCCAACAAGGCGAAACATTACATATGTAGTCCATTGAATCCTGAAATTTCCCAAAAAACATACAAACCAAAAGAGTGAACCTTTCGAATTTGATACAATTTACAGTTTCTAGGCTTGAAGAACCTGGCAGTGAACTATGTGACTTTTCAGGCGGTTCCTGCCAGCAAGACTTGACCACAGATTTGTGACCAAGGTCCTGAACTGCCCTCTACCTGCTATAGTTTCCCACAGATGTTCTGTACTTGCTTCACCAACTTCACTGGATTTCGAAACATCAACCAGTGAAATGCTCATATTATTCCGGATGATGCAAAGTTTACCATTCAGGGGAACAAGGGAAGCTGCCTCCAAAGCCCTAGAATTACCCAAATGCATCTTACTGTCGATATGCTTGCCCCAAGAATCAGTCGCTTCATCATAAACTCTAAGTTTGCAGCCATCTTTGCAGTCCAAAGCATAGAGATGCCCATTTAAAGCAGCACTTGGGTTCCTCCAGCCTGCAACCATTCCGTCATACACAGAGTACCAGCTGTCATTTTCTGGTTGGTAGACCTCACTCAAAACTTGCCGATGAGAGCCTAACCCCTTCAAGAACCATTTGCCTTCATAAACAACCCCAATGAAGGGCACCATTGCAGTGCTCATATCTGAAATGAAGGACCATCTGTTCTTGTTGGGATCATAGACTTCAGCTGATCTCAAGGACCGATGCATCCCCTCATTCTCCCCACCGGCAACATACAAGCAGTTATTAATAACACATGAGCCAAAAAAATGACGCCGCCGAAGCATATCTGGGGCACGGTGCCATTTATTGGTCCTGGCACTATAGAAAATGACTCGTCTCATTGATCCTTTTAGCGGATCTTTTCCCCCAAACAAATAGAGGTGACAGCCACTCAGTACAGCACAACCAAACCCAAGGGCTTCAGAATATTCCTTAGGGACAGGAGGAAGGGGTTGCCATAGCTGGTATACGGGGTCAAAGGCATGCCAGGAGATTTTCCCATCTCGATCTCTCTTAATTAAATATATCCATTCTTCTGCAATGCCAAGGCTCTTACGGAGGGAGTAAAAGAAGTTACCAACCAAAAGACGGTACCATCTTTTGCAAACCAGGCGGAGCTTACGATGCTCGACTCTTGGGACCCTGATTAGGCAAGCAATGGCAAGATCATCTGGAAGTCCAGGAAGTAGAGGGGACTGAATCCGGCTACCGTCACCACGTGAAGGCTTACTCCTAGTAGGATGAATGGAGGGTTTAATGTCAGGTTGAAGACAGAGCTTTGCCCCTGGGACATACTTTTTTGCTCCAGAAACAGTTTTAAGGCCAGCATCTACTCTACATAAACATGCTGTTGTATCAACCTGCAAGACAAATGTATATTACTTAAAGACAATCAACCTGGCTGTTTTACTCTCGAATTACAGCAATTCAACTCGATGCACTATGTAAACACAGTTTCCCTGGTTTTGTGGCAAGTCATTACCACGAGGGAGAAGGTGGCATGGATAATTTTCTATTATTGTTTATAATTTGCATAGCATGAAGAACTCCTCTCAATATCATAGATGCTTGGGCAGGAGATTTATCTTTAACGTCGATACAGCAACTAACTGCATTTTCCAACCCCCCCAAAAAAAAGAAACTAACATGGGGGCATAATTAGCTCCCATCAGTCTTTCCTCATCTTGAGAAATAAGTAAAACTGAATTAGTGAAACACTTAAAACACACACACACAAAAGACCCAAGAATCTGACAATTCGAAAATGTGAAAGTCAAAGATGAAAGCTCAATATGGCATATGATTTCAGTTACCTATGCTATGAAGCAAAACATAAAAAGGCAGAGTAGTTGAAAAATAAACTTACCAGCGGAGGCTGTATCCTTCTGTCCATCTTTTCTTCCACTAGGGACTTGCCAAGACCAGATTTTGCCACAAAAACTCCACCTCAAATATCAAATACCAATCTCTCAATCATTATGACCTGATTTGAACATAAAGAGCACGCAATGCCTAACTCATCAGAAACCAACCATCGCCATCAGAACCTAACTAAAGTTCAACTCCAAAATATTACCCAAATCTTGAACTTCACTGCAAATAATCTTTGATTAATCCCCTAAACGAAGTAACCTCAAGATGTCCTTAATCCACCTCCAGTGGTCAAAAGCCCATCTGAGTTGAACTCATAGTTGACCAAAATCAGCTTAAGAATCACAAGCCGAAACCAGTAGAGACACAGAACCCCTGAACCAGAGTTAACCCCAATCGGAAACAACGCAAGCCCGCCATTGTTCACCTCATTATCATCAAAACCAGTCGAAAATCAAAAACCCAGTTTGAAAGGCCCCAGAAAATCACACGCCAAGACCTCCATAGAGAAGAATCAAAAACCCAAAGATCTCATCTTTTCAATAAAAGATGAAAAGAAAGAAAACGCAAAACCACCAAATGCGAGACAGCACAAGACTAGGAGGCAAACAGAGCACTGAAGGAATAGATGGAGACCCCCATAACCATTAATCTTCAGTGGAGTTTAGGGCCCATTCACCTCAACGGCACAACCTACCAAGCACAGGAGTGTGTTCAACAAGAGAGAGAAAAGGAGAAAAGGGCAAACCTAAACCATTAAAAGGATCACAGAAAGAGAGAGGCTTTGAGTGATGACAATTGGGTGGTTGTTTCGTGAAAGAAATTGAAGAAACAATTCACAACCAAAGATTGGAAGTTAGCTTTTGTTTGAGACTAGGGGAAAGAGGGAGTGGGAAATGCGAGGGTCGAAAGCTCGTATTTGGTTCCACCATTTTCAGTTTTTATTTTTATTTTTTTGGACGAAGAATATAGACAAAGATTCAAAAATAAAATATGATGTGCCCCAGGGGCCCACAACTCACAAATCAACACAACCCCACCAAACGCCAAGTGCTATTTATTACACAATATTTTCTAGCATATGTGTCACGTTGTGTTGTGTTGACCCACCGCCTAAATTTATCATGAGCCTCCTACTCCACCAAGGGTATTTTGGTCCTCTCGTAAGTCATTTGCTTGGTGATGATTAGAATGGGTCATGATTTTCTTAGTGTGATTGGATTATGATAACCAGCTTACTAAATTTGTGCTCCCATTTTTCTGAGTAGTGATTGGATTATGAGAAGTGATGAGAGATGAAATGTTGGGCAGTAGAAGGGTTGAATGAGAGGAATCAAATGACATCAGTTCCCATGTAAGAAAATTGGAAATATTTTAAGTAATTATTTTCGTTTGAACTGTGAAAATGATGGCTAATAATTCTTATAAAAGCTAATGTAATGTAGGAGTTTGTAGTTCAAATGGTTAAAAGTATTTATTCTTGCACTCGAGTTGCTAGGTTCAATTTCCTTTTTCCTCAATATCACTCATATTTAAAAATAAATAAAAATTTATGTACAAATTATAGAATAATACGGTGATACGGCATGTTATAATATGAATAAACAATACAGTACATAATATACCACGTAATCATATTATCATACTATTCTATAATCTCTCACTATACTATACTGATACTAATTGGCATAGACAAGACTTTTTAGCATTCAATCAGAAAGAAAAAGAAAAGTGCAGAACATGTCGTGGAGACAGCATTAAGGTCCCAAAATAGTTGTTGAAATTTCCAATTCACACAGTCTTTCAATGATTTCTAGAAGAGATATGTGCCTGCCTAACACCACATGAGAAAACAAAAAAAAAACAGAAAACATTTCTTCTTCCACGTCTCTGTTATGTATCTCACACCCCATTACATCTACAGGATCTTTGGTCCTAGAAATCTTTGAAAGTTTTAAACCATGTATTTGTCTAAGCTTTGCTTGGCTGATTTGTTGACTTGTTATTATATTTATAAAAAAAAATTTAAACAAAAAAAGCAAGATCATTAGCTCAGACGTCCTTTTGTTTTGAATCCCATGATTGGGAATAATTCAAATCATCCAAGCAAGAGGTGTATTTAAAAAGCCCCACCCCACTAACCAATCTTTCTTTCACAAGTTCCAAAAGTTTGATGATTTTGAATTAGTTAGTCCTATTTTGTAGTTAAGTCTCTCACCATCCTCTCTTCTCTGATGGGGAAGAATAAGACTTTTCAATTAATATTTAGTTGGTATCTACCTGAACTGCTTGACCTGATGAAGCCAGGGAAGAAAAAAACAACAACAACAATGACTGATGGGAAAGTTGAAACCATTCTTCGCTCCACAGCATCAGTCTTGTATAATATGTTGAAACCCTTCTTCACTCCACAGCATGTAAAGCCATGTGGGATTGCCCGAAAACAGCTGCCGAAGAAATTTCAATCTTATCGTTTTCCAGAAAAGTCAGCCCATCTTTTGCTTTCATTCAATCTCGTGTTAGAAAAACAAGTCGTTTACGATAAATAATAGCAGATCGCATGAGCTCACTTTCTGCTCCATCCTGTATTAGTTAAGAGTATTTGCCCGTATATTCGAGATTCTAAGTTTGCTTTCCCCATCTCTGATATCGCTTTGTATAAAAATAAAAATGTGAGATATCTATTGGGATTGGGAGTTTCACTATCTTGCACAGTTCTATAAGGTTTTTATTTTTTATTTTTTGGAATTTCCATATGATGCAAAGTGACCAATTATTCTGAGCACTAAGTTGAGAGTTGAGAATGATGAGACTGACCACTTTTCCTTTTTGAGGGGATGGATGGGTGGATGTTGAAACATGTCTTTTACCAACTCGGGGGACAATGCATGGTTGGAGTTCTTTCATTCTTTGTTGGGTTTATAAAGAAAGTCATATCTGTGGGGTTCACATCTTCTTTCTAACACACATTCCATTGGTATAACAAAACCAAAAAAAAAAAAAAAAAAAAAAAAAAAAAAAAAACTGGACCTATCTGGTATTATCATGCAGCTTATCTTACCTAGGCAAGATTATTATCTCCTCCTAAGTCCTACCTACCTTAGGGAAAAATTAGTTGCCACATCAGTTCTAGCAGAAACCAGCAATGACTAGGGCACGTGAAGAGCACCCAGAATCATCAAAACATAGTCTAAATTATACTAGTAGCACTAATGATCACAATTTGGGTTCCTTGCTCTTGCTGGCATGCTCATGGATGCCCATTCTCTATTACTTTGACTTTCAATTGTTTAAATCTAATTGCTGTTAGCATCATCAATAATCATATTATTACATCAACGATATAAGCTTGGGTAAATTCCTTCAAACAAAGCTGAAAACATGTAGAAACTCTGGTGCAATCATAGCTCATTTACAACGAGAACAGAGAAAAGAAGAAGATATAACAAGTAATTTAACAAGAAAAGAAACATAAAGAGAAGAACTCAATATCGTAATGCCAAATCAATATCACAACCTCCGCTTTGATCCAAAAAACATATCACAACCTCCTCCCCAGTGAAGATGGATTCATATACCAGAAACAAAGAGCATCAATCCTGTTCAAAGGGTTCAACAAGCTGTCATGAATAATTTCCAGCTGGCATCTGATCATAGAAACCTACATCCCAACCAGTCCACTTCAGGTTATGAAAATTCTATGGATGTGCCCATCAGGTGTATCAACCAAATGAGGCTCATGTAAAAAGAGAAGCTGACAGAATGAAAGACAATAAGAGTGTGTGTGTATCCTTTCTTCCACCGAAAGGGGTATGATTGAGATTGTTTGCTGTCAAAAAGGGTCAGTCTCGCACAATGAGCCAAGGAAAGCATCAGATAAAACTTCAATCTTCTTCTGACGAGACTGACCATCCATGGTTGAGTTAGAAGCTTAGAAGCTCTTGATCTAGGTCAGTATTGTTTCTCACTTAATTCCGAGGCGGCATAATCTGTACGCAGCACATCATGTTGTTGCCTAAATATCCCGATTATAACGTATGGACATATAACCATGCATGCCATAAACAGCGTGAACTGCAGTAATGCAAAGAGTAATTAAACAGTTGCCACACCAAAATAAAAAGAGAAATATGTACACCTAAAAGGTATCACAAAATGAAAGGAAATTGGGGACTTACAAGAAGAGGAAGGGTCAAGAAACTCCATATTGGCCACAAAGCGAAGCAGAACCTGCAAAAACAAAGATATCAGCAGTCATAAAGGTAATAGCTGATGAATGTAAATGGAATTGCAGTATGGTTCCTCTTACAAGCAAAAGGAGATGACGCCAAGTAGTGTCACAAATGGCAGAGCAGATATACTAGCTAATTCCCATTTTTCATCAAATCTCCTCACACTCCATGCGGACATACTTGTATAACAGAAGATGATAATGTTCAAAACCACGCCCACCGTTCCAACGTATAAAGGCAATCTACAAGATATATAAGAATGCAAACTTTAAAACATTGATGAATCCCGATTAGTTAATAAACTATCTAATTCGTGAGAAACTACTAAATATATGCAGGCAAGGCCTGCTGCTCCCTCCACTGCAAACCCAAGACGTTTCAAAACAGCACAGTTATGCTCGTCATACACATTATCCAAATCTTAAGCAAACATATGGATGAATGACTATACACTAAATCAAAACCACATTTTCATTTAATATAACAAACAATGTTGTCATGCTAAATTTTCCACTATATTACACAAATGATGAGACGTATCACTGGGAATGTGACTAAGCTGCAAAACAAGGACATTTACTACATGTGTCCTAAACAATGTACATTTCTAGAGTGACAAACAATACAGCAAAGAAAAGTTTATTCTCTGTCAATTCAATGGAAAACTGTACCACCAAACGTCCATGAGTATTTCTAGTATCATTTACCAACTGCCCCAGACTAAACAAACAATGACATACTTAACGTATCTGGTCCTATAAAAAACTTTAAAAATAAAACAGTAATATTTAGTACATATTATTTCTGTCTAAAAGATAATCCTTCTACCAAGTGAATGAACAAAATAACCCGAGCTGCAAATTGAGAACAATTCAAGCAAAAATCTATACCTTCTGATTCGGTCATCATGCCAGAAGAGATATATCAAGTTGGATTTCCTATCACCATAGTAAACAATGAATGCTGCTGAGGCAAGCCAAAGGACATTCTCTACAATCTCAATCCGTGACCAAACTCTCGGAGTTCTTGGGGACGAAGTGCGCATAACCGAACATGCATCATCCTCAAGATCATCGCCACTCGATGCATACCCCTGGCTATGCCTCTGCCTCATATATCCAGCCCCAGTTGGTGTACCCCCCGACATGGAGACAAACAATGTAAATGACTAAACAAACTAGAAGAATCTCAAGCCGCAGAATCTGAACAAAACACTCCAATCGCTAAACCAACTAGAAGAATTCAATTCTACAAAGAATGTGGTAAAGTGCTGCTCTTAACCTCTAATCAATATCGACCAGAAATGTGTTTCTATATCTATTCTAATCTGTGAATGAAAATTGAATACAATAAAGAACGCGCTACAGGTATTCAATCACCATATATCCAATATCAGCTATAATAAAAGAAGTCGCCATGCTTATCAAAGCAAGCAATACCAAGGCACCAATAAATCTTGATAATCCAAAGAACCCTCATGAGAAACCCAAACTCTCGCAAAACCATCTCGAATTTGAATATAAAAAAGGGAGAAAAGAAGACCCAACAAGAATTTCAAAAGAACAAACCCATCTGGAGCCCAAGTCCAAAATACTTCCGCTACAAAGAACCAACGCTCCGGATTCTTCAAACCCACTTTCTGAATTCAACCTCACCTCGAAACCCACACGGCAATTTCATCGGTTTCTCCGGTTGCAGACGTCAATCCCGAGCGCCAGTCCAAGTAGAAAAGCGGAGCTGCAAGGCTATAACTAACGGAACTCGATAAGGGTATTTTAGTCTTTTGGTATTCTGGTCTGGTCTGGTCTGTCTCTGTGTGAGCGTGTGTATGTCAGTCCTGTGCAGGTGTAGAGAGGGAAGGAGGGGGATCTGTATTACAGAAAATGTTTTGGATTGTAACAAGAGGAGTGTGGGAATGATTCGTTTCGTGCACGTTTGAAGAACCTATGGAAAAAAAAAGGAAACAAAAAGAACCTTCCTATTCTATAATTATTTTTAAAAGTCCTTATCTCTTGAACTAGGTCCAAGAGATTTGTGGTCACTCACCGTTGGATGGTTCACTCTTGTTAAGAAACTTTTTTAAACCATTAAATTAATATTCAACGGTAGGTGACCACAATCTCTTAGACTCCTGTGATCCAAGAGATCTGGACTGTTATTTTTAATTTTAAAATTTGTAATTTTCCCTCTTTTTGGCTAGTATATTATATTTATATATATAATCACGGCGAGCAGTGAGGTGACCATCTATTTTTGTTTATTTTTATTAATTTACCTTTTGGTATTAAGGGTCTGAGATTGTGTGCCCAAAAAGTCATGCCTCTTGAAATTTGGCATGCAGTGATTGCCCGAGACACAAAAGGTCAAGGTTCTTCTTAATGAGTTGACTTATTACTTTTCTTGTTGCTTGCATTGCCTGCTTGGAAGGCAAGCAATTGTTGGCTTTGATTTGGCGTTGCCTGGCATGCTTCCAAAGCACATTTGGGTTGTTATCCATCCAACTCACGCTACCAAAAGAAAAAGGGGAGAATGTTGCCTTTCGTCTTTCCCCAAGTAGATGAGTAAAAGCGCAAAGAGAAATTGCTTAGTGGGCACTAAAGGGAAGGGTTGTGTTGTTTTTATGTGCCACAAAATAACACTTGTGTTGTTGGGTGGTACCAATCTGTGACGTTAGAGTAATTGCCAGCCCACTCACCTACAAGGTTATATTTGATTACAATAGTTAATGGAGGCTGAATTACCCATTTGAGAGGGCAAAGGACATGCCACAATTGATAATGGGTTTGTATATTTAATTTATTACATGAATGGGAAGGACATTTGTACATAAATGGGAAAAGAAAAAGAAACGCCTACGTTTCCATGAGCCACTATATGGATAGAAGTTCACACGAAGAAGACCTTTCAATGTGCTATTTAGAGCCAAGCAAGCCAATAAATCTCATTTTGCTCATGCATTTTCCTCAAGCATGAGCGTTGGTGAGGGCGGCTGACGACATTTCACTACTACGATGTTATACAATGTGGCTGACTAATACCAAACACCAGAAGCTATTCCTCTTGGAAAGCACAAAGAACGTCTGGTTCGTCATCAGTTGCCTCTTCCAGTGCACAGGCTAACCAAGTCCATCAGTGTTGAATATAAAACTTCCAGGGATAGATGACCTAAAAACTTCCTAGATTCTGATGCACCATCTGAAGCATCCATACTAAGTTTTCGTTCCTCTACAAAACCACCATCTATGACCAACCACCATGAGATACATCCTTCGCCATCTTCTGGGTCCACATGTGCCACCAAGCTGAGTGTTTCTCCCAGATCCAGCTCAAAAGACAAACATAGAAAGTCTCTGTTTGCCTTTATTCCAACCATAAGAGCTTCTTCGTGAAGCCAGCGAATAACTTGACTTGCAACCTGTTGCCAAAGTCCACAATCATTTAATCACACACAAGTTGTAGTGTACCACATGCAATCATATAAATATACAGAGATCAAAACACACCCATTATTATCTGTGCAAATAATCTGATAGCTTCACAATACTACCTTTGTCCTTGTTAAATTTATACCACTTAAAAGTACCTTTAGAAATATAACAAATACCTGCTGTAAAATTATCACAGGAAGATCCGCCAAGTCACAGTCGTATCTGTTCATTGAACAAATTTCCTCAGAATTCCCTTTGAACAGGCCAACAACATTAGGAGCACCTTCCCCTTCTACATTGATGCAATCATCAGTTACAACCACCTTAGTATGAAACTGAGACTTGGTAATGTTCCTCATGTGACGCATGTCTGACGTTCGGGTTTGGCATGCATGTAGAATAGATTCAGGAATCTTCACAAAGAGCATCCAGGATGATGTCCGTGAATGCCAAGTGGGGTGGGATAACAACTGCAGATATGGTACCCCTTTAACCTACAGAATCATGAACACTACTGAGGAAAGTTCTACCACATATAAAATTCAAAATTGATGTCTTACAATAATTTCGGACTTTACCACATTTTCCAGCTCCTTAAGAACTTTGTTTGAAAAAATCCTATGAGCCAAAGACATGCAGAAATGACCAAGAAGACCAGGCCCTTCTTTGGCCAGTTGACCAGATACTCGAGCACCTGCTGAAGTGGGTCTATCCTTTGCTTTGACAAATACATGCTGGTGAAAAATCTGTTGCAGATATATTTCACAACTAATTTGATCAGGAATTACTGAAGTTTTCTTTACAGTATCCGGTTTATCTTCCGCTAACTCCAACCCATCCAATGTGTCCAAAGGTAAAATGGTATTTTCTAAGTTTTGGGTGCTTGGACTGTCAACTGTTTGTTCACCTCTAGATGGGACAAGTGATATGAACACAGAGGTTCCTTGACCTATGTTCAATTGTAAATAGTTTTCTTGTATTCCAGTCACATTGACTCCTAGAGACTGGTTGAATGCTTCACGATTTACCAAATCAAACACCTGGACCAGAAAAGCAGGATAAAACAACATTAAAATGAAGTGTGAAAGAATGATAAATAAGGAAAAAAGAATAAGAATAAATTATGCCTGCTCATCGAAGATTGCTTGATGAACTTCACGAAGAAGTGAATGTGTTTCTTTAACACACTCATCGTCGCTCACAGATTCTTTCTCTGCTTCACTTGACAAACGGATTTTGGTTTGACTGGATTCAATTGGACTAACACCCGGATCAGCACCAAGAAAGCCAAATTGAAGCGAACGGTATGAGTTTGGAGGTAAATTTATTGCTAGCATGCCAGCTGAGTCATGGTCAACACGAACTGTAGAAAGAGAAGATGGCCGAAATATAGCAGCTGGATCATATAATGAACTGTCAAAGAGATCAATGGTGAAGCCTTCATTTCCAGAAGCTGAAGCTGCCACACGCTGCCGCTTAACTTTCCAGTTCTGCTGCAATCTATCCGCTTGTCAAGATACAATATAGAGGATATTGTTGAAGAACATATGAATGCTACTGTAATGAGTTTCTTTCACTCATGCATAAACAAAGTAAGTTGAGAAAAACACAAACGAACATCACAAATTCCAAGTTCACAAAATTCTTTTATGCATGAAGAAAACAACAGGACTTATTGAAGCTTTTAAGGTGATATAAATAAGTCAGGCAGAAAGGTTAAAAATTAAAGGAGATAACTCTTTTAGACAAGAAATTAATGGAAATACATTAACATTGCAGACTCACCTGATTAGAGCACCATAAAATCTTGCTTCTCGAGCAACCTGCCGCTCCAAAGCTTTGGCAGACTGCTTAAAGTATTTCCCAAGATGCTGTAATAGAAATCAATACAACATAAAGAGAGATTTACAAAACAAAAACAAACCGAATTTCAAAATGAGATATTTTTCACCAAAACTAAAAAGAGATGGTACCCGGAAGCATTGTAGCTTGGTTGCTGCAGATACAGCAAGATCAGACATAACTTCATCATGAAATGGCTTTGGACGCGTCATGCTAGCCACTGTTACAGCATCATTCGTTTCCACCTGCTCATACCATAACAAAGCAAGCTTAAAACCCAACCCACATTCACCTTTCATTGCAATCACAAGTATTTGCTCCTTCAAATGAGTATGCGAAAGAGACTGACAGTGTTGATGAGATCTATAATGACAGAGAGCTCCTGGTGTGCCAGCTGCAAGTTCTCCACCATGCTCTGCCATTGCCATTGCGTTGCTGCACTCTCTTTCGAGCTCTTTTTCTGCTTCTTGTTCTCGTCCTTCTCCACAGCCCAAGCGAAATCGATTCTCCGAATCAGCGATTGCCGCTTCTCTTCGTAACCTACATCACTGTAAAAAACCAACAGAAAATAATACCTAAAACCACAGTTCCTGTTCGGTTGCCAAGAAAATCAACCAAAAAGAGGGTAAAGAATGAGGATAGGAAGAGCCGTACGGAGGAAATCGTTCGAGGCCGTTTTCTTCGATGACGTCCAAGCGCTTGATGGGAAGCTTGTCGAGAGAGATTTCCATTTTCCCGTCCATTTTTCTCGATAATTTTCCGGGAAAATTTTTAGGGAAAAATTGGTCAGAACCCTAGGAGTCGGATGTTGGAGCCGGGAGCAAGTTCGGGTTTTCAGTGGGTGCTTTGCTAAAAAGACATATTTGCCCCTTTTCTACAAAATATTGTTTTTTCAATTGTACAGAGTAGAGAGAGAAGAGAGAGACAGATTGAGTTGAAAATCTTGGGAATTATTGGGTGTACAAAAGGAATTAGTGGGTGTCCCTAGAAATAAAATCACGCTTTATTTGGTTTTGGGCCTCAAACAGATATAAAAGCCCAAAATGGAAGAGATGTAAACAAAAGGGGAGCTTAATGTGACAGAATTAAGTCGAATAATGTCATTGCCAAAAGGCCCAGTAGCTAATGTATTAATAGCATGAAGTCAGTATTATTTTTTATTTTTTTAATGGGTTATCTCTATAATAGGTATTTGGATGACCATTACAAATATATCCTGACTCAGATTTTCCATTATATTGCGTGAATATTACTGCCTGACTGAGATTGCATGTTTCAATTTGATGGACAATTGTAATGGTTGGAAATGAGATTGAATATTTTATATTTAGGAAGCTTATGCTTGGAGCAAGCAATTTTATATTTATTAGATCGAATATTTTAAAGGTATAGCCGGGCGGCTATGCTCTTTAAATATATCAGCCGTGCGGCTATACCATTTAAATGTATCCACGCAGCTATACTATTTAAATATATTATTTTAAATGTATAGCCGTGCGGCTATACGCTTTGAATATATTTGAATATTTTAAAGGTATAGCCAGAACACGAAGCTAGCACTCGCAGTCACAGCCATTTCACTTCTCTATAAGCGCTTCCAAGCTTCAAAGACTCGGTCTTGAGCCTCTTTCTCTCTCAACTCAAGCGTCGATTTTTTTTTCTTTCGTTTCAACTGCTGCGTTGATTGGATTGGATTCTCCCTATGAAAACCATCAAATGTCATTCAGCTTGAAATCTCCACCAAGATAACAACTCTAATGCTATAAGGGAGTTAGGCGGCGCCTAGGCTAGTCTGGGCCTCCTTTTTTATCCAAATGAAGACAGACGAAGCTTGCACTCGCTATCCAATCTTCAAAATTCAAGTACTCGGTCTTGAGCCTCTCGCTCAACTCAAGCTTGGATTTTTTTTCTTCGGTTTCGGCTGCTGCGTTGATTCAATTTTTCTGTGATTTTCTGTTATTGAAGTTGGCAACGTCAGATGAACATCCGAGGCAATTTCTTAGTATGGCAAAAGAAGCCCAGCAGATGGTTCTTTAACCTGAGGCACACCTTGCAGTTTGGCATTGGATGACACCATGCCGGCAATACTATCAGGTTACTCTCAAGAGGGAAATCATGGGCTTGAGGCTATTTTTGTCTTTATTGAGATGGTGGGAGAATGGATGGGGTTAGATCATGTCTCATTTACTAGTGCAGTTTCAGCTTGCGGTCATGAAATGAATTTAGAACTTGGGAAACAGATACATGGCTTGACAATTAAATCAGGATATGGAAATGATCATGTTTCAGTTTGTAATGTATTGATCTTGACATATTCAAAGTGTGAGGTTACTGAAGATGCAAAATTATAGTCTTTCAGTGCATGAATGATCGCAACGTAGTGTCTTCGTCAACTATGATTTCAATAGACGAAGACGATGCCATCTCTCTATTTAATGAGATGAGATTGGATGGAGTATATCCAAATGATGTTACATTTGTTGGACTAATCCATGCTATATCAATTAGGAAGTTGGTGGAGGAAGGCGAAATGATTCATGGGTTTTGCATAAAGACTGGCTTTTTATCAAAGCATAATGTTTGCAACAGCTTGATCACCATGTATGCTAAGTTTGAGTCCATCCATGACTCCATCAAAGTTTTGAGGAGTTAAACTGCAGAGAAATCATATCGTGGAATGCTTTGATTTCAGGGTATGCTCAGAACGGGCTGTGTCAAGATGCACTAAAAACATTCTTGGTAGCAACTATGGAGTCGAAGCCAAAATTAAACATTTGGTAGTGTCTTGAGTGCAATTGGTGATGCTCAGGATATTTCTCTGAAATTTGGCCAACGATGCCACTCTTCCTTGATCAAACTTGGATTAGTGACTGGCCCAATTATCGCAGGTGCTCTTCTTGATATGTATGCAAAGCGAGGAAGCATTTGTGAGTCCAAAAGAGTTTTCAGTGAGACGCCTCATAAAAGTCAGTTTGCATGGACTGCAATAATATCTGCACACGCTGGGCATGGAGACTATGACTCAGAGATAGAATTGTTCAAGGAGATGATAAAGAAGGGGTAAGACCTGATTCAGTCACATTTCTTTCTATACTAACAGCATGCAGCAGAAAGGGAAGAGATGGGCCGTCACCTCTTTCACTCAATGGTGAAAGACTATCATATTGAACCATCTCCTCAACATTATTCAAGTATGGGGGACATGTTGGGACAGGCAAGGAAATTGGAGGAAGCAGAGGAATTGATGAGTCAGATCCTGGGACAGCCTGGGTTTACGTTGTTGCAAAGCCGGCTTGGGGCTGGCCGGATCCATGGGAATGTGGAGATGGCGGAGAGAGTAGCCGATACATTGATGGGATTGGAACCAATGGAATCAGATTCTTTTGTGTTGATGTCCAACTTGTATGCTGAGAAAGGGGACTGAGAAAGGTAGCAAAAGTTAGGAAAGGGATGAGAGATAAAGGAGTGAGAAAGGAAGTGGGTTCTCTTTGCCCATCACCACCTATAATCTTCTTGTTTAATGTTTATAATAAAAAGAGAAAAAAGAAAGGGTCATATAAATGAGTGAAAATTAACCATCAAGATCTGGTGAGTCATGGAAACAACCAGAAGACAAAGCAATAATAGAGCAAAATGCAAGTTCAACATAGCCGTGCGGCTATACGATTTAAATATATTATTGCGGTATTCCCGTGCTGCTGTACCCTTTGAATGTATTCGAATATTTTAATATCTAGCCGAGCGGCTATACTATTTAAATGTATTATTTTGACGGTATAGCCGTGCGGCTATACGCTGCGAATGTATTCAAATATTTTAAGGTATAGCCGGTCGGCTATACTATTTTAATGTAGTATTTTGACGGTATAGCCGTCCGGCTATACGCTGTGAATGTATTCGAATATTTTAAGGTATAGCCGACGGGCTATACGCGGCACTCGCAGCCGCAGCCATTTTGCTTCTCCATAAGCGCTTCCAAGCTTCAAAGACTCGGTCTTGAGCCTCTCTCTCTCTCCCTCTCAACTCAAGCTTCGATTTTTTTTCTTTCATTTCGGCTGCTCTGTTGATTGGATTGGATTGGACTCTCTCTACGAAAGCCATCAAATGTCATTAAGCTATTGAAATCTCTACTAAGATAACAACTCTGATGCTATGAGGGAGTTAGGCGGCCTGGGCGGATCAAGGCGGCTCCTAGGCGGCCTGGGCTTATCTAGGCGGCTCCTAGGCGGCCTGGGAGGGTCTAGGCGGCGCCTAGGCGGCCTGGGCGGGTCTAGGCGGCTCTGGTGGGTCTAGGGGGTGCCTAGGTTTCCTGGGCGGGTCTGGCCGCCTCCATTTTGTTCCAAATGAAGACGGACGAAGTTTGCACTCGCAGAGGAATGTGGTGCGCGAGTGAAATGAAGAGACAGAGAAACGAACACGATGAAGTTACCGTTACCCTAAGAGCCCTTGACATGTTCTGTAAGCAACTTCAACTGCATTTGTCTCATAACATCGATGAAAATACCGTTACCCTTGCTATCAAGGCCTGTCAAGGGGACCCCAAACCTGGATGCCAAATTCACGGGTTTGCAGTTTCTTCTGGGTTTGCTTCGTATACTACGGTTTCAAATTCTTTGATGAGCGTGTACACCAAAACTGGCCAGTTTGATGGTCCCTTACTTATCTTTGAGACTCTGCTATACTGATATAGTTTCTTGGAATACTATTCTTTCGGGGTTTCGAACAAGTGAGGGTGCATTGAATTTTGCTCTTAGGATTAATTTTAATGGAGTTGTTTTTGATCCAGTGACTTGTACTACGATTCTTGCTTTTTGTGCGGATCATGAAGATTTTCTATTTGGATTACAACTGCATTCAATTGGTGATGCTCAGGATATTTCTCTGAAATACGGCCAATGATGCCACTCTTCCTTGATCAAACTTGGATTAGTGACTGGCCCAATTATCGCAGGTGCTCTTATTGATATGTATGCAAAGCAAGGAAGCATTTGTGTTTCCAAAAGAGTTTTCAGTGAGACGCCTCATAAAAGTCAGTTTGCTTGGACTGCAATAATATCTGCATATGTTGGGCATGGAGACTATGACTCAGTGACAGAATTGTTCAAGGAGATGGAGAGAGAAGGGGTAAGACCTGATTCAGTCACATTTCTTTCTATACTAGCAGCATGCAGCAGAAATGGAATGGTGGAGATGGGCCGTCACCTCTTTCATTCAATGGTGAAAGACTATCATATTGAACCATCTCCTCAACATTATTCAAGTATGGTGGACATGTTGGGACATGCAGGGAAATTGGAGGAAGCAGAGGAATTGATGAGTCAGATCCCGGGACAGCCAGGGTTTTCGTTGTTGCGGCGGAGAGAGTAGCTGATATTTTAGGTTTGTCAGCATGATATGTGCTTTCTAATTTTTTGTGCTTAGTTAGTGTTATCGCTTTCAGAGCTTACCAAGATTATTGTTTGCTTCAGTTCTGACACCTTCAATATCTTCCTTTTGTTTTTGCCATTGTGACACATAATGACAGTATACAAAAGAAATTCCCAGAGGAATTTGCCGAAAGGAAGTTGGAGAATGACACAATGACAAACTTTGGTGTTGATTTGATGGCACTCTTTGTAATGGATGGTATCCTCCCATTTCAGAAGTTTCTGCTACCCATTTTTGAACCTCGGAATAGACTTATGGTAAGTTGGTTAGCAGTTTGTATTTTTCACATATGACATTCATAAAATATTTAAACGTAGCAGTGCATTTGCTGCAAAATAACTATGTTGAAAATGTTATCTGGCAAGTTTTGTATGCCTACTTGGTACTTTTTTACAGTCCATGTGATCCATGTGTTTTGTTGTTTTTGTTGAATATTCATAGATTTTTGCTTGTACCTTGTCACTCAAACAACGGATAAGGAGTATAATGGAAGGCAACCGTCGGATGGGAATGATAGATTAGTGTCACTGGTCCTTTCCTTTCCCTTTTAACTTTCTTAAGTATAAGTTTCACTGATTGTGGCTTGTTTTTTATTTTATTTTGTAGGTTATCATTGATTCTTCAACATGCTCAATAGCTGATTTTGCTTGTGAAGTGGAAATTACCAAGTAGGTCTTTCATCCTCCTCCTTTCCTTCTTAATTTTCTAGTATGCAGAATGTCATTTGTAAACTCCACTACCATGCTTCCTCCTTTTAAAGAAAAAAATTATTATTTATGTAGGTGTGAACCACTTCTAGATGGACGTTTCTATTTAGAGGATAGATACTAGTGCCTTTTACTTCAATCTGTACTTTTGCGCTCTGTTTACATTGTTTTAATGCATTATGAATGCTAAAACTGATCTACTTTTCATTTAATGAACAATTATCCTTTATTTTTTGTCTTTATGTATACACATGAGGTTGCAAATTAACTATTAGGCTTATCTATGATAAATATTTCCATATCAGAACGTATTTTGTTTGAAGTTATGACGTTTTTTTTTAATGATCCATTCACACACTTATAATAATACTATTTCATGCAGATTGAAAGTCGATGATGGTTTCATATAATTCGATCTTGGGACCAGGATGGGTGAGTTGTCTTATGAGATGTCTGGCCATTCATTTGATCTTTAGTGATTGCTCTTGTTCAATATTTTTGTCTTTTGATGTGCTCTTCAGGTACCGTATGGGTACATGACATACATCCACTAGAAGGGTCTAGAGAGAGAGCAAACGTAAGTTCATGACAATTTGGTTGTAAATCTTCAAATGTATAATAGTTGCCACTGAATTAAGTCTAATAATGTCATTGCTAAAAGGCCCTGTAGCTAATGTATTAATAGCCTGAAGTGTAACATGCATCACTGTAGGAAGATGCAGGACAAAGTTCTTCCATGCTTTTCCCCCTCATATTGGTTGCGCCTATATGGTTTAACTTCTATATCTGTCCAGTTGCAGGAATTGACAAATAATGCAGCAGAGTATGCTCGATTACGGATAGGGCGGGTAAAAGAGCAGCACGTCAAGGTAAAATGCTCAGGAATGACATGAATTGAATGAACTCGGAATTACCTTCTTTTTTTTTTTTAATGGGTTATCTCTATAAGTTAAATCTCTTAGTCCTCTATAATAGGTATTTGGATGACCATTAAGAATACCCTGAATCAGATTTTCTATTATTTTGGGTGAATATTACTGCCTGACTGAGATTGAATGTTTCAATTTGGTGGTCAGTTGTAATGGTTGGAAATGAAAGACTAGTTTTATTAGGTTAAACCTTTTGTTCCGCTGAAATGTCTGTCATATTCAGATTTCATCTTTAGGAAGCTTCTACTTGGAACATTTGGGGAGGATCTTTATCTCTAGATCAACATATCTTATTTACTTGTGACAATTTGTCTTTATTCAAGCCATTAAAATTTTCAATCTATATGTAATACCAGTGTACATAAGAATAGTTTCTTCCCCTATTCTTGTGTTCAGTATACCGATGTGCCCTTTTGATGTATAATAGTATCTCTTTACATATCAAAGATGACTTGAGAGACTTCTCAACGTGGAAGCGCTGATGCCTTCACTACAAGATCCTAAGCGTTTCAGCTTTTGGGTAACTTTATATTTCTCTTTATTAAAATTGAGTATATTGTGGGTTGTGATTGCCGGTATTAATGTATGATTGGATGCAGCTTGCTTCTTTATCAAACCGGCGTCCTCATGAAAGGTTGGATCTCCTATGCTTGCGAGATTCAAGAAAGGTATTACACTTTTTTCCCCTCTTGACATTGGGAATTTCATGGGCACGTGGGGATGGTATATGTAAGAATGAGATGCTTCTTCTCATCTAACACATTGTTTGAAATCTCATTTAGAATAGTTCGTATATATATATCAATGCCATATAACCTCTAATAACACTTCAATTTATTTCAAAACTATTCTCTTCGTTGTCTCATTAGACTATTTTGTATCCAATTTTTCATATACAGAGAATATATTGATGTATCTCAAAGCAGAAGAGCAGGGTTGTCAAGTGTAATGAGAAAAAGATTGTCATTGGGTTCAGTTTATAATTACGATAGATACATTTTAGAAAGAAAATTCTTATTCAAGCAATTTTATGCTATGAAATTCAACATTCTTTGATCCACAAAATGTTGGTGGATCCTTATTTTTGTTTTTGTATTTATGGGTTTAACCGATATTATTTCTCATAAATAAAATTGATTTTTTATTCTTGCGCAATGGGCTAATAGCTGGAAATCATTAGAATGGGAGGTATCAGAAAGAATTTAAATTCTCATTCCACAATATCTCTTGTATAAATAAAATAATTGAAGAAATAACGCTAGTTGAAGTGGTATTTTAGCCCTAAACCCTAAAATAATATGACAAAATTGTATATTTAAAGGGTATAGCCGAACGGCTATACTATTAAAATATATTCGAATTTTTTTAAGGTATAGCCGGTCGGCTATACTCGTAAAATATATTCTTTTTACGGTACAGCCGGGCGGCTGTACGCAATAAATATATTTTTTTTAAAGGTATAGCCGTGCGGCTGTACTATTTAAATATATTCGAATATTTTAGATGTATAGCCGAACGGCTATACTCATTAAATATATTATTTTAAAAATATATTATAACGATACAGAAACATACGTAAATTGGACGCCATGGTAGCCACGGATAGAGACTCGAACTCGTAGTTAGGCGGCCTGGGCAGATCTAGGCTGCTCCTGGGAGGTCTGGGCGGATCTAGGCGGTGCCTAGACGATCTGGGAGGATCTAGGCGGTCTGGGCGGATCTAGGCGGCGCCTAGGCGGTCTGGTAGGATCTAGGCGGCCTGGGCGGTTCTAGGAGAGTCTGGGAGCCAGGGCGGGTCGTGTCCTTTTTTGTTTCCAAATGAAGACAACGGAAGACCCGGCCATGACTTGATCTCTGCCTTGTATTCTCTGCGATACTTCAGAATCAGAGATGAGCTTATTGTCTATCAGTCGCTCTAGATTCTTTCTTCTTAAAACTAGTTTGACCTGTGAATAAGGATATTAATCTTCCCTTTTAATTAGGGGGTGTGTGTTTACTCTCGCCAACGTTTGGTCTGACCTAGGTTTGTGTAAAATTACATGCAAAATAAAGAGGGGAAGAAAAGAAGAAGAAATATGTACCAATTACTTTGCAGCTAATAAGAAGTTTCCTCGTCTCTGCAACTGCAATGGAGTCACCAACGTGTCAGCAGAAGAAACGAGTAATGGAGTGACCAACGTAACGTGTTTATTTTAAACTCGAATATGTTCTCTCTATTTGCTTATTGCACGTAATATTTTCCAAGTTGAGAAATAGAGCATGCTGAATTTGAAGTCCTTGAATCACATCTCATTGGTGTGCAGATCAGTTGAGAAATCCCTTGATTTCTACCAGAGTGTTCTTGGGTTCTTCCCAATTAGGAGGCCTGGCTCCTTCGACTTTAATGGTGCATGGTATAATTCTTAAAAACTTGGAAAACCAACAACAACCACCCTTCATTTTTATTGAATTGGTTTACTCTGTTTTTGAAACATTATAAATATAGAGTATTAATTTGGTTTTTGGTTAATTCTGTGACATTTGAATCATAGGCTATTCAATTATGGCATTGGCAATGGCATACATCGTCTCCAATCTGAAGACCCTGATAAAATGCCCAAGAAGATCGCCCAGATTAACCCCAAGGATAACCACATTTCTTTCCAGTTCTCTCTCTAGCTCTTTTATTCATTTTTTGTATGCTTATATATATAACGTCCGCATAGGAGAATTTATGTATATATATATATATATATATATATCTTCTATGTGTGTACAGTATATTTGTGATGTGAAAATGACTAGAAATACATTTGAATTGTTTTTAGTGTGAGAGCATGGTCACAGTGGAGAAAAATTTGAAGGAGATGGAGATAGAGTACGTGAAGCGCAGGGTGGAGGAGGGTGGAATCTACGTTGATCAGCTTTTCTTCCATGACCCTGATGCCACTATGATTGAGATCTGTAATTGTGACAACCTTCCCGTAATACCCCTCGCAGGAGAGCCAGTCAGGCCCTGCAATTGCAATGCCTAGAAAAAACAACAGCAGCAGCAGCAGATGGCATGCCTCCCTTCTATACACATCAAGGAAGATTACCTTCCTTGTTCATAAATTGTAAGGTGCGGATCAGTACATGTGAAGATTTGATTAACCAACTTGAAAACTTATCTAGTTTTTTAATTTTTAGTTGATAGCCTGAAATCTTGTGTGTTTTAACTTTTCTAGCTGTTTTGATTGAGTAACCAAATATGAAAATGATCTTACATATAAGAGCAAGGGAAACCAAAAACATGAGGCATAAACAGATAATATATAAGCTAGCAGTAAAATGAACTTACCCACCACGTCACAGGATGATGAGGACATCTGCTTAAATGAAAACAGAAGAACTGGGAGATCCCTTCAGTCCAAAACATAGAGCAAGTACATCTCATCATCTCATAGCCACGCTGTTCTGTTTTGGGCTGCAAGGAGCACCCATTTCTGCAATTTCCCCATGAAGTCAAGGAGGAGAAAAAAGACAAATGGATGGCAATGGCGCATGTTCCAGCTATATATTTTGAACTTAAAGGGGCAGATGAGCTCAAACTATTGCAGTAGAATAGAATGGCTCATGACTTGGTTCAAGCTCTTCAACCACTCGTTCTAAAACATAAATGCTTGCATGACAGCAACAAAATGAAATACAATACAAGTATTGATTTGATGCATAGAAAATTATAGGAAGAAAAAAAACACATAAATTTTGTAATTAGGAGAACATAATTTTACTTTTTACCATGGATGAATGCCTAGCATGCATTGATTAGAAGAAAGAACTGGGCACCATGATGACTTGATGAGTGACATCTAACTGACAAGAGAATCTTCAATAACATACAAAGGTAAAGGTGACAACAAGTTTTCAATTGTTTCTCAAAAACAGTAAAGTAATTCCCAAGTGTGGATGCTAACTAACTACACCTCAGGTTTCTTTTTCTTCTTCCTCTTTAAGGAAATGAAATAATTCCCCACATTAGTCATATGAAACATGTTCTTTGCATCCAACATTAATTTCTTACTTTCTCTTAACTGTTTCATTGACTTTATTCATCACCTACTCTGACTCTCACTTCAATTTAGTATCCTATTGAATACGCATTATTCAATCCGTTTTCTTTTACGTCGTGTTTGGTAATTGGGATTGAATTGGATTATTTATTCCTCTAAAACCTCACAATCATGCAGTTTTTTTCTGTCTCTTTCTCTGCTAGCCTAACCAATTTCTATCTACTTAAATTCCCTTCTGCTTGAAATGTTGATGTAGCAATTATTTTTGAGTTGCTTTGAGTGGTAATATGGATGGTTTGGATGATATAAGAAACCCACATTCACCAAAATTTCAAATCTCAGGTCCTCACTCACACATCACACACACTGTTCATGAATGTATGAGAATGAGACTTAGGGCTCCCCTTGCTTCAGGACCCTCTCACTGAAAGGTCTGTTTGTTTAGCTTTTAGCCCAAAAATGTCCTTCGGATATGGGAGCCTGACTGGTGAGTCATGGAAACAACCAGAAGACAAAGCAATAATACAGCAAAATGCAAGTTACATACCGCCGGGCGGCTATACTACTTCGTATATATTCAAATATTTTAAAGGTATAGACGGGCGGCTATATTTTTGGATATACTCCATCCAATCTCATCTCATTAAATGTAACATCATTTGGATATACTCCATCCAATCTCATCTCATTAAATAGAGAGATGGCATCTTCTTCGTCTATTGAAATCATAGTTGTCCAAGACACTACGTTGCGATCATTCATGCACTGCAAGACTAATTTTGCATCTTCAGTAACCTCACACTTTGAATATGTCGAGATCAATACATTACAAACTGAAACATGACTTCCATATCTTGATTTAATTGTCAAGCCATGTATCTGTTTCACAAGTTCTATATTCATTTCATGACCGCAAGCTGAAACTGCATTAGTAAATGAGACATGATCTAACCCCATCCCTTCTCCCACCATCTCAATAAAGACAAAAATCGCCACAAGCCCATGATTTCCCTCTTGAGAGTAACCTGATAGTATTGCATTCCATGAAACCAGATCCTCATTCGCCATTTCATCAAACACATTCCTAGCTTCTACTAACCACCTCTACCTCGAATAATACATACTTACAAAAAAAACTTCACCATCTAAACCAGACTTAAATATAAGAGAATGCAGTTGTAATCCAAATAGAAAATCTTCATGATCCGCACAAAAAGCAAGAATCGTAGTATAAGTCACTGGATCAAAAACAACTCCATTAAAATTCATCCTAAGAGCAAAATTCAATGCACCCTCACTTGTTCGAAACCCCGAAACAATAGTATTCTTAGAAACTATATCAGTATAGCACAGTCTCAAAGATAAGTAAGGGACCATCAAACTGGCCAGCTTTGGTGTACACACTCATCAAAGAATTTGAAACCGTAGTATACGAAGAAAACCCAGAAGAAACTGCAAACCCATGAATTTGGCATCCGGGTTTGGGGTCCCCTTGACAGGCCTTGATAGCAAGGGTAACGGTATTTTCATCAATGTTATGAGACAAATGTAGTTGAAGTTGCTTACAGAACATGTCACGGGCTCTAAGGGTAACGGTAACTTCATCGTGTTCGTTTCTCTGTCTCTTCATTTCACTCGTGCACCACATTCCTCTGCGAGTTCAAACTTCGTCTGTCTTCATTTGGAACAAAATGGAGGCTGCCAGACCCGCCCAGGAAACCTAGGCGCCGCCTAGACCCACCAGAGCAGCCTAGAACAGCCCAGGCCGCCTAGGCGCCGCCTAGACCCGCCCAGGCCGCCCAGGGGCCGCCTAGGGGCCGCCTAGATCCCGCCAGGCCGCCTAACTCCCTTATAGCATCAGAGTTGTTATCTTAGTGGAGATTTCAATAGCTGAATGACATTTGATGGTTTTCATAGAGAGAGTCCAATCCAATCCAATCAACGGAGCAGCCGAAATGAAAGAAAAAAAATCGAAGCTTGAGTTGAGAGGGAGAGAGAGAGGCTCAAGACCGAGTCTTTGAAGCTTGGAAGCGCTTATGGAGAAGCAAAATGGCTGTGGGTGCCGCGTATAGCCGATCGGCTATACCTTAAAATATTCGAATACATTTACAGTTTATAGCCGCACGGCTATACCGTCAAAATACTGCATTTAAATAGTATCGCCGAGCGGCTATACCTTAAAATATTCGAATACATTCACAGAGTATGGCCAAACGGCTATACCGTCAAAATAATACATTTAAATAGTATAGCCGACCGGCTATACCGTAAAATATTCGAATAGTATAGTCGTACGGTTAATATATTTAAATAGTATAGCCGCTCGGCTATATATAACTTGCATTTTGCTCTATTTTTATTGCTTTGTCTTCTGGTTGTTTCCATGACTCACCAGATCTTGATGGTTAATTTTCACTCATTTATATGACCCTTTTGTATATGCAACCTTTCTTTTTTCTTTTTTCTTTTTATATGACCTTTTGTTATCGTTCACATCAAAATTTCATTTGTATGTTACCTCAAGATGAATTTCCTTTTTTTATTTTTATTTTTAGAAATTTGGCTACAGAACTTCTTAACAATCATGATTTACTTTTGAAGTTTTACATGCACAGATTCAAGCCTTCAAAGTGAGGGCCTTGAGAAGGAGTCCTTTTTCAGTGATTCTGTTCCCTGCAACATCAAGAGAATCAACACTTACGTAAATTTGTCCTGAAGAACAGCTGCTGCAATATATTCCTGCTAGAAACCTTTGTGAATATAGGAACCAAATGAAAAAGATACCGCACAAATTTTGCCTTACCTTAATACTGTAGAAGAGCACCTGCGATAATTGGGCCAGTCACTAATCCAAGTTTGATCACGGAAGAGTGGCATCATTGGCCATATTTCAAAGAAATATCATGAGCATCACCAGTTGCACTCAAGACACTACCAAATGTGAAATTGTTTGGCTTCGACTCCGTAGTTGCTACCAAGAATGTTTTTATAGTGCATCTTGACACAACCCGTTCTGAGCATACCCAGAAATCAAAGCATTCCACGATATGATTTCTCTGCAGTTTAACTGCTCAAAAACTTTGATGGAGTCATGCATGGACTCAAACTTAGCATACATGGTGATCAAGCTGTTGCAAACATTATGCTTTGATAAAAAGCCAGTCTTTATTCAAAACCCATGAATCATTTCGCCTTCCTCCACCAACTTCCTAATTGATATAGCATGGATTAGTCCAACAAATGTAACATCATTTGGATATACTTCTTCGTCTATTGAAATCATAGTTGTCCAAGACACAACGTTGCGATCATTCATGCACAGCAAGACTAATTTTGCATCTTCAGTAACCTCATACTTTGAATATGTCGAGATCAATACATTACAAACTGAAACATGACTTCCATATCCTGATTTAATTGTCAAGCCATGTATCTGTTTCACTAGTTCTAAATTCATTTCATGACCGCAAGCTGAAACTGCACTAGTAAATGAGACATGATCTAACCCCATCCCTTCTCCCACCATTTTAGAAAGAAAATTCTTATTCAAGCAATTTTATGCTATGAAATTCAACATTCTTTGATCCACAAAATGTTGGTGGATCCTTATTTTTGTTTTTGTATTTATGGGTTTAACCAATATTATTTCTCATAAATAAAATCGATTTTTTATTCTTGCGCAATGGGCTAATAGCTGGAAATCATTAGAATGTGAGGTATCGGAAAGAATTTAAATTCTCATTCCACAATATCGCTTGTATAAATAAAATAATTGAAGAAATAACTCTAGCCCAATTAGCTGAAGTGGTATTTTAGCCCTAAACCCTAAAATAATATGCCAAAATTGTATATTTAAAGGGTATAGCCGGACGGCTATACTATTAAAATATATTCGAATTTTTTAAAGGTATAGCCGGTCGGCTATACTCGTAAAATATATTCTTGTTACGGTACAGCCGGGCGGCTGTACATATTAAATATATTATTTTAAAGGTATAGCCGTGCGGCTGTACTATTTAAATATATTCGAATATTTTAAATGTATAGCCGAACGGCTATACTCATTAAATATATTATTTTAAAAATATATTATAACGATACAGAAACATACGTAAATTGGACGCCATGGTAGCCACGGATAGAGACTCGAACTCGTAGTTAGGCGGCCTGGGCAGATCTAGGCTGCTCCTGGGAGGTCTGGGCGGATCTAGGCGGTGCCTAGACGATCTGGGAGGATCTAGGCGGTCTGGGCGGATCTAGGCGGCGCCTAGGCGGTCTGGTAGGATCTAGGCGGCCTGGGCGGTTCTAGGAGAGTCTGGGAGCCAGGGCGGGTCGTGTCCTTTTTTGTTTCCAAATGAAGACAACGGAAGACCCGGCCATGACTTGATCTCTGCCTTGTATTCTCTGCGATACTTCAGAATCAGAGATGAGCTTATTGTCTATCAGTCGCTCTAGATTCTTTCTTCTTAAAACTAGTTTGACCTGTGAATAAGGATATTAATCTTCCCTTTTAATTAGGGGGTGTGTGTTTACTCTCGCCAACGTTTGGTCTGATCTAGGTTTGTGTAAAATTACATGCAAAATAAAGAGGGGAAGAAAAGAAGAAGAAATATGTACCAATTACTTTGCAGCTAATAAGAAGTTTCCTCGTCTCTGCAACTGCAATGGAGTCACCAACGTGTCAGCAGAAGAAACGAGTAATGGAGTGACCAACGTAACGTGTTTATTTTAAACTCGAATATGTTCTCTCTATTTGCTTATTGCACGTAATATTTTCCAAGTTGAGAAATAGAGCATGCTGAATTTGAAGTCCTTGAATCACATCTCATTGGTGTGCAGATCAGTTGAGAAATCCCTTGATTTCTACCAGAGTGTTCTTGGGTTCTTCCCAATTAGGAGGCCTGGCTCCTTCGACTTTAATACGCATTATTCAATCCGTTTTCTTTTACGTCGTGTTTGGTAATTGGGATTGAATTGGATTATTTATTCCTCTAAAACCTCACAATCATGCAGTTTTTTTCTGTCTCTTTCTCTGCTAGCCTAACCAATTTCTATCTACTTAAATTCCCTTCTGCTTGAAATGTTGATGTAGCAATATTTTTTAGTAGCTTTGAGTGGTAATATGGATGGTTTGGATTATATAAGAAACCCACATTCACCAAAATTTCAAATCTCAGGTCCTCAGGTCCTCACTCACACATCACACACACTGTTCATGAATGTATGAGAATGAGACTTAGGGCTCCCCTTGCTTCAGGACCCTCTCACTGAAAGGTCTGTTTATTTAGCTTTTGGCCCACAAATGTCCTTTGGATAGAGCCTGACTTGGAGCTTCCAAGATTCCAAGTCCAAACCACCACATGGAGACTATATTATTCTAAAGACTAAAATACAACTTCTCCCATCAGACCGTCAATGTCAAATTGTCTACTCTAACAAACATGCTTATGCTAGCCCCACAATGTATGTGAAATTTAATTTGGAAAGAGATATGTTGGTGATTATGTTATTTTATATATGGATTTTTGGTGTTTTTGGATGTGTATCTCCAAACCGGCTATATATATATATTGGATTAGTTTGTTTGGCGAATTCTTAAAATTATAACTAGACATTATGAAGAGTCAATTGGGTCTAATCCGGTGAAAAATGACATTGATTTGTATATTAGTGGTCTTAGGTTCGAACCTTATGACATCTTGGTAGTGTGTGTGAAAACTCCCCTCTCGTTATAATTTAGACTATCAGTTGTATTAAAAATAGACATTATGAGGAAGTGCAACTATGTCTCAACAGTGCCGACCCTGAACAAGGGCGGGAAGTGCGACCGCCCTAGGCCCAATGTCCTGGGGGCCCTTTTTTTAAAATTATATATTCATTTAATAATTTTAAAAAAAATAACAATTTGGATAACCTTGGTTTCTTAAGATAACATTGGAACATGTGAAACTTCACTCTTTAAGATTTTGAAAATTTCAATTCTAATGTAATAGCCTTAGATTTTAAAAATGTTATATTGAAGTTTGAATTGATATCATTTATTTATCTTGAATGATAAATTTTTATTTAACTTGGACATGTTAATTCTTCTTGTTTATGCTTAAAAAATAAGAGTGACACAATAGGAACGGGCAAAGGGAGAAAGGAAAAGTAGAGAAAGAGGGGGGGAGGGAAGCAAGCTCTTTACTTTCGCCTTGGGTCCTCAAAAACTCAAGACCGACCCTATGTCCCAATCAAATTATTTATAAAAAAAAACACTACGCAAAATTTTTGGATCTAGATAAAACTGGTCCCAAATTTTTAAATTTTAAAAAATAAAAGAGAATTTATTTCAAAGAATTACTTTTATACCTTTAAGCATGTTGGAAGAAAGATAGCACATGTTGTCATGTTGACCCGCGGTTCATGGTGATACTTGGCAATTCTCATTGACTGATATCTCTAAAACCAACGCCATAAAACTATAAAGTAATTTTATGTATTTTTCCTCTTTTCTTCCTCATCCCTCTCATTTCTCATCTTACAAAAAACAAATAATAAAATAAAACACGGTTCTTCCTCTTTTCCTGTTATTTTTCACAAAATTAGTATCTTCAACAGCCTCGTTGTAGAATCTTTTGAAATTTGTTGATCATGTTAATTTTGGGAAAATAATAATTTGAAGAAAACAAAGGTGGTTGTAAAATATAAACTAGCATATGTAGGAGCTACAAATCTATACAAAATCTGTGCTGTCAATTCATGTAATTTAATTTCTATATATGTATTCTGTGGATACTCCAGATTAAAGAAAAACAGGACACAGCGAAGACAGCGACCATTTTGTTTTGTAGTCCTAACAAAATGAGCGGTACAAGGCAGGGAGCTCTTGGGGGCCTTTGCTTCTTGTCTGCAAAACCAAAACCATCAGACTCCAATATGCCCCAATGAGTAATTGCTAGTCTCCACCATCCACAAGAACCACTAATAATTTCAAGCCACAACAAACTCGTAAAATGATACGACATACTAACACGAACGATAATAAAATCAGCTACTTAATTACCCAATTGATACAAGTAGATACATACAATGTACCTATAGCAATGTAATTAGACCGTCGTCTTATTTAAGGATTACAATCTAATATTTTTAGATCATGTCCGAAATGACTAGGATCAATTAGTATTCAGCATAAATCCGAAATGATATGAGCGAGAAACGACACATTATCATTACTAATTGAAATCTATTGCACAAGAACTTGATGTGACCAAATTATCAATTTCATCAACAGTTTAAATATCCACAATCACAGGCAGTGACACATGGGTTTGCTGCTATAAATAATGTTACCATCCTAATCAACCATTTAATTAATAGCTTTTGATTGTCCTGGTGATTCCAAACAGACCCCTCCATCCACCTCGCATTATATATTTTGAGGGGTACCACAATAACAAATGCAAAGAGTCATCTGAGTCTGAGGGTTGAAATGGAGAAGCAGAAGAAGAAAGCAGGCATGTCCAGTACATACATATACAACCCCAGCAGCGGACGTCACTTAAAGCCTGAATCAAAGCCTCCTCCCAGTGCTGCCATGGCGGTGGATAAAAATAAAACACCAGTTTTACGTAACTGGTTTAATTTATCCATCAGAAAACCAAAACCACGTCCAGTGTTTGATGTTCAAGATGAGCAGATGCAGCAGCAAGGAAGAAGAGGAGGAGGAGGAGGAGGAGAAGTGGTGGTGGTGGAGGCAGCAGCAAGGAAGTCAGTGTCTCATGTGGAAACCAATTTGGTATCAGTGGCTGAGTTTCTTCAGGTCAAAGTCTTGGTCTCTGACATGCCTGGCTTCATGCAAGTCCATGCCTTTCGCAGTGCAAGGCGAACTTATGACAGCTTGGAGAAGTTTAGCTCCAAACACATGGCTTATAACTTAAAAAAGGTATGTATGTGTGTTTCAAATTTTGTTACCAATTCAATTCTCCTACATCTAATTTCATCTTGTTCTTAAATTCCATTAATTAAAACAGAAAATAAAAATAAAAAGATTTATGGGTTGTGTTGTAACTTGTGATGATAATTAAGGGGGAGGCGCAAGAGCCCAAGACAAATGTCTGGGATGCATACAATTGTTTTCTTGGTGGTGTTTCTTTTTGGAATTTCATGACTTGTTTTGGATGATTGGGTTCATGTGTCATCATATTCATAGATTTGATGAAAAATATAAACAACCCCACAGGCCACATGGGAACACACAGTCAATGAGTCACTGACTTGACCAGATATGTAATTTATATTTCTTGGTTGGTGCTTCAATTCTGATAATACCGCATCATCTCTCTCTCTCTCTCTGTGTCTCTCTCAATGGGGCCACTTGACCTACAACAAGCAATTCTCATTGATGAGAGAAGATTTGATGATGAGAGTTGTGGATCTTGATTCTTCTTTGTATCAATGAATCTGGATTGGCAGCATCAGCATGTACATCTTTCTGAACTAGTTGTCCACTTGTCTGCTAATTGGGACTGGACTCCTCCTGTTCCAGCTTCCAACACCCCACGTGTTTTGATCACATTGCACCCGAGTTCAAACTCCCTCCTCCCGTAGTACATTAGAATAGTAAAAAATAACCATTAAACAGAAATAGTGGTGATTAATTAACTAATCATGGGGCCCTCTGTTCCCTGCGCAGGAGTTTGATAAAATGTATGGGCCGGCATGGCATTGCATCGTGGGCTCGGGTTTTGGGTCGTTCGTTACCCATTCAACAGGTTGTTTCCTCTATTTTTCAATGGAGAAACTCTGCATTTTGTTGTTTAGAACTAAAATCCAGAAAGCCCAGGATTGAATTTGCTGTATTTATTCTTTTCCGTTATGTGAGCTCAGATAATCCTGTATTTAATTACTGTATTGTATCACTGAGGATTTAGAGTGTGCATAATATATCAATTATTATTCTGAAATACATATATATATATATATATATATATAATATTTGGACTTATTTGGTCTGTGAAGACCAATGCATTATGTTATTGGATTCATGGTAATATTTTGTTTTTAAAAATGCTGGCTCGATCACCACCAGTGGCAGTGACGCTGGAACTAACAGCTAATCATGACCCTAGCTCACCTAAACACATCCGCAAAGCTAATTATGACCCTTGATGCACATATCATTGGAGATACTTTTGACTCTAATTAGAGATATTCATTTCATGTCTTGCATATGAAGCTATGGGGAAAATACTTAAATGTGACCGTCATATCATGTAGTATTGCTGATCTTTGAAAGTATATTATGCCGTGGCTTGGACATATGATATAGTATTATTAAATAGATACGCATGTTATAACATGAATGAATTGATAACATCACGTGACAGTGTAACTGTCATATAGAATGAAAGAATTTATCAGTAAACCTAAAGGCTGAAAGAAGAATTAAACATTAATTAATTAAAGGGGAAACATAAAAAAGAAGAAGTGGAGTAATTAGGAGAGATGGAGCAAGCAATGATGAGCAGTTATGGAGAAAAACGAATAGAAAAGGTGGAGATAGGAGTCAAGTATGGTTTGCCAGATTGGTATGACGCTTTCCTTTCGTGGTCCCTTGTGGGTGGCTGCTGCTGTGTTTTCGTTGGATTCTTGAATTTGTCCAAAGCAGAATATGATGGGGCGGTCGGGTTCTGTTGCGGCTGCTGCTGCTGATTGCTAATTTTGCTAATTTGCTAATTTGGCTGCTTCTATTTGTCCAAGCATATAATAATAATAAGGTGGTGGCCTTATTAGTTTTATTATCCCTAAGTATTCATAACCAAGTTTTTATTTTATTTTTAAAGTTCATAACCAAGCTTTAAGTACAAGGAATTTTGCTGGTTTTGGACATTGTATATGTATATGCAAACAGAAATTTCACATATTCATATGTGAACCAACTATGAAGTCATGGAAAGTCTTTCAAATGACCCATCATTTCCTTTGATTCTGACTCCAAATAGAATCAAACACAATGATGGAAATTGAAAAATATTATTTTCGGTGAAAAAAAGTATGTTCTTACACCTACTAAATATGACACCAATGTCTTTTTCTCGTAACAAATTGTGCAAGCTGAATAGTGTCATATAACTCGTGATACACAATATTTTTGTATTATTACTTTCTTCAAAAGAAAAAAAAATTATACGCTTATCTTGTCGATTCTTAATATAAACATTAAAAAACACTAGGCGAGACAATTTTCGATACGTTTTATTGTACCATCCGGTGCATACAAAAATTACTCGCTTATATGCCAGAAAATGGTATTGTCCAAATCGAAATAAATGAAACAGCTTTATAATTTGATTCGGTGCACCTTATCCTTATTCCTTACGTGTCCTGACAATCCAGCAAGCCCAGTGGCCCGAGAAGCCCTACTGCCCTCAACTCACCCTGTTGATTATTGATTATTGACTTTAAAATGAAAGCAAGCCTAGAAAATTGAATTAGAAGACGAATTAGCTGATGTTTATTAGCTGTCAACTTGTCACACCTTTCTTTAATTAATTATTATGTCTGGGACCAACTGAGCAAATTGTAAAATTTCTTCAAAACTACTCCTATCTTAAATATTCCCACATTCCGTTGGCCTAAACTTGCTGAAATTTAGCTCTAATCCATCATCACAAGTACTAGATTTGACTTTTGGTCTTCATTTTTTGAAGCATTTTTGTTTTAATGTTTTTTTAAAAAGGCAATAATAATATTAGAATACATGGTGGCCGGCCGGCGATAAAATATTTAATGTAATTTTTTAAAGGCAAATAATTATCAGAAAATCAGTACAAATAAAAACAAAGTTGCTATTTACCAAACACACCAATCACACACTGCAAATTTCAGACATCATATTATAAAGGTAAAATGAGAAAAATAAAAGATGCTGCGCGTATGCAATGCATTATTACGCAATGTGAATGTGCTGTCTGTCAATCCTGTAAAGGGGCATATTCTAAAATCTCTTATCTCACATTGAAAACAAGTCAAAATCGTTTTAAGAAAAAAGCCCAACTTTGTTGAATACATCAAATTTGCACTTCCTACTTTCTTTGAAAACCGCCATGGACAACTTGTCCAATTATCAACATGAATTCGAATTGTGTAATTCACTTGCATCATAATCTAAATTGATTTTGTTTTCATCAACACAAAATGAATTAATATTCAGACTGAGAACCTCACCCAATATCCAAAAGACAATCACTCATTCAGATTCATAGTGTAACATTTCCCAAGCTCGAATTCCCCACCCCTCACCCCGTGGACTAGATTAATTTAGACTATCGCTTTTATATATAAAAAATGAACAACAGCATTAAGCTTAACTAGTAATTAACTTCATAATATACATGTTCTAGATATTGGGAAAGCTAGGAACACTCCAGAAGTGAAGTGAAGATTTCCCCATCAACAAAAACTAATTCTGAAAAGAATTAGAAAGAAGAAGGATGAAGCATAAATAAGAATTTTAATGGATATTATTGTAGCTCACCAGACACATCAAGTATTAATTATACAATTTTAACAACATTACATTACAATCACCCTAAAACCCCCCTTCTTCCCACAATCCTTTAATAACATGGAAAAATAAAAATTTAGAAAAAAGGGCATGCACTGTTGAATTAAACAAAACAATCAAAACAAAACAGCTAGAAATTAAGTACAGATTCAATTTCTATGACCTTCGCTTATTCGATCTGGGTCGACGCGCTGACGAGGGCTTTGGTTTGCCGAAGGCGCCGCAGAGGCCACAGCCTGAGACCTTAGGGGAGGGTGGGTCCGTGGCTTGTGGTGAAACCTTGACCGTCCGATACCCCCGTCCGCCGTTGGATCGGCTGCGCTCCATGGTGGGGGCCGCACCACCAGATTCTGTAGCCTGAGCCTGCTGAGCTGCTTCCTGCTGCTTTTCGGCCTCCACTTGGTTCAACGCCCTCTGTAGAAACTTGTCGTCCCAAATCAAACCCGAAGACCCCTGTCTCCTGAACGTGCTTTCAGACCTTTGCAGCCCCTCAGCCATGTGATGTGATGTGATGTGATGATATCTGAATCTCAGAATCTCTGATCTGCGGTGTTGGTTGGTTTGTGATATGCTCGGTTCTCTCTCTAGAGTCTAGAGGCTTCTGTGAGAATGGAGGATGGAGGATGGGATGCGAAATTTGAAGTTGAACTGGGCTATGATGGTAGGTTTTTTATATGGCGTTGGACTTTTCTTCCTCCCTGTTATTATATGAAGGGAGAGAGAGGGGAGAGAGAAAAGAGAGAAAATGACAAATGAATATAACGAAGAAAGAGACCATGAGGGTAGAATCTAATCTGTAAAGCGATTAAATATGGTGGTGTGTGAAATCTCGAAATGTCGTATTTCAGTCTTCTTTTTTCCCCCTTGCAATTTTTGATTAAAACATACATGCCAATTAATTAATTAATTAATTAATTACCTTACCTTACCTTACCAGTTTTGCTTTTATTCTTCCTTGTCTTTGACTTTTATTATATTCTCAACAGTTTTAAGAGCAGTTGGGTTTGGTTTGGGTAGTGTTTTTATTTTAATTTTACAAATAAAAATAGAGATAAAATTAATACGAAAAATTGCTTGGGGATTCAATGCAGCATATCTGAATAAAAGTCTTTATTTTCCATGTCGCTCTAAATAAAAGACAAAAAAACGTTACTAAACTAACTCAAGTTTGTCAAGATTAGCAAGAAAATTCTTGCCAATGGCTAAGAATTCTCCCCCTTGGTTGTTGCTGGACATGTGTTCCTTTCTAACTTTGCTTTGAAAATTGGGACATTAATGCAAAATTAATTCACTTTGTGAATTTTTGGACATTTCTTGGAGATGGACACGGAAAACTTTCGTGTCATCTTTTCTTTGGTTGTTTTGTCGGCATTATTTTATTCATTGTTTTTTTTGGTACGAATGAAAACTTTATAATAAAAAATTGGATGACCAGTCAGTCAGTCTGAGTCACCACTCTGTAGAGCCGCGTGGAGTCCGTGGACCATTAGATAGGTTATCGGGTCAGGTTAAACCCAACCACGCATCAAACGGGCCCTTTCAAGTTAGCATCGGTCAATGTTGTTGTTCTAATATAGCCTCTAAAGCAATGTGTTTGACTGACTCAGCCAGCCAGCCAAAACAAGGAATGTGTCTTGACTCATTCTGCCTACCGGCTAGTTTGATTTGAATAATAAAACTTGATCACTGTTGTTCTCATTCATCAATAAACATTATCGTACAAGTGTGTACAAGTAAATACAACTCAGGGAATATAACCTACAATTTTAATCGAGTGATAATCTAAACTATTCTAAATTAATCTAAACGACAAGCGATACAAGGGAAGGTGTGCTTTACAAAGTCAACAACATCGCCTTATAAAGGTTGAATGCATTGACATAAACAACCCCAATCATACACACCACCTGGAATATGATAATACTGAAATGAATATAAAAGAAACAAACGACAGAAAGGAGCAAATATGAGCAAAAACCATAGAGACAAGATGTGATATGTGGCTCTATCTGTACAAAAATGAAAACAAGCCCAATACAAAGATGCCAAGTCTTTGAAGATAGTGCATCGGCAGGGTTCTGGCAATAGCCTCCAAATCAGTAACTATGATATCTGAGAGCGAAAGTAGATTCCAAAAAGGGGTAGGGGTATTTCCTAAATGCCAGGAAGCTTCTACACCATGCCAACACGACACGAGCTTCATCTAGTAACACAAAACAACAACTATTTTTACAATTCTATCTAGCAAAATCTTATCATCATCACCCGAAAGTCACTCTTCATTGAGTAAAAGCATGTTTCGTATCAGAATTTCTCTTCAGTTGCTGCCGGCATTTCCTTCCCTCTTGTCAGCTATCTTTCCTTTCTCTTTTAAAATTTCATTTAAAGGTTTGGGACCCTGGAAGTCCACTCTAGTTCTTCTCACATGCCTCACTATCCCAATGTGATCTCTATTTTCTTCTGCTTTCTTCTTCTCTTCTTTAATCTGGGCAAGGGTCTTGGGTCCTGTAAAGGTAGTTGACTTCTGTGCAGATTTCTTCTCCCTTGGTACTCGTTTCTTTGAGACTCCAGATGAAGGAAGCTTCTGCTTAGCCAGCTTTCTCTCCTTGTGATGCTTCCTAGGCCTATATTTCTGTGAATGCCTAAGTGAAACGCGTTGAATTCCAGCACTAGAGGAAGCTCCATTCTCCCTGAGCGATCCATAAGTGCTATTTCTCACTTCTGATGCCAATCTTCCATGCACCCGCCAACCCATACCATGCCTTTGAGGCATTTCCCTGCTTCTACCAAACAACCTAAGTGCTTCATGCCTTCTTGATAAACCAGTAATTGAATGACAATCAGTCATCCTTCGCCTTCTCAGGCGGTCTCGAACATCCAAAAAATCCTGGTCATAGACTGCCAGTTCCATTGGCATCAGTTTCCTCTTGCGGGAGTATATGGCATCCGACATTGTCTCCTTTGCATAGCCAGGAAATTTCCCATCATTACCAAGCATATGCTTGTTATCCAGAAAATCATAGGAGTCATATACATCTCTCTCATATAGAAGTTCAGCATCAGGAGGACACACAGGAACATAGTCATCGGGATTTTCAAAATCATAGCCCAAGAAGTGGCTATTGAGCTCCCTGCGCTCCCCGTCAAGTGTCAGAAAACACTCCGGATCATCCTCACAACCCAAATTCTCTGATTTACCATCAACAAGAACATCAAAGCCTGGGGAGGACTCCCACCATTCCTCTTGCACAAGGTCATCAGCTTGCTCATCAGAACTCTGATCTGTGCATGAATGGGATTTGCTATGAACAGAGCCGTCTGCAGGTAGTGAGTCAGACCTAATTTCAGTGGCCTCTTCATCACCAGACACAGAAATCTGAGGAGACACACTTTGCTGTGGAACATCTCTCTGTGCTGACTGCTCGAAATAATTAAGATCCTCTTTGGGCTGGAATCTTGTATCAACTGTTTCCTTCAAGGCAGTTTCAGAAGGGTTGAGATGCGCCATTCTTGGACCTGGCATCATGTCATTTCCAGCAGATGCCTTATTTTCTGAAGAAAGTGCAAATGTGTCATTAAATGCAGAGGCTGTCTTTGGAGATTTCTCAGTTGATGCACCACCTTCAATGTCATGCAAGAAAGAGCATCTATCACCTTTATTGCAGAACCCGTTGAAGTAAAAGTAACAAGGAACAATTGTCTTATTTGCAGATACAGAAGATGGGGCAGACTCTGATGACGGTGCTCCACCATGCCCATCCAGTGGCTATGAAAACAGAAAACAGTTTCAATTGGCATTTATCAAATGACCCAGGGATGATAAAGAGTCCCTAAAACAACCATGAATTGATAAATACTCAATACATTACTCCGAAAAGAAAAGAAAATGTATGGAAAGCCTCAATGCCATAAAATGACAATGCACCAAATTTAAAGTACGCATTAAGTGTCAAGTACTAGCACTGATTTAAATGTTTAAGCCTAACTTGTCAACCCAAGAAATGGCATGGGACAAGGAAGGAAACAGCTTTTTAACAGTACATTATACATTGGAATCCATTTATCATTTATTAAGAATATATATGAATGAAAACATGTGTTTTATTGTGAAACTGTGATTATCTTAAACATATCATAATTTATGTAACCACCAAATACAAACGAATCCCCAAACCCACAAAACAGAAAAAAGAGAAGTCATAAATAAGGGACATTGACGCAGTTAAAAAATGAGAACAAGAGCTTACAGGATGCCTAAAAGCACAGGTTGGATTAAGACAATTCCCAGACAACCAGTACCAGCAATCCTTTGGGTTGAGCCTCGCAATCTTGCTGTGCCGGAACTCACAATCAACTCCCTGAAAATAACACCACCACCAATGTCACTACCCAAACAGATGAAAGATTACAATGTACTTAAATTGAAATATATTCACTGCAAACAGAACCCATTAGAAACAAATTGGCATTTTCTTCAACAGAACAAAATATGAACACTCGAATTTGATAAAAATATGTGTAATAACCGTTCAAGAAAGAAACCTAGATCTTCCTAGGCTTTCACAAACCCTAGAACCCAAATATCCTTCAAATGTAAGGCAGTACGACGTAATTGTAATAATGGAAACAAAGAAAGAACCACAGCTCGCAGCATTGAACAAAATCCACATAAAAATAGAAGTAAAATCTAGTAGGAAAAACGATACGGGTCATTCTTTTCTTCACGAACCTTCTTGCATGTGAGGGGAGAAGCCAGGAAATAGACGCAATCGGTGTTTCGCTTCAGCAAATCTTCGTCCATTTTGAAAACTGAAAATAGAAGAAAATGCTTAAAAGTTTGAAAAGAATTATCGGAGAGGTCTTAAGAAATGTCCATGACTGTTTTGATATTGGCTTCGATGGCAGAGAGATCGGAACGGAGGGAAGAGTGAGAGAGATAGAGGGTCGTGCTTTCTCTGCTGTTTGGGTTTTTATTGTGGCGTTTTGGGTCCTTTGGCGCTGCGACACCTCGTTTGGGGTTTATATACGCGGTGCTGTTCCTCGCTCTTTATTTCATTTTTTATTTTCATGGCCCCACTTTAGTTATATGAAGTAAAAAAAGAAAAAAAAATCACTTGAGTCTAACATTCTTGCACTTTATTTACACAAAACTAACTTAACACTAACTCAATTTGATTATGGATTGCCAATCAAGTCTGACACACTAGCTTCCATGACACTGGAATAGCAGAAAAACTTGTATGAAACGGAGATAGCATAATTTTGCTATTTCTGACCAATCACAGTCTGCTACGTGAAAAAGTTATCATGTGTGGCATACCATGATTGGTCACGAATAGCAAAATAATAATATCTCTGTCTCATGTAAGTGTTACTCGTGCAATAGGGCATTGATTTGCATACTAGTGGTTTGAAGTTCAAACTCCCATGGCACTATGGTGGTGTGTGTGAGAAACCTTTGTCCCTTGTAATTTAGACTATGCTTATGCTAAAAAAAAAAGGTCTGAAACATTAGCAGATGTGAGTTAGGTCGGTGTCCATTCCCTCTCCATACACTAGAATAATTTGGAATATTGCTTTGTTAAAAAACAAAAAAGGGTTCTACTCAACCTACTACAATCTGTTCAATTTTAGGATTGGATCCGAGTTGGTTCTGATTAAGCACGACCAAGTTGCCCTGCTCTATCCATAAGATAAGTGGTATATAACGCCCATCAAACGGTAGGGTTTGCCTTAATTGATATAAAACTTGTACAAAATGAAGGGCTACAAGCTAACTCATGTAGGCAATATCACAAATTCATAACCAAATATCACCTATTCAGCATTCTTCCCAAATTTATTATCGTAGATTTTGAGTTCAAGTTGCGTATGCTTTCTAAGAAAACAATTTATTACACAAAATTTGAAGTAAAGCCTAGTGATAGCTTGAAAAGCTAAAGGGTCTTCATCGATCAAAATTTGTAAACCATTTCTTCTGTGTATCCAAGTTCTTTTAGTATGCCAGTGAGCTGCAACAAAGCAAATATAATTTTTTAAGAGTTTAAAAACAGAAAGAAAAGTGAAATGGTAATTGGTTTGACAGCAAGTACAAAGCAGGATATGCTCTTTCTTACCTCTCCTTGTGACCAGTCTTTAGCCTTGTCACCAGATATATGTTTCATCAATCCAGGGGGGCCACATACCTGCACAAGCAAATGAACGTTGGTTGATGGAGTTAGTTTGAAAATTGAACTAGAAAATGATCTTGATTTCTGAAAGTGTATATATTATAGCGACGAGTACTTGTCAGAACAACACTTACAAGGATGAGAGTATCTTCAGCAGGACCAGGTAAGCCTTTAACGGCCATGTCCTTCGATATGTAACCTTTTCCCCCTTTCCAACTCTTCGTTGGATTATCTACTGTGTAATATACCTGAATTTTTTTTTTCACAATATAAAGCCGTATTTTGTGAGATAAATATCCCAATTTGGAGATATGCAGGGATAATATTTTACAATGAGACAGATCGTACCTTTAAATTTGGGTGGCTAGCTGCAAGTATGTCAAGTTTCTGTTTAAGCAATATGTCATCTGGGGAGACATTAGCATAAAGCAGTGACACCTAGGCCATCATCAAGGGTCAATTTTACACAATTGAACATTATGTTAAGGAGAGCATAGTAGACTGCTTATTTACATATGATCTTATGATATATATATATATATATATATGTTTAATAATATTATGTATATGTACACATATATTGACATGAGAATTTTCAGATTTCAAATAAATAAATTTGTGGTTGTGACTGAAGACAAATTATATAGGCTCATTGCTCACCTGAGTCGTGTCATCGGGATTTTTCATTATAGCCTCAATAACCTGAAGCATTGGAGTAATACCACTGCCACCTGCAATCTGGAATAAAGAATGAGATCGGACTTAAGACAGGGTGACCACATAGATTTATTACGCATTGGATGATATCACTTTTTATAAGTAGTCACGAGAGTATAATTTTGATTAAACAGACATTGCAAGAACTGAAAACCATTTGTGTGCCCCAGCCTTTCAATTTCAAGCTCACATTAATAATCCTACCACTCCCCTATAGATGCTAACGTTACAACTGGTGCAAATGCATGGCAAGTTGGCAACCAAAGTAAGAGAGATAAGTAAAAGCTGGAGCAAATTCTTATATATAAACATATATATTGAATTCTATATAACTTTTTCTTACCATGCCTATGTGTTTCTTCATGTTGGGAGTATATCTGAACTTTTCAATGGGCCTGCAAGAAACAGATACACCGGATTATAAGATGATTTAGAGCATATCCTCTAGTAATACTTATGATTTTGAATATGTTACCCCTTCACTTCAACTACATCGCCTGGTTTTAAGCTTGCAAAATGCTGGCTCATTTTTCCTTCTGGATACACCTGCATACAGTTTCAAGAGATGAAAGCGTGAATTACATCCATGAGAATCAGTGAATCCTCAAAAATCTTAACCAAAGCAGGAGAATTAGTGACCATTATTTTCAGCATACCTTAATTAACAGGTCAAAGTATCCCTTGGAATCTGGATCTGAAATAGGAGTATACCTGAGCATATAGGTACACCAAACAAATACTGCAAGTCATGCAAATGTAAAATACGACCAACCAAAACATTGAAAAGAAAAATTAATAACTCAGACAGATGGAAAAGTGTATAGAATTCAAGGACTTCAAAGTTGTCACAAGAATGATGAAAAAAATAAAATAAGCATATTGACGTTTGGACAGAAAAACTTACGGGCGTATGACATATTTTGGTTTCCCTTCTGCATCTTGTTCTATTGGAGCCCTACAGTTGCAAGACCACATCGAAAAATTTAATATAGTGACAGACTTCCCATGATGAGGGATTCCAATACAAAACAGACTAACCATAAACAGCAGAGTATACCTCGTAATGAGACATGAAGCAACATCTAAACCCAATTTGGCAGTGGGATCAAATGTAAATCTGCCAATTTTTACAGAAAACTAAAAGAAATCAGTTTTCATGTCTAAAAACCTATAGGAAACATAAATAAATAAAAAGGACACCTTCATATTATTGCAGATTTATTTGAAACTACAAAAATTTGTTCTTGGCTGTGATTCTTCTGATCTAAATTAATTTCTTTCAGATAATAGTTTAATATATTTAAGGAATCTGGAGAGAGTCCAGAGGATATACCTGAACAATTGAGTGTTGTGGCTAACCCTTGCAGTATCTTGCAACTTAAATTCAATCCACTTGTTGGGATTAAGCGCTGAAAACACATTGAAAGCATCTATAGAGTATGATGTAAAGGTGAAAAAATGGATATATGGCGTCTCCAGAATTTTAGCTTGATATAACAAGTTTCGAATACTTTAAAACAAAACCTAATTCATGATAAAACAGAAGCCTTCAAGCTAACTATAGAGTCTTGTAAAAAGTCCAACCAACTTTCTCATCATAATGCTCAACTTCTGTGTACATTTGTGGGAGAGAGAGAGAGAGAGAGAGAGACTCACCAACTTTTGGGCCTGCCTGTTCTTTGATCTCATCTAGATAAACCTGTGAAAGAAAAGAGTCCTAGTTCTCAATACAGAAGAAGACCCTGAACCCTAAACCCTTAATGATAAATAACTTGATAGTATGGGCAGACCATCTAAAATAAATTGAACCCTAACTAAATGAGCAAGGAAAAAAATGAAAAACCTTTCATCTTTAGGAAACTCAATTGCAAAGATGTTAGGTGAATTAGAACATGTAAGTTTATCACATGCAGGTTGAGCAAAACCAAAAACAAAACTGAATATGATGCCATTACTCCAAACAAACATCCTAAACTACAGGTATACAGATGCAAACCAAATACATAGCTAATCAGCCAGGAAGCAGGACCTGAACAAACAAATCCAAATTAGTTTTCGATAAGCACGCAGACAATCACAAACTGAGCCCCGTGCTTTATAATAAAGCATAATCCAATATCAAAATTTTGAAATGCAAAAACAAAATATCACCACAAACAAAACCCATTTCTTAAAATATTCAAAATCACCAATCCAAATCCAATATTCAAGAAACCCAATTAGGCACGCCACAAGAATGACCTCAATAGCACGTTAATGAAAAGAAAAAGAAACACTGAGCACGAAAATGAGCGATAAATCATCAATCCGACTACAACCCAGATAAAATGAGCACGAAAATGTACCAAATCTGGCGAGGAATAGTAGCAGAGATAGGAGATTCCACCAGAGACAGCTGCGAGAGCTCCAAAGGGAATGCGAAAGCTGGACTTGGATTGGCCTCCAAATGAGTTGTTGAAGGCGATTGGGGCAGCCTTAGCCAGTCTCTGAAAGAAGGCAGTCATTTTCAGTAAACCACAAGCAAAGCACAATGCTCAGTATTTGTGTGCCCGGCAACAAAGATACAAGGGGGCTTTCTTTTGCTGCCTCCTCCACTGCTTTCTTTCTTTCTACTCTTGGCGTCGTTTTCCCAGTTTCCACTTTCGTGGGAAAATCAGTACTTTTAGTCACTCACCCATGCCTACGACCGTTATTTTAGAATTGTCTACGCCTCTTGCGTGGAATTCATTGATTGGCTGCACAAAAAGTACACGCCGGTAAAGTTCAACATGTAAGCGAGCCCAATAATCCTTGGGTGGGCCGGAAATTACAATATGGGCCTGGCCTGATATAAGGGGCTGCACATGAGCAAGTATCCAGTAGACAATAGTACAGCGAGAAAAACATAACCTTTCCTTTTTGGGAAAGTGTTAATAATAAGTGCGTCTCAAATTTATCTACGAAAAGACGTCTTAGTATTCGATTGATTGAAGGGGATTACACAAAACCTTATTTGTTATCGACAAGTAAGGTGTTGACACGTTATTATTACATAATGACAAATTTTTGTGCCACATAGGCAGCAATTTATGTATGTTCTATTTTCTTCTATATTAAAAATTCTGAATTCGAGTTCTAGTATTCATTTAGTGTATGTAGTATGTTATCACACACACACACTTTAATTTTTATTTTTTAGCGCGTGTGGGGTTAAGTCATAATTCAGCTAGCTGAATGAAAGATTAAAGTATGCAATAAAAAATAAGATATATGAGGCACTAAAGACATAATTGGGGAAAGTAAAAGGAAAAATTATTAGAATAAAATGGGATTAATTGGTTTTAAGCAATGAATCAATAATTGAACATGTTGATGAGTGATGGTGATGTGATGATGAACACAAGGAAAGGATGATGACGATGCATTTATCGTTTTTAGTCGTTTATGTTGGTGACATTTCTTGTCTTGAGCTGGGTTAAAACAAAGAATAATCAATTGTTAATGGTTTTATTTTCGTGCCAAACTTGAGCCACATAACGAATGACAAGTTTGCAATGGGGTAGGACCTGAAGCTTTAAATTTGAGCCAAGTAAAAAACCACACACAGCATTTCCATGAGATTGCCTCAATCTGTATGGAGGAAGATATTTTGAGTTGTTTAATGCTATAAATAGTAAAGTAGGTAAATGCAGCGATGGTTTTTATTTTTAATATAAAATACATTCTTCAACAACAGTGGAAATATTGGACTAATTCAAAGATAACATAATTAAGCTAGGAATATTATCTATGATAAGAACAGTAATTTATCATAAAAACTAGGCTGGCTGAATGGAGTGAGAAAAAGACATTTCTGCTTGTCTTCCTGTTCCTTCTGTTCTTTTGCTGAGTCTGAATCAACATTTTAATAATTCAAGTACCGGGACCAATGGTTTCAATACAATCTGTTGCCTCATGCGTCCATCTTTGGTTGATAGATTGCACACCAACCAACAAACTCAAAGGCACTTCTCGATTATCATTTCTGGAGGGAGGCACATGTGAACTTGGTGGAATTATTTCTGTTTTTTTATATTTATTTTACAAATATTGAAAATGATCTCGAGGTTTTGTTTTTCTTTCTATTTTCAAGAGCTTTTTTGTTTGAGAGTTGCGATAATATATTAAACTCACACACTACACAGATGTTAGGACTCGAACTCAAGACCTTGCATGTGGAAACAACTGGTCCAAATCACTAAATTAGTTAGTCTTTTGCAAAATGATCTCAAGGTTAACACTTAATTAACAGTGGTTATGGTATTTTCACCGAATTAGGTAACCTTAATTGGTTTGTTTGTATACAACATAAGTATTTAGGTGTATTCTAATACCATTGGTTGAACACTCACGATCATGGGAAATACACAGTAAACAGCTACTTATTATTCTTCCCATGATCAGGATTTGAATATTTATTTCTCTCCAAGTCCTGCCACACTGCAATCCTTGTCAAATTTGTCAGACTAGGATAACAATAATTCAGGCCAAGGTAATGAAAGTCTTCAAGAACAGATATTTTATTTTATTTGTTGTTAGGCTTCAATTACGTATACATTGTTTTGTATTTATTTTTCAACTGCTGAAAGTGATGCCCTGGCAAAACCTGACAGTATATGATGGCATTGTGTAGATTCCTTTAACTTTTCATGATTGGACATGTAATATTTTTGTTTGGTTTGCATATATAACATTAAAAGAAACCCCAAGATCATGTCTTCACTGCCTCACCAAAATTCTGATGTTTGAAGCCTGTCATATATGGTAGACGGTGCACTGAGCCATACATCAAGTTATCAACAACTCGTTTAGAGTAGCGCTGGGATCTCTCTGGGGTCTGGAAATCTCTCTCAGCTACCTTCTTCATCTTATTCTGTGGATCCTTTTTCCTGTAGGGAATTTGTTATCAGAGAAGCTCCGCATATAGACTTTTGGGGTTCTTGTGTCTTAGGATTTCCCTTTTCTCCTTGTAAAACCCACCTATACAGCTAGATTCTTAGAGGGTATCTATAACATATAAAAAGGTTTGAACTTTGAGTGGTAAAATACAGAAAGGCTAATGGGATTTTCTAGTTTCCGAAGGTGGATTCGGTACAAGAAAATTAGAAACTGGTATTTTACGGTCTTATAGAATTCGAACCTAAAAATTGCAAGTAACATAAGATACAGAGTGAAGAAGCTGCCTCAGGTGTTACCCAAAAAAAAAGAAGAAGCTGCCTCAGGGAGTAGCTAATCATAGGAGATGGTTGATGCAGGCATGACCATGTCCTTCCGCACACAAAATTGCCCACCTCTTCTTCTTGGAGTTGCAACCAAAAACAGGTCTCACAGCAGAACCAAGTCAAGCCCATCTGTATCTGTTGTGCAAGTATCTTCAGTCCTGCAAACCAACGAGAGCGGAAATCTGCCTGAATCTAAGAGATCAAGCATGCCTCTAACAAGATTCCAAGCCCCCAACTACATACTCAGCCAGCCAAACACAGTTGGTATCATTGGAGGGGTGTCTGTTTTTTCAAGTCTGCTTTTCTTGGAGAAGCTTGTCTGGTGGAGTCTAAAAGATGGAGGAGAATGCCCACCTTTCGTTGTGTGCAGTGATCCAACACTATATAAAGAGCTTCCAATTCGTAGCTTGTTTCATTCATTCACAAGATCAAGAGTTAGTGCTCAAATCCTATCCAACAATTGGCCCATCATTGAAAGCTTGTGCCGTAAACGGGCATTCCTTGAGCACTCTGGAGCTCGCTGCATAGTCATGCCATGCCATCTGTCTCATGCGTGGCACGACCAGATTTCTGAGGACTGTTCGTTGCTCTTCCTTCACGTCGGCGAGTGTGTTGCTCGGGAGCTCAGGGAAGCAAAGCTGAAGCCACTGGAGAATGGAAGTAATGTAAGGATTGGGGTGCTTGCTGCTGATGCAACTTTAATGGCTGGATTTTACCAGGAAAAGCTACAAAGTCAGGTATACATTCAAGCTTATTTTGTTCATTTATGGTTACTTTGTTGCTTATTATATCTATATAAACTACTAAGAACATTTGGTAAAATCAATGAAAGTCACCGGTGAAAACATTTTGTGGTTTTTTTCTTTCAATGGCAAGGAACAGGGTTTTGAGGTTGTGGTACCTGACAAAGAAACCATGGAACATGTTGTGATTCCTGCAATCGAAGCAATAAAAAGGAGGGACATGGAAGGGGCACGAAATCTCTTAAGAATTGCAGTGCAGGTTCTGTTGGTGAGGGCGGTGAACACCGTGATCATTGCTTCTGATGAACTGCAGGGTGTTCTGCCTCGTGATGATCCTCTTCTTAAGAAATGTATTGACCCCATGGATGCTTTGGCAAGGTCAACCATAAAATGGGCAAATGCTACAGGAAATGGTGGCTAAGAGATCTTAGCTTCATACCTAAAAATAACATGCACAAAATCTTGGTGCCATTGGCGGTGAATCTGTGCCATTTTCTTTTCTGGTTCTGTCAAGTCAATTAAGGGATATTAGTTGAAAGACTACCAAACATATTAGCAATTTTTAAATCAAGGTGTGGCTCAAAGTTCTGTCTCCCTCTTCTCCCTTGGACAGAAGCATTTTGACCTGGAAACTCGAGTCATACGAATAAGGAAAAAATAGAAACACACCTGAAGTTGATCAAGGTTCAAAGACTAGTAGTGGTAACATTATTCGCTGTTAATATATGCTAATCTGTGTCCAGCTTGCATGTTCATTTCATTGAAACTTAGGGTAAAATCAACTTCCGGGTGGTTTGTTCTCCCCCTTTTGCCACAACCCGCAATGATTTGAAATATATCATAAAACAGTTGAAATACATACACATACATATGTGAGTTACATGTAGACAAGAAAAATGCGATTGAATAAAAATCCAACATAAACTATATTACAAGGATGAAATAATGGGAATCCAACATAAACTATATTACAAGGATTAAATAATGGGAATCTTGGGGAGGAAAAAAAATAGTTTGAAATGGCATTAACCCTAAACCATCAGAATTATAATATATCTGAGCTTATTTGGTGATGACAAGACATTTAGTTCATCCAGGATTTTGGATTATGGATGAAATGAATTTATGCACTGCTACAAATTCGAAGTAGAACCACTAGGTTGTTTTAGACGTGCTGCGACACTATCACCTGCATCCTGATAGACCCAAGAAGAGATGAGGTGATGGGCAATTGCAAATGGCCCGGGTATAAACATGGGTGCAAGTTCACCACTTTCCACATTGAAGTCTGCAGAGAAGTTCTGCCCTTTCTCAACTCCCTTGCACATCTGTTCTACCTTTGATGCCGCTGTTTGCTGTGCCTTCCTGTATTCAGCATATGCTAAAGCTTTTTTGACATCTTCTCTACTGTGCCACTCAGCATCTAGGGGAACCAAATTTTAAAGAACAAAATTAGAACTTCATCTGATCTGATGCGTGCATTGTAGCTCATATGACGTTATCAGATGCATGCCTTGCATAAATATTATAATCATGCAGAGCACAAAGCAACCTCATGCAACCAAATTCATTATAAAGAAAGGGCTAATGTGATAGAGGGTTTGATCAAATAATGCAACTACATGCTAATTTCCTGTGTACCTTCCAACTCTTCCTTGTCCACATTTAGTTCAAGCGATTTTGCATATGCATAGAACCCAACCATCAACTGGCATGGCATGCTATTTGGTCCAACTGAAAACAAACCAAACTAGGAACTTAATCAATCAATAGAATACAAAGAAATATGTCCAGACAGTGTGCAATACTTTGCTCCAAAAAGCAAAATAAAAATTTGGCAACATTCATACCAGGCCATGGCTGAGAGCTATGATATACAACTTCTCCTACTTCAATACCGGTCTCCTCCCATGTTTCTCTCCTCACTGCTTCTTCTAAGCTTTCTCCTGGCTAAGGAAAACAAAAGGATCCAAATTAATAAAACTCAGAGTTACACAACCCTCAAAAGTGAGTTATAATACTAATATACTAATATTACTAAGAGTTACTAACTTAACAGTAACTACCATATTTCATAACACGGAAGTATTGGTCCTAAAGTTGGCCAAGGCACTTACCTCTATAAAACCAGCTAAGCAACTCCACATTCGAGGTACGAATCGAGATTGTCTGCTTAGCAGAACACGATCGTTCTCTCTATCAATGACTAACATTATGACAACCTGTTGAGAATGGCATATGCATGAAACAACTATGTAAGGGATTGAAGCAATGCCAGAAATGGACATAATTATACCGGATCAACACGAGGGTAGACCCTCTTTCTGCACTGCTCATTTGAACATTGCTTCCGCCTCCCAGCTTCCTTGGAGACTGTTTTTCCTCCACAATGTCCACAAAATAGTGATATATTATGCCATTCTAGCAAAGCCCTGGCCTGATCACACATGAACACCATACAACATATATGAAACTATTTAGGAAAAATATTGAGACCACCCCCCAACTGTTGTGCGCCAATAAGAAAACACTTTCAATTTGTTCATTGATTAAACATGCATTCCAATTCAAAGAAATTGATCTAACTGACATTATTTTCTAATAGCACAAACCTTTGCAACCAATAATGACCCAACACTTAGTATAGAAGTAAAAAACTAAACATAACAACAAGCATTTACATGACCAGCAATAGCCAACTCCCCCATAGCCCGGGCATCAGCCCAATCAGTAGCCACCATAAGCGTTCGTAGCTCAACAAAACATAATTGCTTGCTACCCAATTCAGGAACCACGCTACTCTCACCAGAAACATCAATGGCCCAATAAACGACATCATCCTCCGACCGCGAACCCAGATAGACCAGCGATTCTCCACTCAGCTCAACCCCAGAATTGGCCAATAAACCCTTACACTGGGACAAACTGATCCAACCCAGATGCCAATTTGGTGTGGAATCACTGGTCCCACCAGTGGAGGAGGCTAAAGGCCTGCCCTTTCTGAAGGGCAAAATCTTGAAACTGAGAGAAGAGGGCAAGTGGGTATAGTCTAAAAGTTGGGTTTTGAGGGTCTCATAGGCTTGGGTTGGTGAAAATGGGTCACTTGATTTTGGTGTCTTGGGTATCAAAGGATTGCCAGCAAAGGCATGGGACTGTAGGTTTATGGACATGGTGGTGGTCGAACTAGAACAAAGACTTCTTCTGGTTAAGGTCTGGACGGTAAGTTTCCTACAGAAAGAAAGGAGATGAGTGGAAGAAGAGAGGAGAGAAAGCTTGACCATGCTTCCATTGGGTAGTGGCTTTGGGTTTTTCAGGAGAGAGAGGTAACGGTGGTAGGTGATGACTAAGGAGCCTCCAGTAACGACAACTGTCCTGATTGATTGAGACCCAAAGCGGCCGCGGCTGTGAGATGAGCCCACAATTAAAGAAGCCCAAGTGGTTAGATGGGAGTCTTTGGGCCTGTTTGGGAATGTTTGTGTTAAAAGTGCTTTCTGACAATTAAAAGTGTATAAAAGTGTTTGGTAAAAAATTTTAGAAGTATTTCTATATCATAGAATCACTTTCTTGAGAAGCCAGAAGCCAGTGCTATGTGCTTCTTCATGAAGCCCTTTCAATTGCTTTTTCAGAAAGTACGCAAATTTCTTACAAAAATTTCAACCTTTTTTTATAATTAAAAAAATCAATTTTACTATAAGCAAAAGGAGAGAGAAAAATTTTAAAAGAAGCAAAAATGGACAAAAATGCCCTTATTTATTTTTAGATTTTCTAAGGAATCCAATACATTTGCATGTCTTTGATTTGAAAGTTGAGCGGTTTTTTTGTCTTTTTTGAAAAAGCTTTGGCTTTTTCCAAAAGTGAAATTTTTTTTATGTCTAAAACCTAAAAAACCTTTTTTGAAATTGGACAATTGCTTTAGGCACTCTCAGCACTTATTTTTGCCTCTTTTTATTTTTTTCGTCTACAATTATGGGAAATTCAAATTTAGCATCTGGTGCAATATCAGAAAGATAAATACACCCGTTTACAGTTCAAAGGCTAAATGCGTGATTGACATCAGGAGTGATTTGCCAGGGGCTTTCTTGTTTGCCATGGAAGATGTTTCCATATATATAACCTCTGTTTTACGAATTGCTAACTTCCTCATTGACGGGGAAAGGCGAGGTACACATACACAACAAGGAATAGGCAAGTTTCTCTCCCCTTTTAGGGTGCACATGAATAATAATCACATTCACTTCTTATTTGATCTTTTAAAAACAATAGCTAGTTTTGCATCATTATTATAACATAATCTAATGACTGAGCGAGGAGCCAAACCTATAATAAGAAATAGAAACCTATAGACCTGATCAACAACCAACAATGACCAATTCTGGAAACGAATCATCCTGGAGAACAAAATTTTTGAAACACAGCACTCTGATTTTTTAACAACTGGAAATTGACTCCAAGACCAGAGCTTGAACTCAAATTTAGCTCTCCACTGTGCTGGACAAGTTCTGATGGTGCACCAGCGGCACATCATCAAGCCAATCAGCATATATGCGATTGATCTTTTTGGACCCTTTCCATTTTAGTACCCTCTTCTTACCCTGGCCCCCTTCTTCATTTGAAGCAGGCAGTATTGCCATTGCAGTTGTAGAGGAATCATTAACAGGACCAGCTTGGGGTTTTGTTGAAATGGGTGTACTACTCAAAACTTCAGCTTCAACTCGTCCACCAGGCACTTGTAACTCTGAAATTAAAAGTTCATTATTAGAAAACCAGAATTAGCACCAAATGGTAGTTTCCACCTTCTTAACCCTTCTCTACCCACTACAGGTTGCCATAATTAACAGAACACATTTAAAAAAAATGTATGTATAAACAGCTTAAAGTAAATTCCTAATCATCTCATGAACACGCCAATCCCATAAGATAAATAAACGCTAGACAGTGATAGGTTGCTTGTTACTAACCGAGTGCACAAAACAAAATACATAAATTTCTAAAGTAGGAATCATGAATACCAAAGTTAAAATTCACATCAGTAAATTCCTCATCTATGAAGAATAGCATTGCAGGTCAGCTATGTGCCACTTGAAACAAAACCTACGAGATTTAAGTAAAAGCACTACTGGTCCTCTAATCTAATTTGCAATAAAATGCTAGTTTTCTATTGCACAAGCAAACACTGCATCAGTTCCAAATCCGGTTTTCAGTGCAATTCAGAGTCTAACATAGGTTCAATGTTGATATGAACATAAACTTGTTTCAGGGTTAAAATTAATCATACAAAGCAGAGCACCAAGCATAGTAATAATGAAAATTTAAGATACTATGCACAAGCACTAGGAAATACCTGCTTGGCCGTGAGCAAAGTGACATTTCTCGCCAAAGGGGCATTTGCCTGTTGTCTCCCACTTATTACATAACTTTGTCTTCCAATACACTGGCTTCATATTTACACGGAAAGTATCCGTACCTGTGTTTACAAGCCTATTTTCCTCAGAATGATTAGAGCCACTCCCATGTACCACCGATGGTCCTGTAGTTCCAATGCTTATTGCTGTGTTCTCCCTAAACCTGCTTATATCATCCCTAAACTTTGCTGGATCTTCATGAAGAAAGTTACACCTATCTCCATAAGGACACTCCTCCCCATTGTAAAACTTCTTGCATAGCTTCATCCGGTGGATTATTTTCTGATCATCATCCCAATTACCGGACAATGGTGGTCGATCTTCTTCACGTACAGAAACAAGTTCTTGCCAATTGGGAGGGGGATGGCGGATGTCTTCAATGCCATGTGCATAGTTGCAGTTCTCACCATTCCTGCACATGCCCGTTTTAAAATTTACACACAAACGGGTCTTATAGAAAATGTTGCTTGCTCCCTTGTTAACTGGGGTATTTGGGGGCTGCATCCTAGCGTTCATGGGTGGGTAGGGCATTGGATTCGATTGGTTTTCTTCAGAATTTCTGGGTCTTTTAAATGGAGAAGGCTGCTGTTCAAACTGAGAATGTTGGTCTTCATTGTTCATACTCATAGGGAATGGAGGCCAACAATTTACTGCATCACTGCCTCCAGCATAAGGCGTTTGTGACGGCATAAATTGTGTGTGATCAGAAAAATTCATGCCTCAGAAACTACTTTTAAACCTACCTCTGTAATCAATCAAATAAAGATGAAAAACTTAGGCGTGAAGAAACTGGAAACATTTACAAAGTTTAAATGTCTCAAGAAATACTATACAATTTTAATGTATGAGAGCAAGTAAGAATCAAAGACGCGTACCAGATAATGATCAAATCAACAAGCAGGGTCTATTCAAGAACACCCAGATCAGATCATAACCTGTGCAAAAGCCAAAACTTTCTTCACAAAGCCCACCAACCTAGATTGATTTTGATGAGAGGAGGGATCAAAGTTCACAACTTGTCACAAGAAAACCCAGACGAGAATTGGGGATAAAATAACAAAACCCAAATTGAAGTTGGATGTTGGAGAGGAGTGACAGAGTTGATAAACTCTTCAAAGAACAGGGAAAGCATATAACATGGAAGAAATAGGATTTGCTAAAAAAGAGACAATCTTTATTGGGTGGAGTCAAACCCTAGCCGCCAAGAAGCAGAAACCCTAATTTTTGTAGGAGAGAAACGAAATCGGTGAGTACTGACTCCTGAGTCCCACCCACGACTACTAGGAAGAGTTTGTGGGAAGGCCTTAAACCCCTACGCGTCCCAAAACCCTGCGATTTCGGGGTTAGAAAAACTAACAGGGCTTGACTTGGCTAGTAATTACGGCCTGTAATTTTAGTTTAACCTTTTAAAATTTGCACGTCACTCAGCAGGTGCTTAGGTCACCTGCAAGGACTGCTATTTTGGTGGGCCGCCCATCTGTTGCTTTGCACGTGTCCCTTCCTAGGTTTCTTTTCTTTTCTTTTTTTTCGGTTTTTTCCTTTTACATTTCTTTCTTTCTTTCTTTTTCTCTCCCATATTTGTTTATAATTTAAAAGAAATTTTAGTACTTGTTCTTATCTTCTTCTTTTTTGCTTAAGAGGCTAGTTTCTATAATTCAATGAAAGTTATAAAAAATTGGTTCAATGTTTCTTTGCCAATATTTTTGAAAGGGGTTTTTTTTTCTGGTTATAAGCGATATTTGGGGGAGTTGGAATTTGAATATAGAATATCAGATGGAGAATTAACTATTCGTAACCACTTGAGTTTACAATCTCATTATTAAAAGTAAGCTTCCAATAACCAATCCATAAACCATTACACACCCGTATTGAAATTGGAAGACCAAATGCACCGATCAATTTGATGATTAGTGCTTCCCATTAAATCAAACTTGGTTATTATTGTTGGATTAATGATGGTCCTTAGACAAGTCAAATTTGATTGATCGATAAAACAAGGAGTTGGCAAAAAGTGACTGATGATAAAGTTAAAAAGTGATTAATGGTGAGGCCGTTTAGCTTAATTGAACAAATCAAGTAGTTTTTGGTGCATGACTTTTGCCATATCCCTGATGGCGTGTCTTCCCACCCACCACACCACCCCACCCCCCCACACCCCCCACCCCCCCGATGGCATAAAGCATGGCAGTTCATTTTTTGGGCTGCCTGATATAAATATCTTTGCGCATGACTTTTGCCGTCCCTGTTATTTGACAATGGAAATAATATAATATGGCTCAAATTTTTCTTGTTGGTATAACATGGCTGGAGTTTTGTCTTTGGTTTTTTGGCATCTGTATAAAGCCAGGAATAGTATTCTCCTTCATTGGACAAAGCAGGCTTTATTTATGCAGAAGTATGACCAAGTTTGACAAAGCAGACTTCATTGGACAATAAGTAAATTTTCAGAACAAGAGCTATGTAATTGACAGCAACAATGTAGTAGCAAGAATGCATGTATTTTGGGCCATGTTTTTAATTTAGATTACATGAATTAATACACGGCCTCGGTTAATCCGTATTTTTTTTATAAGAATCAATACGATCTTCATAAGGTTCCTCCTCCGAATGAAATTCAATGAGATCCAGAGCGACCATGTATTATGCAGACAGATGGTTTCTCAGAATGGAGAAGGACGTGATATATATATATATGATCTTTAGCTTGGAACCTTTTCCTGGAGTATGATACCAAAAGAGGAAAAAGAAAAGCTGAAAGTAAATTTAAAGTCTGCGTAATGTGCTGGGGGAACTAATTCACCAGAAGCTGCGTACTTGGAAGATGAAAATTTTATCCAAATTTGGCATAAGACATAGAATCCAATGGCATGAACTCTTCTTTCTAGCTACTGCGCATGACGTTGAGGTTCATTTTTGCGTGCTTTGCTTTGCCATCAAATGAAATGCAAAAGCTTTTCCGGGGAAAAAGTTGAATTTGAATCACTTTGAACTTCCATATTGCATTGCATTTATGCTTTATTGAATCAGAGCATCGGGTTCTTATCTGCATAATTATTTGTTTCTTGGATATTTGATGCTTAAAGGGATGATAAATTATTGCAGTGAGAGAAGGCCTTTAAAGTGAACAACTCAAAGAGATTCCTTGAATCTAATATCTGTTTTCTCTTCTGTTTTTTTAATTTCTCTGTTGATCTTTGTAGCCACTGCTAATGTTGGACCATCTCATGATAAAAGTAGTATTGCATTATCAATTTTGCACGTTCCCCACACACACACAACCCGAGAGAGAGAGAGAGAGAGAGAGAGAGAGAGAGAGTACAGACAAACTTAGTAACTCCATTAATTTAAAACTAGAGAGAGAGAAGAAGGGATTTCTGGGCTTCATGGAAGAGCACCTTCCTTGCAACATGAAACTAGAAAACCCTCCCCAATACAGTTGTCAGTGGAATGGCCATGCCTGTGCAAATGTGCCTTCAACCATGATCAACCTAAGCTTATTTATCTCTAAAAAGAAAAGTAGAGGAAAAAAAAATAGACAGCATTTGACGAGGGATCAGTGCGAAAAGAGATATGATGAAGACGGTGCATAAGAGAGTCTTCTACACTCCATTTTCTTAAACAGCACCACTTGATCAAAATAGAGCATGTGTTACAGACCTGCAACCAAGTAAACATTTGGTAATCATGAGCTGAGCCCCTTTTTAATTTGTGTTCATAAATTAACATATGGTAATTTTGAAGGCTGCTTACCATAATCTCTTGGTGTTTTGCATTTGAAGCATTCTGTCCGACTCGCGTAATTGTGCACTCCACATCCAACTCTGCTCCATTCAAAATACCCCCGGATTAGAAAACTCAAGAGAAATGACATTACTAGCTACCAATACACATGTTTCTTATCTAATTAAATTGAACCTTATTCACAGAAGGAAAGTGATATAGCCTGTGGAACAATGCAGGCTAATTTTCAAGAACAAAATCAAAGAATGGATGAGAGGTTGCTGCTTACCTATTGCACATCCAGTCACCAGATTTCCATCCAGGTGGGGAACTGCCATCAGATCCATAGGCAGCAGAAGGCATCATGCTATAGGCACCGCCATAGTCATTTTTCATTGCACTACATCTAAAGCAATTGGGTCTGCTGGCATAGTTGTGAGCTCCACAGTTGCAGTACCAGTCCCCTGCCAACACCTCCGTCCTGTTGCACATATATGTTGATGGATCAGGGCCACCATACTTAGGGTACTCGCAACGTTGGCATGTGTCGCGCTTCTTAAAATTCAAGTGCTGGCATGCACTACACATCCAATCTCCTCCTGCCCAGCTCATTCTTAATTCCTCTGTGCATATCCAATATTAATATAAGACTTAATTAGCATATCAGCTAGAAACCAGCATTTTTAAATATTTCACCCTCTATGAGGTCCTTTTTAATATATAATAATAAAAGCTTTATATAACAGAAGTTTAAAACAGAAGGAATTATGTCAAGTTCAGAACAGAAAGCAGAAGGAAGGAGGTAGTAGAGCTCACCTGAAGGGTAAGTAAAGGCTTAGAGTGTTAAGACTGTAGAAGCTCTGCTTGGTCAGTACTAAATAGCTTGTTGCAGAAGAGAGAACTTAATTTGTCAATGAGTTTGGCGATCTTGTTTGAATGGGTAAGGGAGGTTTATCTTAATTTTTCAATGAGTGTGGTGATGTTGTTTGAATGGGTAAGGGGGTTTTTATATAGTACTTGTTGAAGGCTTCATATGTGGGGGCCATGGATGTTCCTCTGTTTTATTCTCTGCCAGCTTTCTTCAGATGAGTTTTCCTTTTTCCTCTCCTTAATATGCACATGTATAGGATTCCATGAGATTGTTTCTTCATATTTATGTTGGGATTCTACACTCAACTAGTTTACTTACTTCTGCTACTTTGATTGCTTTTGGGAGTTAGAAGTCAAGTGGGTTTGTAAAGGTGAGAAAAACTAGCTAGTTGATCACCTCAGTGCATGCGCACACAATTTACAGTGACCCCTCCCTGCCCTGCCCTGCCCCATCTTTAAATTATTCTCCATGCATTATTGCAAAAACTATATCCCCAATCTTTTATGAAGGTGTTATGAGGGGAAGCTGCTACTTGAAGTTGAAAGTTCAAAACAGGCCCGCGGAGGAATATATTTTTCGTGTAAGCTGAAAGCATCGTATTTTCTAACCACATTAATCAATGTTATTACACGACAGATGATCAGCATGTGTACTTATCACACTTTAATTATTATGTAACACATCAACCGTCACACAACATGAATTGTTAATAAATTATTATGACCATTTGATACATATATATTGCTGATGTTGAAAATTGGATTCAACTTAAAAGAGGGGGAAGTGTGTTATCTAAGCATGGCTCATCTTAATTTAGTTCCCATCTGTTGTTAATTTATTCACATTGGTTTTCACGTGCAAAACTGAGATTGATGTTTACATGCACACGTGCGTCACACGCCAAGGAGTTTCCAATATCCAATCTGGCATGGCAAATACACCTTCCCTAAGTAGTTCATATGCAGATGTGGGTCGGTTTAAAAAGGGCCAAACACTAGCCAACTTTTTCCTCCGAGACTCAAATTTTTTCACTTGGAATCAGTTCCTCCAACCAAATGCACATCCATTGTCAAATTCTTCTCACCCTCTCTATATATTCCCCTTTGCCTTTTTGGCAATAATTGAAATGCCATTCGAAGATTCATATCCACTTATAACTTTTACTCCTCCTTTTTTAATATATGAAAAACAACTTTTACTCTTTTTAATGCTTGTGAATGGTAAAATTATATCCATTCCAAATCTTCATTTGGTTTAGTCATATACATCCATAAAATAATATCTTAATTAATACTCATGTGAAACTAGATAAGATACATTAGAAAACAATTAAAGGCTCGTTTGTGAGTGATTATGTAGAAGCGATTTACTCATTAGTGATTTTAGCATAATCACTTTATGTTAGTAGCACTTTTGCGCAAAATCAGTTTATCATTTGGTTACCAACATAGAAATGCTTTTATATTGTAAAAAAAGTGATTTTGATGTTATTCGTAGCGTTGGCTTCCCAAAGAAAAAAGTGATTTTTTTTTTGTTGCCATTTTTTTGGTATTTTCATAATCAAACATTTTAAAATTGATAACCAATCACATAATATTATATCTTGGACATTCTTAAACGAAAATTGAAAATTTATAGCTTCAAATCATACTTCTTGAAAAGAAAAAAAAACATGAATAAATATTTTGTGGGATGAGAAAATATATTGTTAATCGACACAAATATCAAGTAGACATAAGAAGATTTGCAATTGTCTCGCATTCGTTATCCATCTCTCGTGCACGAGTTACATTTTCTTGTACAATAGTCTCTTCCATACTAATCCTTCCATCATCTATTTGGAGAAGTAACTCTTCATCATAATCATATGGTTGGAACTCTACATCCGTCATAATGAATTCTTATGAAGTTATGAAGAGCCATTGAAGCGACAACGACTTGTACTTGTTTTTCGAAAGGAATATTATGAATTTGACGTACCATTCTCCATCGGTTTTTCCAAACACCAAATGTTCTTTCAATTGTGCATCTTAGAGATGAATGCCTGTGATTGAAGATTTTTTTTTCCCTCTTGTTTGGCTTCCTCGTCGGAAATCCAAAAGATAATATTGGTATTGCAAAAGTTTCATTAATAGGGTTAGGCTTTTTGGCCATATTGTAAAAATAATAGGGATAATATTGGTATTGCAAAAGTTTCATTAATAGGAATCAAGTGATTCCCGGTTTTTTGAAAAAAAAACCACTTCCTGGGAGAAGCACCTCCCATGTGCTTCTCCCTAAAATCACTTTAAGTGATTCTAATACCTATTTTAAGCTCTTTTAAATTTTTGCCAAACACCCTATTTTTGAAGCAAAAGTGATTATATTCAATAGGAAGTGATTTTGACCCTCTCAGAATCATTTACAAAAGAGCCCTAAGTAGAATAATATTCTTAATTAATGTGTGCATAGGATCCTGGACTAAGACCGAACTTTACTTTTCGTTAATTAGAATGTGTAAACTCAGTTGTGAGGTGACATGGGATCCCCTAGCAGTTGGTGGTCGGCCACGTGTATGGAAATCAATCTTGAAGAAAGCAAAGGTATGGCTAGCAAATCTTACCCTTCCAGTACAGTTCCAGCACCTTTCCTTTTTATAGAGAAAAAGGAGACTGCTTTCAGCAAATTTAATGGAATACGAATCGCGGCGGACCGACGCAGGTTATGCAGAATGAGCTGGAGAACCTTAACCTGGTATTTCACAAAAGTTCTTCGCAGTTAAGAGTTTCCTTGTCTAGCCAGGAGGGACTATTGCTCAACTGCAACATAACATTCAAAGGTGCAAGCTGTAAACCCTAATTAATTAAGAGGCTGGTTTCTTCTTCTTCTTCTTTTTTTTTTTTTTTGTCACACATCGATATTGAGGGAGGCAGGGAGATTCGAACACAAAACCTCGTGTACAGAAGTAACTACTTATAACCAATTGAGTTACAAGCTCATTGCGGAAATAAAATATATATTATATTATTATTATTTTCGTTTCTAGTTCATGCATAGAAGAATGCATGAATATGAATTGGTTAATTATACTCAAGGCATGCTAAAGTACACACCTTAAAATATAGTTAATTAACTCATTTGGGATCCAATTCTCAATTATCCAATATTTAATTGGACTGCTGTGGATTTGAGCCAAAGCATTTTTCCAAAGTCAACTTGGGTCAGCGCCCACCCTACCTCCCATGTGGGCAACCCATCACAAACCTCATCCATCCAGAACCAGAATATTGCTCGAGTAAATGATTCATGGGTGCGCACATGAAAGTTGAAACTATACACATCAAGATTTGCATGCCCTCTCCGACAAAGTGTCCACATTTGCTGACATGTCAAGCAAATACAAGGCCCATGCAATCCGACGTGGCAGAAATATGTTTGCGTGTTGACCTGTGGTTTGATAAGGAAGAATCCTAATCACCACATTATTTTCACCAGACATGATGAATATTTCACGTGAAATAATCAAAAAAACCCTAGACAGCGCCACTTCAATCTTTATTCCCCCATATAAAAATATGTGACTAATTTCAAAAGGGAGGAGGAGGATGAGGCCATCTTCCCTCAATAATATAACACTTTTGGAGAATCCACAGCTTCCCCATATCCCCAATTCCTAACGACTGCATAACCAGCAAAAAATAGCCGTGGCTTTGGAATTTTTGAATATTCTATCTCCTTTTCACTTATGGGATGGCTTGATATTTTTCAGATAGGCACCACTATAAATGTAGTTAACCTTTAATTACATCGTTATCGATCGTGTTCCCGATGTCTTAATTAGATTGTCAGTTTAAACACACACTAATCACTAATCACTAATCACATAGAGGACACATCAATTCCTCTAAATTCTCAAAAGCTAGCTCTTCTTATCTTGGCTATCCTATCCTTTGATGTTTGGTGGATTTTATTCAGATATCAGAGAACATGAAAATTAATAAAATGTGGCTCGTGAATGCTATCTTTTTGGTAGGGTCAATTGTGGAATCAAATTGTGAATAAAGAAGGGGTGTTAGTAATGATTGGATTGGGGTATTTTGATAGCTTTCGTAAAATTCTAGGTTTAAGTTTATTAAACTTTGTACAAGCAAATTAAGAATAAAACCCATGCATCCAAACATTTCAGCATGTGAATATACTAATTTGGGTCCCCTTATTCCTGGCTAAATATAGATACATGATGCTTGAAGATAATATGCTGCGTGACTTGGGCTTCACCCCAAACGCCAACCCCATGCCATGCTGGATATATATGGAACCCTTCGAGGTGGCACACTCAAATGAAGATAATTCCTTTCTGCCTTTTCCTCACCAATAATGGAAATATATATATATATATATATATATAGATTAAAGCTATAGAGTACGAAATTTAAATATCTGATCCAAACAAAAAGGTTACAAATGATGGGCCTATGAGACTGCTAGCCATTCTTTTGGACATTCATGGACCAGGAAATGACATGGCTTGACTTCTAAGTTTCATTTTTGGACTCCAACCTATTAAAAAAAAAAGTTTCATTTTTGGGCTTTCATGAACGCTCTCATGGTCTTGGGCCTTAGTGATCAATCATTGAGACATTAGGGTTTTTTTATACAAGCAGTATTGGGAGGGTGGAATCAAACCTCATCCATCAGGGTAAATGCTCTTAATCACTTAAGCTACAATTTCCTTATAAATATTTTAATTTTTTTAAACATTTTGTATTTCAAGAAACATTAGAGTGATTTTTTCTTGCATGATAATTTGTCATGTTATGTTTCTGGAATTCAATCGGGACCATAAACCAACCAATGGCTAGAGAATGTACTTCAACATACTTAAACCAAAACTAATTAGAATAGGAAATCAAAACATATTCTCATTTCTTTTTACCAAACAACGAACTAATAGTAAATGACCCACAAGTATAGTGGTTTGGAATAATTGCTCCTTCAGGAAAAGTCCTTATTCAAGTCCTAGCATATATGTCGTGTATGTGAAAGGTCTTAAAAATATTAAAAACAACGAACTAATATTTTAAAGTAAATAATCATATATGACCAAAAACAAAACAAAAAAGATAAATATTTTTGACGTAGAAAACAAATTAATTTCAAATAGAATTAGTCAATATTTCTAGGAAGACTCATTGCAGTTAATTTTGGCGGGTAATCCTAACTAAGCCAGTAACTGCATTTCAAACCTTATCCCTCTATTTTCCAACTCGAAGTTGCTCAGCCATGGTGTTTTCCTCTTCTTCATTACTGTCATTGCCCATTTTACCCTCCACTTTCCATGTCCTCCCAACCTCTGATCCTCCGTACAAACTCCTCCAAACCCACCCATCTCTCACCCTACTCTCCAAATGCAAAAACATGCAAAATCTCAAACAAGTCCACGCCCACATTATCAAGACTGGCCTTCACAATACCCACTTCGCTCTGAGCAAGCTCGTTGAGTTTTGTGCCGTTTCGCCTTTCGGCGACCTCTCTTATGCCCTCTTAGTCTTTCAATCCATTGAGAACCCCAATCAGATTATATGGAACACAATTATTCGAGGTTTTTCCTTGAGCTCTAAGCCAATACAAGCTGTGGAATTTTATGTTCTGATGCTTCTTTCTGGCGTGGAGCCGAATTCTTATACGTTCCCCTTTCTTTTGAAGTCTTGTGCGAAATTCGCGGCCAGCCATGAAGCGAAACAGATCCATGGACATGTTTTGAAGCTTGGACTTGACTCTGATGCCTTTGTGCACACCTCTCTTATCAATATGTATGCTCAAAACGGTGAATTGGATAATGCACGTTTGGTGTTTGATAAAAGTTCTTTCAGAGATGTGGTTTCATTTACGGCCTTGATCACTGGTTATGTTTCAAGGGGTTGTATGGATGATGCTCGTCACCTTTTTGATGAAATTCCAGTAAGAGATGTGGTGTCTTGGAATGCTATGATTTCAGGTTATGCTCAAAGCGGTCGGTTTGAAGAGGCATTGGCTTTGTTTTCGGAGATGCGGAAGGCAAATGTCTCGCCAAATGAGAGTACAATGATCGTGGTGCTTTCAGCTTGTGCTCAGTCGGGGTCTCTTGAATTGGGCAAATGGATTGGGTCTTGGATTGAGAACCGTGGACTTGGTTCAAATCTTCGGCTTGTTAATGCACTTATTGATATGTACGCAAAGTGTGGTGCTTTGGACACAGCTCGAAGTTTATTTGACGGTTTGCAGCAAAGGGATGTAATCTCATGGAATGTCATGATTGGTGGTTATACACATAAGAGCCACTACAAAGAAGCCTTGGCACTCTTTCGGTTAATGCTACGATCAAATACAGATCCTAATGATGTCACATTCTTAGGCATACTTCCAGCTTGTTCTCATTTAGGAGCCCTTGACCTTGGCAAGTGGATTCATGCTTATATAGATAAGAACTTTCAGAGTTTGACCAATACCTCTCTCTGGACGAGTCTCATTGACATGTATGCAAAATGCGGAAACATTGAGGCAGCAAAACAAGTCTTTAATGGTATGGAAGCCAAAAGCTTGGCTTCTTGGAATGCAATGATATCTGGCTTAGCAATGCACGGACATGCACATACAGCGCTCGAGCTTTTCTCGAAAATGGCCGATGAAGGATTCAAACCAGATGAAATAACATTTGTGGGAGTTTTATCTGCTTGTAACCATGGTGGTCTTGTAGACCTTGGACGCCAGTATTTTAGTTCCATGATCACAGATTACCATATTTCAGCACAACTGCAACACTATGGATGCATGATAGATCTTCTAGGCCGAGCCGGATTATTTGATGAAGCAGAGGCCCTAATGAGTAGCATGGAAATGAAGCCAGATGGCGCTGTCTGGGGTTCTCTTCTTGGAGCTTGTAGAATCCACAGGCGTGTGGAGCTGGGTGAACTTGTTGCCAAACATCTGTTTGAATTGGAGCCTGAAAATGCTGGGGCTTATGTGCTGCTATCTAACATCTATGCAGGAGCTGGTAGGTGGGATGATGTGGCAAGAATAAGAACCAGGCTGAATGATTTGGCGATCAAGAAAGTTCCTGGATGTACCTCTATTGAGGTGGATAGTGTTGTTCATGAGTTTCTTGTCAGTGACAAAGCGCATCCCTTAAGCAAAGAAATTTATGAGATGTTAAAAGAAATAGATAGGCTTTTGGCTATGGCCGGTTTCAGGCCGGATACATCTGAGGTGCTATATGACATGGATGAGGAGTGGAAGGAAGTGGCCTTGAGTCATCACAGTGAGAAGTTGGCCATCGCTTTTGGTTTGATCAGCACCAAGCCAGGCACAACGATTCGGATTGTAAAGAATCTTCGTGTATGTGCAAATTGTCATTCAGCTACAAAGCTGATATCGAAGATCTTTAGTAGGGAGATTATTGCAAGAGATGGGAACCGTTTCCACCATTTTAGAGATGGTTCTTGTTCATGTAATGACAATTGGTGAAAATCACTTAGAGGGTTGTTGTATATGGAGATATACTCTTACTATAGATGTATTCAGTTGAGATTTTAGATTAAGATGGAAGAAATATTGCGTTCATATAAAAGCTGATAACTAAGTACGTCATTGCTCTAGTGCTATTAGAAATGAAAATCCATCTCAACTTATTTATTATCAAGATGATGGATTCACAGGCCAACAAAAACAGGAACTTAAACCCAGGCTAGCGACGAACTCATGCTTCACGGTTAGCAGCTTGTTTGAATGAGTTCCTTCTTGCAGTTGCCAAAACAGTCTTGTCAGCCACGATGAAATATGCCATTCCAGCCACTGCCATCAAATTAGCATTTTCCTTAATTAATATATAAACTAATGATTAAATGAAGACAGTAATTACGATAGAGGATGAGGGCAAGGATTTAATGAAAACCTGTGGAGATTATGAGTGCCTGAGCAGTGGGATTGAGATTGGCTCTTGCCCAAGGTAGCATTCTCACACTAGCCATCTGCATGCATATATATAAAAATTATACTTATGTTAGCTTAAACTGCCATAGGTGTTCTTAATATTTTCAGTCCTGCCATGAAGCCAAAACTTACAGTTGGAATGGCAGTGGCAATGGTAGCAACCACAGCTGCCTTAGCTCCTGCCTTCACACCCTCTGATATTCCATTAAAAAAAAAGGGAAAAAATAATTACATTTCCAGAAGAATATTGGGGCCACCAAAAAAGGTGGCCCTATACTTTATTCATTTTGATCTGAACAAGAAGAAGCCCCTTTTATGTGCTACATATATGGCATTTGTCAGCAAGAGCATGAGGAGTCTAGAGTATCTATCAAATACAAAATCTTAATCACATAATTAGCATATCAGAGATTCAGTCTGCAAGTATATATATATATATATGCTTTGTAGAGGCTCAAGGTAAGAGCTAGATACAATTCATAGGACTCTCAATTGTCATGATGAATTACCACATGACTTTCACACACCATCATACTATAAATTTATATATAACCAAGATGAATTAATATAAACAATCAATAATAAGTTGGTCAGAAGGGAAGAGAAGGCAAGCATGAAGATGAAGATACCATGAGAGCAGCGCTTAGCCAAGGCCAGCTGATCAATTGAGGTCAGGCTGTTCTTCTCAAAGGGAGACTGAGGAGCCACATTTTTTGCCATTGTAATTTGTAAGAGATAAATTAATAAATGGTAGTTGAACAAGTTAGAGAGAGAGAGAGAGATGAATATGTGAGAAGGTTTTTGAGAGAGTGGTTGAATTGGAAATGGTAGATTTGGGTGGATATTTATAATGGATTTAGGTGCAGAGCTGATTGAGACTAAAGAGGCACCGAGTGTACAGATGTTGTGAGAGAGTTAGATGGTTTCACTGAATTCTGGGGTCAGAGTCACTTGTTTTCAGTTTCACCATGTTGTTTATGGTTGGTTTGCTCTTTTTCTTTGGCTTTTTATTTATTCCCCACATGCCCATGGTTTTATCAGGGAAATCTGGATATTTCCAAGTGATGTTGGAGGTTAGCAGTGTAAGTTCACCTACTCATTGATCAGGTGAGGGGGGGTTCGAGATCTGCACTGCACATATTATCCATTTGGTGTTGCTATTTTTTCAAGTTCGTGAGATATTTTATTAAGGTGGTAGTAGTTTTAATAATAATATTATACCTTTTATGAAACGAAAGTCACTTTCTCTCGACTTTTTGGGGAGTGAAAACAGCATTTCTGCAAGTGGTTTGGAACAAAGATGCCCCAAAACCATGGGTAGCCCTTACAAGTGCTTTGGTTGCATTGCCTTAAACCTCAAACTGTTCATCAGATTGGGACAGGTGTCCTAAAAGAAGGGCCCAGATCATTTCTGTTGCAGACAGTAGCATTCAAAATATCAGATGGGTTTTCTTTTGTTTTCTTTCCATCAGTTCATGGTTTTCCTCTTGAGTGGGTGGCTACTGTGGGGCAATGGTTTCATTCATATAATGCTTGTATTGTATTGCACCGCCACAGAGGCTACTGTGGGGTAGTGGTTTAATTTGTTCATCTTTCCTTTTGTGGAAAATTAACATTAACTTATTTATAATTAATGGAATATTAGTTAGATTAATTCAAGATTTTGACGCGCTTTCAAGTGGTCGTGAGCTCAAATCTATATGAGTTTCCCCCTCTTCTTCCTAACACTTGGAAAAAATGTTACTCGTAGCTTTATCTTACGTCATTGAAATAAGGCAAAGGCAATATGCATATAAATTATATGATATTTTCTACCAACTCAAATCAAAACCTCATAAAACTCAAATGTCCAATTACAACATTCCAAGCGTTAACCAATGACTGCATAAAGTTAAAAGGTGAAAAAAAGAAGAAAACAAATTGGTTTGATTCTGAGTACTAATCTACAGTCCCGCGCTATAAAAATAATCAATCAAACGGCAGAAATGGTCCAAACATAGGTAGCTAAGCTAAGGCTAAGGCTTAGACTAGTCTTCCCCAAACGAAGAGCCTCCTATAAGCATGAAAATATATTGGAAAGTAATACTTGTCTGTTGAGCGTTTCTCTTCCTTAAATCTTAATTAAAGATGGTATTGACACCATGATTGCGATTGTTGTTTTGTAAATTTTAGGCACATGCAAGTGAGATATATATATATATATATAATATGTGATGAGATATACTTGTACGGACAAACCCAAAATTAAGTTTGTGATAGGTTGACCAAAGACAAAGTTGTGCATTGAATGTATTAAGATATATATATATATATGTGGGACCCACCTCACCTAGGCTATGCTATGCATCTATCTTATATTTATATTTATATACGAGTAATAATGCCAGGTTATTAACGCATCTATCTTATATTTAAGAAAAATATATATATATCTGCTTTGAAGAACTACCATTTGAATATTTAGTAAATATAAATTTAATTAATAAATAATTAAACTTTTATATAATAGGAACTTGGATTTCAATTAATATTGCTAACTCACATGAGTTAGTGGGTTAGTTAGTCGAGATAATCTCTAGCTTGCAATTAACTATTTAGTTCATTAATTGTGCTTTAGCAAGATTGTGAATTGTATTGATTTATTTTTAATAAAGTTCATTCTCTGTGTACATGAGTTAAAGACCCTAAACCCTGGGTATTATATGGACATTGCCTTCTTCCTTGAAAGGAGTCATTCATACTTCTTGTAAAAATCTCTACACACATATCAAACTGTGATTGGTTCTACTTCTAGAGAAGTAGACAAGTATTTACTAGTATCAAATCTATATCAAATTAGTACTAGCATCCTATTGTCATTATGGTTTTCACAACTTAAGGATTCAATGAATAAACTCATGATGGCATCTGATCTGATGATGGTCAAGAACATCTCTTAATATCCTCAGTTGTAATTGTCTGAACTCAAATTATATGCAACTTTTTTTAGTGGTTGGTTACACTGATTAATATTTTGGTCCCCACATCCTAATAATAAGTAATAAGATCATGCTTGATGGTCAAGCGAATAATGTGCGCTAGAAACCAACAATATGTAAAAAACAAGGATTAATTTGGTACATCAAGTCAAGGTTTGAACTTGTCATTGAAAGTCATGATAATTAAGGAAACACTATACAATGTTTGTAGAATTGTTAAATGATTTCTGAATTATATTCATGATTCTTTCGGAGGTGGGAAAGCCATGAGAAAAGGCGGCTTGTCTAATCACGACAATGATGCCTTGGCTAAAGGGAATTTGAATAGCAAAATCAAAATGAAATACACTAGATATAATTTTACTTTTAATTTCAGCATGATGTACAGGATATCTATCTCTCTCTCTCTCTCTCTATATATATATATAGAGAGAGAGAGAAAGAGAGAGCTTTTGGCCATTGACAGTTACCAGTTCCTTGGTGTAGAAACACTTCATTTCAGGTTCACCAAATACTCAAACGTGATTAATTCTTGTTTGTTTGTCGCTGGCTGCTAGCTATAAATTTTCCCAATGGGACTGGCTAATTAAACTCAGCAACTTGGTTCAAATGGTTGCCAAAGTTTTGCATGAATTTGAACCAAACAGCATGCAGAAACCCAAAAAGCAACAGAGAATTAGATGAAAGTTTACATGTATATGCAGCTGGTTGGTTTGTCTTTGTGGATATGCATGATATGATGGGTTTCTGAAATAGAGCAATCATAAAATTTTGCTAACACATATATCAAATATACATCATGATTCATGAGTACATATATAATTACTTTTTTGTTCTTTTACCTGTTTGATGAAGCCGATAGCTAGCTAGGGGCTAGGCCCATGCATAGTATACCAATACAAGGACTGTGATGTGAGAGAGATATATATCTTGCAAGTTGCATGCGCGTGCTGCTACAAAATACTGTGGCCCGCACAGTCTGAATTTCCATCAATGGTATAGACAGAACGGGAAGCTCTTGAAAGCCAACGAAACCTCTATTGACCCTTCATGCACATAACGTTGACTTAGTGAGCCCCCTCTCAAAAGCTTCACATATATTTACACTATGTATGCAGCTAGATAGCACATCACACTGACATGACATACACAAATTCTTATATTCTCAGATACGTACAGCTAGCAATGCTATTGTGATCATGACCCCCAATCAAATGCCTAGTTTCTGTGCTTGGGTGCATATACTAAAACAGTTGATCTCCTTTTTTACTTTTGCTTCTTTTGTGTGTTTGTGTGTGTGTGTGTGTGTGTGTGAAAATTGCTGATGGAAGGTCAGTATAAGTCTGATATGTGGAGAAGATTATAATTAGGAAGCTTCATATAGTTCGTATATATAATGACAAGATTATAAGAATCTCATTTCTTTTCTTCTTTTTTGGATGAAAACAGATAGAGCCCAAGTTGGGAAGATTGTCTGCGTATAAATTACTGGATTGAATCAAAATATAGATTTGTCTGAGCATTGAAGACCTTCTGCTTTGTGAAGCATTCTGTTTTGAGACTAGCTTCATGAGTCATGTGGTCTGATTGGTATTGGTTGAAGTTGCTCTCTCTCTCTCTCTCTAATCGTACATGTTTGATCAGTAAGATTATTAATAACAGAAAGTGGTAAGATGGATATGGGGAAAAGGAAAAAAGAAGATCGCCCTTTACATGATAAAAAATATCAGAAGAACAAAAAGAAGCGAGGAAGCATGATGGCTTTCTTGGTGAAAAAGAGCCTGTGAAGTGAATGCGTGGATATGAAAGTGCCCATATGCAAAAAGTAGACCATTTTCGTAAAAAGTAAAAAAAGAAGAAGCATATATCATTCCATTTTTCTTTTTTATTATAATTCTTTCCATCATTGACAAGAGTAATTATTGTCCTCACATGACTTCATAGACTTCTCATGGAAATCCCATTGGGACAATTATGGGATCCTCTACTTTTACACAAACTTCTTTTCTCTCTCTGTATTCTATACTTAACATATACACAGATAGAGAAGAGAGAGAGAAGAGAGAGTAATTAGCATTGTAGCAGAGTGACTAATATATTGTACATTATAAAAATCATAATTCTCATTAATTAGTAGGAAAAACAGAGGAAAAATCTTAGTTTCTATGGTGTCAAGCATGAAAATTACTTTGCTTTCTGCTTTACCTATTTACATTCTAAGCAATTAGAAATAATCAACATGATGAGGGATCTGAAATGGTTCATCTCTCTCCTTCTTGCTTAACTTAGGCAAGTAAGCTCTATTTCTAATCTTATTATGCAAATCACTATTAGCAGCAGGGACATGAGGAGGCCTAACAGACCTAATCAAAGCCCAATTCACACCCTTAAAGAAATCATGCCTTTTGATCTCAACTGACCCTTTTAAGCTTCCAATTCTCTTCTTGGGATTCTTCACCAAAAGCTTGCTTATAAGATCTTGAACTTTGACCATCTCTTCAAACTCCTTGCTGCTGCTAACCCCAACTCTTGGAAACCTTAATGGCTGCTTAAGAATGTTAATGAGGGTTTTCTCATTGTTTTCACCTTTGAAAGGTGTCCTCCCATATAACATTTCATACAAGAACACCCCAAATGTCCACCAATCCACTGCACTTCCATGGCCTTGCCCTGAGATCACCTCTGGTGCTAAGTACTCATGTGTCCCCACAAATGACTTGGACCGGGCTTCGATTGGTTCGG